GATTGCTTGGTTTGTCAAATGATTGGTTTGCTCGTTTGGTGGTTGGTTAGTTGGTTGGTTGGATGGTTGGTGGCTGGCTGGCTGGCTGGCTGGCTGGCTGGCTGGTTGGTTGGTTGGTTGGTTGGTTGGTTTGTTGATTATTTTGGATTAATTAATGTTCCATTGGTTAATTTCTTGGTTTGGTGGATGGTTGCTTTGTGGATTTATTGATTGATTGGCGGATTTCTTTTAATAGGCTGAATAATGGTCCGTTGGTTGATTGGTTGGTTAGGTGAATGAATAGTTGCTTGTTTAGGTACATTCCTAATATGTCAATATTCCACCATTGTCCCTTATCTATTCCCATGATACAACCAGCATAATTTGACAATAATCCGTACACATTGTCAATTTATTTCCAGTATGATTCTACTATGGTTCCAGTATAACTCACTAACACATTCTTAGATCTCAGTAGCATATTAAGGACTTCTATCAGGAAACATTTAAAAGGCAAGAGGTTGCAAGTTAAATGTTAGTGGGAACATAGTGGTGTTTGGTAATATGAACGTTTCCAGTTTGCCGCTCAGAGTCAGAAAACAGAGCAGAGATGAGTTGGGGGGGTACTGTGTGTGTGTGGGGGGGAACAAAGGTCTCTTTCCTCAGAGCTGCTGACCGTATTCAGACTCTGCATAGCTGAGCGTCACCATGACGACGGCTGGGGGGAACCAGAGGAACCTCGCCGCAGAACAACTAAGTCGCCTACAGACCCACAAACACACCGACACTTTAACTTCTGTTAGCCCCTGTTAGATCCTGGTGTACTCTGTTAGTAGGGGTTAAATCCTGTTGGTGTAAATAGTCTTAGTCAGTATTTCCTTGATCCTGTTTTTCAGTCTTTGTCCTGGCTCGGCACTAGTGTAAGTCCTCGTCTGCATCTTCATTTGGGTTCTGTTCTCTGGTCTCAGAAGTGGTACTGGCCTCAGCCCTGCCGATTTGTCTGAATCCTGATCCTGCAGCTCCTCGTACTGATGATGTTGGTCTCAGTCCTTTTGGCCTCAGTTCTCCTAATAGTGTCAAACCTTTTTTGTTCAGTCAAAATGTAATTGCCAAACATCCAAATCAAGTCTGTAATGATGGTTTGGACAAACAGGAAGTGTGTGTGTTTAAACTGTGCCGTTAATCTGTGTGTTGTGTCTGAAGCTGTGTTCTCCACAAATACCAAAGAAGAAGATCTCACCTCATCATTACAGTCCTACCTGTAAACCTGGGCCAGTCTTAACTATAAACCTCAGTCAGCTCTACCTGTAAATTACAGCCAGCCTTACCTGTAGACCTGAACCAGCCCTACCTGTAAACCTGGGCCAGTCCTACCTATAAACCTCAGTCAGTCCTACCTGGAAACCTGAGCCAGCCCTACCTGTAAACCTGGGCCAGTCCTACCTATAAACCTCAGTCAGTCCTACCTGGAAACCTGAGCCAGTCCTACCTATAAACCTCAGTCAGTCCTACCTGGAAACCTGAGCCAGCACTACGTGTAAACCCAAAGTTTCCCTAACTGGGAACCTGAGCCAAACCTAACTATAAGCATTACAGGGTCAATAAAAGATTAAAAGTTAGTTTTGTCCTGTTTCAACATTCTCCGTCGTTTACACTTCAAACTCGTAAATGCTAGTATATGCTAGCAGCTTAGCACTAGAAGCTCTGGTAGCACTGCAAACACGGTTTGTTATAACCTTGAACACCAACTTTCTCTCACATGAACCCATTTGTTATCGTTTCCTCATAAAAATAAACTTTCTATCAGGTCAAACTGTCTGACAGTGATCGGTGCTTTAACTTTCTTTTGAGAATCGGAATACTTCCTGCCCGGTACAGTTTGAGCACGTGAGAGAGGAGGCCCAGCATGGACGTCCGACTGCGGGTACAGAGAAGGGTACAGAGGGTGGATGGGGGAAATGGGGGTGTTGAGGCCTCTTAGCATTCAGCGCAGCGCTCATTAGAAATGCAAAGCTGCAGCGTTGGAGCTGCTGGCCTGAATGAGTCGCTTTTGTCCTGTAATTGGAGATGTTTCTGTGGGAGCCACAAAGAAACCAGGGCCTCCTCACCCTCCTCACCATCATCATCCCCATCACCTCCTCTCTGATTCACCATGGCCTCCCTCCTCTCTGTGTTGTGTAACTTTTTGTACAAAGATTCAGTTTCCAGGAAACTGTCCAATTAAAGCCTCAAAGTGGAGAAACAACAGAACATCACAGGATCAGCCGTGTGAATCAATCTGCTGTTTACCTGGAGTTATGAACACCTGTTTATCATCTTCTTTGTCATCATCATCATTGTGGCCAAAGACTCCACAACTGAAAGAAAGACAGGAGGAAACCAGACTCCATTTTTCTAATCTTTTGAAACACAAGTATGATCGTAATTCTGTTCCCTAAAATGACTTGTGCTCCTTGACAATTCTTCCATTCTGCCCTACAATAGTTTCCCTTTCATCCGATCCTCACGTCACTAAAGACGGAAGTCTGCAGACGTAGTGACCCTCGTTTCGTCCTCCTCCCTCCCTTCTCTCTGACGTTTGCTAACCGGGTAACCGACATGGAGTAACAGACATGTGGGACTTCCTCTCATTAACTGGACTACAGTGTGCACGGATGAAACAATACATCACGTTAAATCTTTATCTGTCGGGTCTCAGTCATCATCACAGCCAGTTAGAACTAGAGTCATGATTATCTCCACGGCAACACCCAGAAAGATAAAACCAACATCCTGTCACATGTGAACAATTAACCCGTTATCAGCTCCCTGCGTAAAATAAATAGCGAAAAGGAAAAACAATATAGTATTTATAATATGTCCAATATATACTTTTAAAAATTACATGACAACAAGCAGAGACAAAGTGGTAAAATTGCATTCCAAGTATACATTAAATATTAATTTGTTTCCTTATATTCATTCTATTATTGTATTTTTTAGTTTGTACATTGGAAAGGACTGATGCAAATCATGTTTTTTATTATTATTACTATGTGAGTGTGAAGTAATTAACCTCTAGATACCCACGACATCGTTAACAAATACATATAGAGACTTCACCAAAACAACTGCTTCATCTGCTGTGCAGATCGTGAACATTGGTGGTCGTTGTTGTTACTCACAACATCTGTCAGCTGATCAGAAGTCAGATTAAACCTTCAGACAGACAACACGCGTCTAATCCTGTTCAGATCGTTATCTGTTTAATCCCGTTTCTGTCTCACGAGTCATGTGACCACCTCACACACCTGAAGTCACATAAAACGTCTGAGTTTGATTTATTTTTTAAGTTCTGATCTTTTGTATACAGAAAACATAAAGTCTCACGTCCTGTCTAAGTTTTCTGCATGGGCTTTTCAAAATAAAGGCATGGGTCCCATACATAATTCGTCTTCTGAAGTGGCTACTTGGTGATGATGGTGTAGATCACATGTTGCACTCAGGTGTCACGCGACTCTCCCTCTGTCGGTTGAGGAGGCACGTTCGACACCTCATACACTCGGGAGGCCAGGTCCACTTCAGTCCACTTCGGACTAGTTATCCCGGTTCTGGCTGATCCAGATTCTTTTAAACCATCATTTAAATGTTTCCTCGTTCGTAAGCAAATCCAGACCAGGACGTGAAGGTGGAGAGAAACAGTTAACAGAGAGACGCAGCGCTGATTCTCTGGATGACTGGAGCCGAACAAGCCCTGAAACAGGGCAACAAAAGACCACAATCCTGCACTGCTTCTCTGCCCCGACCCACCCCTCCCCCCTCCTCCTCACCCATCCCCCCCCCATCCCGCCACGTCCCCCCAAAAAGGAGAGAGCCCATTATGTAACCCACCAGCCATCCCAGTCATTTAGTGGTTCCCAGTTGAAGGATTGAAGGGGACCCGGCCGGGTCACGTGGTCCAGAGAGGCTTGTTTACCAAAACAAGGGGCGAACGGGGGAGAAACAGACTGTGAAGGGAGAGAGGAGGGAGAAAGAGAGAGAGAGCGAAGAGGAGAAGTCTTTCCCACCGACTCATTCACAACCCAACTGCTTTCACACGCCGCGCTGCCGACCACCGTCACCATGGAAACAACCGGAGAGAGAGAGTGTAATCCATCCTATGGCCCTGTGTGGTGCAGTTCGGGGTCCAGTCTGTCACCAAACCAATGGCGCACACTAATAATTAACCCTAAAAACACCACCATTGGGTTTGATCTTAAAGTGAGCTTTTAAGAGACTTCAGGCTCAACAAACCCAAACAAAGAACTGAACCCCCAGAAAAAGTTGTTGATCCCAAACGTCACAGAGGTGAAGGTGAAAAGGAGATTGCTTTACGAGAGGCTCATGCAGCTTTGTTCACCTGCACAGTATCCGACCGCATGTCACAAACTCACACAACATCTCAGATGACTCAAGGCCTGAACTGAATCTTCAGGGGTTTTCTGTGCTTTTATTTCTGGTTTCTCACAGGAAGAAGAGCGCCGACTGGATACAGGCAGTAAGAGATCAAACCCTCGGTGAAGTTTACTCAACCATCAAACTGAGTTCAAAGTTTCACATTAACTTAATTCTTATTCCGAGAAGACATCATCAGAGATCAGTCAGGTTATTATTTCAGGGAAGCCCTGCCTCCATTTGCTAATGTTTTTTACTTTGAATTAGTTTAGCACGGACTGCTAAAGTTGTGTCTCTGCACTTTATTAGTCTCTGCAGTTCGGCTTAGTTCAAATCGACTGGGCTCATACGCTCACATATTATGACCAAGTGTCTGCCCTGAACCTATATCAGTATTGTCGCCGAATAATATGCTGTACGCCGAATTAAAGATGACATCAAAACGTACCAGAAAACACATGCACGAGTTATCTCCGATCGGCGCAAAGCTCTGCCCCATGCCCGGCTTTCAGAAATACAAACATGTGTCGATGGAGGTCTGGTAAACATCTTGCCCGCACGAGAACCGCGCTGGTCGTTGACGCGGCTGCAGCTGTCGTAAACGTAAACACTTTACGGCGTGCCGTATTCCAACCCGTCCAGCGAGACTACACGTGAGAGCCGTGAAAACACGTATTTCGCAGTTAGAATGACGCGATCGTGAAGTTTTACTGGTGTTTGAGTTGCGCAGCGCAGCGACACCGACTCGTCGCACGGAGCGCGGCCGGCGCGATGCTGTATCTGGTCGGCCTGGGGCTCGGGGACGCGGCGGACATCACGGTGAAGGGGCTGCAGGTGGTGAAGAGCTGCTCCAGGGTCTACCTGGAGGCCTACACCTCCGTCCTCACGGTGGGGAAGGAGGCTCTGGTGGGTCCGGACACACTCGCGTTTTATGGGAGGACCAGAGACGCGAAAGAAATATCTTGAAATGTCCAAAAGAAAAGAGCATTAAGAGCACAGCTGCTGTCTCTGTCTCTCCAACAGTCTGCCTCTCTCTGTCTGCTTGTCTGTTAACTGCCTGCCTGCCTGTCTGTCAGTAAGCTGTCTGTCTGTCTGTTGGACTGTCTCTCTAACCTGACTGTCTGTTCTGTTAACTGGCCTGTCTGTCAGTAAGCTGTCTGTCTGTCTCTCTAACCTGTCTGTCTGTCCTGTTAACTGCCTGTCGTCCAGTAAGCTTTAGCAGCGTGTTGGTTACTCTAGTGGCATGTTGGTTACTTTAGTAGGATGTTGGTTACTTTAGCAGCATCTTGGTTACTTTAGTAGGATGCTGGTTACTTTAGTAGGATATTGGTTACTTTAGCAGCATCTTGGTTACTTTAGTAGGATGTTGGTTACTTTAGCAGCGTCTTGGTTACTTTAGTAGGATGCTGGTTACTTTAGTAGGATGTTGGTTACTTTAGCAGCGTCTTGGTTACTTTAGTAGGATGCTGGTTACTTTAGTAGGATGTTGGTTACTTTAGCAGCATCTTGGTTACTTTAGTAGGATGCTGGTTACTTTAGTAGGATGTTGGTTACTTTAGCAGCATCTTGGTTACTTTAGTAGGATGTTGGTTACTTTAGCAGCGTCTTGGTTACTTTAGTAGGATGTTGGTTACTTTAGCAGCGTCTTGGTTACTTTAGTAGGATGCTGGTTACTTTAGTAGGATGCTGGTTACTTTAGTAGGATGTTGGTTACTTTAGCAGCGTCTTGGTTACTTTAGCAGGATGCTGGTTACTTTAGTAGGATGTTGGTTACTTTAGCAGCATCTTGGTTACTTTAGTAGGATGTTGGTTACTTTAGTAGGATGCTGGTTACTTTAGTAGGATGTTGGTTACTTTAGCAGCATCTTGGTTACTTTAGTAGGATGTTGGTTACTTTAGTAGGATGTTGGTTACTTTAGTAGGATGCTGGTTACTTTAGTAGGATGTTGGTTACTTTAGCAGCGTCTTGGTTACTTTAGTAGGATGTTGGTTACTTTAGCAGGATGCTGGTTACTTTAGTAGGATGTTGGTTACTTTAGCAGCATCTTGGTTACTTTAGCAGGATGTTGGTTACTTTAGTAGGATGCTGGTTACTTTAGTAGGATGTTGGTTACTTTAGCAGCATCTTGGTTACTTTAGTAGGATGTTGGTTACTTTAGCAGCATCTTGGTTACTTTAGTAGGATGCTGGTTACTTTAGTAGGATGTTGGTTACTTTAGCAGCATCTTGGTTACTTTAGTAGGATGCTGGTTACTTTAGTAGGATGTTGGTTACTTTAGCAGCATCTTGGTTACTTTAGTAGGATGTTGGTTACTTTAGTAGGATGTTGGTTACTTTAGCAGCGTCTTGGTTACTTTAGTAGGATGTTGGTTACTTTAGTAGGATGTTGGTTACTTTAGCAGCATGGATGTTGTTGCATGGAAGGATGTTGGTTTAGCAGCATCTTAGTTACTTTAGCAGCGTGTTGGTTACTCTAGTAGCATCTATGGTTGCTTTAGTAGGATGCTGGTTACTTTAGCAGGATGTTGGTTACTTTAGCAGGATGCTGGGTTACTTTAGCAGCATCTTGGTTACTTTAGCAGGATGTTGGTTACTTTAGTAGGATGCTGGTTACTTTAGCAGCATCTTGGTTACTTTAGCAGGATGCTGGTTACTTTAGCAGGATGTTGGTTACTTTAGCAGCATCTTGGTTACTTTAGCAGGATGTTGGTTACTTTAGTAGGATGTTGGTTACTTTAGTAGGATGCTGGTTACTTTAGTAGGATGTTGGTTACTTTAGTAGGATGTTGGTTACTTTAGCAGCTTCTTGGTTACTTTAGCAGGATGCTGGTTACTTTAGTAGGATGTTGGTTACTTTAGCAGCATCTTGGTTACTTTAGTAGGATGCTGGTTACTTTAGCAGGATGTTGGTTACTTTAGCAGCATCTTGGTTACTTTAGTAGGATGTTGGTTACTTTAGCAGCATCTTGGTTACTTTAGCAGCATCTTGGTTACTTTAGCAGCATCTTGGTTACTTTAGTAGGATGTTGGTTACTTTAGCAGCATCTTGGTTACTTTAGTAGGATGCTGGTTACTTTAGCAGGATGCTGGTTACTTTAGTAGGATGTTGGTTACTTTAGCAGCATCTTGGTTACTTTAGTAGGATGTTGGTTACTTTAGTAGGATGCTGGTTACTTTAGTAGGATGTTGGTTACTTTAGCAGGATGTTGGTTACTTTAGACGCGTGTTGGTTACTCTAGTAGCATGTTGGTTACTCTAGTAGCATCTTGGTTGCTTTACTAGGATGCTGCTTACTTTAGCAGCATCTTGGTTACTTTAGCAGCGTAGTGGTTACTCTAGTAGCATGTTTGGATACTTTAGTAGGATGTTGGGTAACTTTAGCAGCCATGCTGGGTTACTTTAGCAGCATCCTTGGTTACTTTAGTAGGATGTTGGGTTACTTTAGGAAGCGTGTTGGTTACTCTAGTAGGATGTTTGGTTACTCTAGTAGCATCTTGGTTGCTTTAGTAGGATGCTGATTACTTTAGCAGCATCTTAGTTACTTTAGCCAGCGTGTTGGTTACTCTAGTAGCATGTTGGTTACTTTAGTAGCATGTTGGTTACTTTAGCAGCATATTGGTTACTTTAGCAGGATGTTGGTTACTTTAGCAGCATGCTGGTTACTTTAGTAGGATGTTGGTTACTTTAGCAGCATGTTGGTTACTTTAGCAGCATCTTGGTTACTTTAGCAGCATCTTGGTTACTTTAGTAGCATGTTGGTTACTTTAGTAGCATGTTGGTTATTCTAGTGGCATGTTGGTTACTTTAGCGGCATGTTGGTTACTTTAGTAGGATGTTGGTTACTTAGCAGGATGTTGGTTACTTAGCAGAATGTTGGTTACTTTTGTAGGATGTTGGTTACTTTAGCAGCATGTTGGTTACTTTAGTAGGATGCTGGTTACTTTAGCAGCGTGTTGGTTACGTTAGCAGCGTGCTAGCTCTTCAAGCATCTCGCTCACTGTGACTCGTGGCCCTCAGGAGGAGTACTATGGGAAGGAGCTGATCCTGGCCGACAGAGACCTGGTGGAACAGGAGGCCGATGAGATCCTGAAGGATGCTGATGTCACCGATGTGGCGTTCCTGGTGGTGGGCGACCCTTTCGGGTGAGTCATGTTGTCCACGTATCTGCAGCTCGTATTGATCCCACAGGCCTGAGGTCTGCTGCGTCAGCACATTGGGAGCTTGATGTGACCGCAGAGCTTCTCTCCGAGCGGCTCGGCCTTCTTTTCTGCGCATTTCTCCCCAAAACCACCAGATTTTCCCTCAGAGTTAATAACAGAGTGCAGAGCGCCCTGGAGCCCTCGGATTGAAACTTTGTTGACATTTGTTGATGAGAATGTTGGTTTTACAGTTTGGATAAAAGAAAAGCTGGTTGTTTTTATGTTCGCCTGAAGACTATAAACTCCCTTTTTACAAAAATCCCACTCTGGATTAACCTTCTGACCTCATTTTATGTACATTACCCCGCTATCTAAGTTGGTCTGTGATGGAGTCACTCCGTCATCCCTACGCCTTCTGCACTTTGATCTTCTGTGTTCTTCTCATCGATGAATCACCAGTGATTATGTCTCCCAACAAGTATCCCGATGTCTCTCCGCTGTCCTCCTTAAACACACCAATGCTGCCTTTGTATTTAAACTCCGTCGTCCTGCAGAGCCACCACCCACAGCGACCTGGTGCTGAGAGCAGTGAATGCTGGGATACCGTACAGAGTCATCCACAACGCCTCCATCATGAACGCAGTGGGCTGCTGTGGTCTGCAGGTAATCAATGAATCGGGCTGTTTGCCCCCTGAAATCAGCCTCACAGGCATCAGTTGATATTCTCAAACTTTATCGATTGTTTGTCGATTTAAGTGTTCATGTAAACCTTTAACTGTATAAGACGTTCTTTAATCGGATGGAAGACCTTAAACTAGCTTTACTTTTTTTCTCTTTGAACTCGGCGTGTTTCTCCGGGATGCTGAATGGTTAAAGACGTGTTACCATGTGGTCACATGACCTGTAGATGTCTCACGGATGTGTCTTTTGTTTGTGGATGTGAGGAACAACGTGTCCTAACGATACAGAACATGGATGCCTGTGAGTCAGGACTCGGGTCAGAAATTCCCTGTGTTTGTCTCCACATCTGCTGACGGAGCTCATTAAAGTGATCGTAAATAACCGACCTGTCAGAGCAGCCAATCAGAGAGCAGGACGCAGGTGTCCATGGTCACTGATTAGCATTGGGGGGGGGGGTCGTTAATATGCTAATGAGGGGCGGGGTATGCAAATGAGCTCCCTGCTCCCGCCACCGGGAGTTAATCCCATCAGCCCCTGCTGTGCGTGGGCCCCGCCCCCACACCACATGACACCTTTTAAGTTCTACTTAAATTACCAACAATAATATATGTATTATAATAAATAATACATTCTAACAGAAAAAAACAGCTTAATTCGGACTCCAGATGTTTAATTTACATGAGAAAAAATGACTAAATTGTGTAAAATGAGATCGTGTTATGGTTCGTCTCCAAAAACCACCACAAATTGTAGAAGCAAGCAACGGCCCTGAACGATGAGTTGAAGGGTAATAAAATGCAAAATGCAAGTAATAAAATGTCCATCGCACGTTACAGGGTAAATCGGGCCCACAAAGGGGCGGGTCTTATACACTGGAATCCATTTTCTTGATGACTGTAATCCATTAATGTGAAACACTGACGGAGAGAGAAACTGTTTGAACTGTGATTGGTTCCACCAGGACTGACCTTCTGATTCATTTCTATCATAATATCTGAATAAGAGTTAAGCTAAAGTGCTTTTATTGTGAAAACACTTTTTACATTTCCGTGCGTGTGTGTGTGTGTGTGTGTGTGTGTGTGTCAGCTGTATAACTTTGGGGAGACGGTGTCGTTGGTGTTTTGGACGGACACATGGAGACCAGAGAGCTTCTACGACAAAATCTGTAAGAACAGAACAGCTGGACTTCACACACTCTGTCTGCTGGGTGAGAGACACACACACTGAAGACAAACAAAAGGGAAACATATCTTTCAAAATCCGATGTCACAATATCAACCTGATAACTGTCATTGTGGCACGTTCAGGGACCACGGGGAGATTTAAAGACCCAAAGATTCTCTTATTGCTCGATGTTGAACTATTTAAGGTGGACTGTGGAGATTCTGTGTCTGGAGCTCACTGAGCAGCTGGACGGTGAGTTCAGGGTCGAGCAGGTTTTGCCTTTAGCGCCACCAGGGATCAGTTTAGAGGCCACGACCATCAATCACCTGACCCTCCCCCCCCGCGTCCTGTGGGAGCTGAACAACCTGCTGGGGACTGTGTGTGTAAAGGGCTGTGTGGCTCAGCCGGTCCTTAATATTTATTAGAGGAAATAAAAGACCTTAAACACACAAAGACGTTCATCCATCATCCGTTCCTCCAATTCCTCTTTGAGTTTGAGACGTGAAAGTAATCTGATGATTCTCAGAGTTCACAATGTCGCACGAGTCTCTCTGCCGACAAATAAATGTCTTTGTGTTTTATTCTGTTCAGATTTATATATTCTTTTACTGTAAAAAGTCGCCTCCAAATGAAATACAGAACTGGACTCAAATCCAAAGTTTTAAATGAACGGTTAAAAGAATTTAGAAGAAAAAAAAAACACTAGAAAAATGTAAATGTGTTCTACAAAAACACTGTAGCTTAATTTAATTTCTTTTTACAGATATTAAGGTCAAAGAGCAGAGCATCGAGAACATGATGAGGTAAGAACCAGAACCAGTTCTGGGTTTATTGCTGGTTTAATGTTTGCTGGTGATGTTTTCTGAGCGAGTGAGATTAAAGTTCCAATACTTAGAAATGTTCATGATTAGTTTTATTTTCCTTTAACAACATTTATCCCAAACCTGATTTTGCTAAAAAATTGTCCACGTTCATGAAGATGAAACCTGTTAAAATTCTGTTTGTCGGTTAAATGATTTCAGAGGGAAGAAGATCTACGAGCCTGCTCGCTTCATGACTGTCAATCAGGCTGCAGACCAGCTGATCCAGATCATCCAGAGGAGGCGGGAGGAGGGGGAGGAGCTAGGTCAGTGACGCCTTGTCAGCTGTTTTCTGATTGACCCACACTCACTCAAAATGTTGATTTAAAAAAAAAAAAAAAAAAAAAAAATTAAAACATGTTTCTATGTTGCAGCTCTGATCGCTACATGTTCTGATCCTCCATTTAAACATTTTGATGTTTTGGTTTAACTCATCCGTCTCCATCATGAAGCTAAACCCATCATCACACTCCCTCCCGTCGAAGCTGAGATTTAAAACACCGATGCTAACGGTTAGCATGCTAACCGGACAAACGTCGCGTCCCCTGCAGGTGTGACGGAGGACACAGTGTGTGTGGGCGTGGCCCGGCTCGGCGCCGACGACCAGGCAATGCGTGCGGCGACGTTAAGTCAGCTCGTGTCATGTGACCTAGGCGGTCCGCTTCATTCGCTGGTCGTCACCGGGCAGCTCCACCCGCTGGAGGTGGACATGCTGCGAGTGAACGCAGAACCAGACGCACTGAAACACCTTCGCATGATGGACGGCTCCACCTACTGCTCATAATGTCATCAGAATAATGTTTTGTCATCAATAAAGATGGAGAATTTGCATCAGAGAAACAATTATTTATTACAGTTGAAAAAAGACCCTGCGGACAGGTCACATGGTTTGGTCACATTGTTTGGCACGTTAAAAAAACGGTTAACATCAGTCTGGTCCCAGCAGAGATGGGCGCGGGGGTCTGAGTCACGATGAAGGCACTTACCCAGAATGCTCTGCTCCAGACTACAAAGTGCAGCCGGGTGGGTGTGGGGGGGGGGGGGGTAGTCCTTCTGACCGTCAACATGGACGTTTTCAAAAAAAGAGGAGGAGGGAAAGGGTGTCCAGTCCTCATCGTGCCCCCCTGCTGGTCTGTGTGTCCAGCAATGACTCCGGGGGTCAGAGGTTACCTGCGGCGGACTGAACCTGATTGGTCCCAGCTGTATTGAGGAGGAGCTTCTACATGGCTGCCGTGTCGATCTGAACGTAGAGCTGTCGAACTCCAGCCTGAGGAGACGAACAACGTTAGTCTAGTAGTGCAACACAATAACCGTACCATCCATTTCCAAAAGCACATCACAGTTGGTACGTAATCAAGTTCTGCTTTTACTCCTCGGGTACACGCGTTGAGACGTGGTGCAATGCCTTCAGGTACCTATGTGGTGTGTTCAGGTACCTGTGTGAAGACATTGTGGGTCTGGCTGAGGATCCAGCGGCGGTCAGCGTCGGGGGCGACCAGCAGCTTTATTGTTCCGATGTAAACGTCTGTGCACAACGTCCAAAAGTGAGGATCCTGGAGGTTGTACACGCCCTGCAGCTGCTGCACCTGAACACAATAAACCAGGAATTAGACTCACCCCTGAGCATTATGTCCCTTGTGCACTAATGGTACAAATCCTGATCGACCGATCAGTGCTCATCGAGGAAGTCTGAGAAGCAACATGATCACATCACATCTGTGAGCCATTGTCAACATTAAGGTTCCCATAAAGTTAAGTTATGAATATTATGGCGAGCTGACACTGAGTCGGACCATCCAATCAGAGGGGGGCGGGTCTCTACTAAAAACACGCCTATTCAGACTCTACCTCGACTAAAAGACGAACAAATTGTAGCACTTAAATTGTACTTGTAACACCACTTATCTATAGCAAATTGTAAATTGGCTTATTTGATGAAATTGCACTTTCTTGTTTCTTGCTCTTCCGAGTTTGTATCCCTATGGTTGAATGCACTTATTGTAAGTCGCTTTGGATAAAAGCGTCAGCTAAATGACATGTAATGTAATAATGTCTTCACAGAATGTGGGTGCATTGATCAAGTGACAGAAAAAAGCAGCTCTGCCAAGATGAGACAAACCACGTCCAACTTGGAACTTGAGTCTGAGGTCAGCTGATACAAAGTCGATGACATCACTACTCTGCTCTTATAAGTCTCATGCGCTCAGCTGCCACGATCACAGCAGCAATGTAAAAAGTGACGCTTTGTCAGGTGTTGGTGTGGGCGGAGCCTGTACTCACCCTTTGGTAACACTCGGGCAGGGCTTGGTCCAGTGAGGGAGGCGTTCGCTGCATCAGGATCCCGATGGACTCTCTAAGTAACGGCACCACGCTGAGGGGGTCAGAGGTCAAAGACTGAGCAAGTCTCAAAACTAAGTTCAAACTAAAAAAAAAAAAAAAAAGGTACCACGGGTACCAGAAGACTACTTAATGATGTCCTCACAAATACTGTTAATACTTCTGCAATTCTTACTACTACCCCTCGGACTACAAATGATACTACTACAGTACCTAAAAGGGAGAAGTGGTACTACAGTACTTCTACTCAAACAATCTGCAGATTCTTTTACAGGGTTTTTGGTCGGGGCTTTTTTTTTTTTTCCAGCTGCAGTGGCGTGACGGCCCGCGGTCTGTGAAGGCCTCTCAGCTGACCACAGACTTCTCAAATCTGCAGCTGTGATCACTTCCAGCCCATCAAACCACGTCAGCGCACATCATCTCCGTTCAATGGCGAGGGGGGCCTTCTGGGAAATCTGAACGCTACATTTACATCCAAAGGACGGAGTGCAGAACCACTTTCCAGCTGCATACCGGTGGTTTGGAACGTTAGAGCCCATTAACTTCTAATCCCACATTCTTTACATTAGTGGAAACCAATACTCGTCAGGCCTCGCGTTTCTTTCCAGAGCAACTCGGAGTTGCTGTGGAAGCTGAAACCCGAGAGACGATCCGTCCAAAGAAGCCGTGGCGTCTTAATACTGCAGGGTTTTTGACGGGTACTTTATGAGACAAGAGGAGGAGCTTCTTTAAGATGTTGAATGTCTTTTAGGGGCTTCGGTGGTCCTTGAGGAGGCTCTATTGTGTCCTAGTAAGGACGTTTGGTTGAATCGTTAACTCTTTTTTAAAGATTCATCAGAGGGGCGTTCACTGACCTATTTTTTAACAATCTCAAGACGTCTGACCAGAAACAAATTAAGAAAAACACACCGACTTTGAGACGAGATAACAGGAAGTGTAAGAATGCAGAGTCATGTCGGGTTGCAGGTGTGTGATGGTCACCTGACTCCGATGAGGAGGGAGATCAGCATCGAGCAGATCGGGTCGGCAATCATCAGGTCGTATTTCTGCATTAGCAGAGCAGAGATGATCACGCCGACACTTCCCAGAGTGTCAGCGATGATGTGCAGCAGGACGCCTGCAACACACACACACGTGTTATGGTGCCCAAATGTAGAACGGGAGCCGCAGATTCGCAGTCGTTGTGCAAGGTTGTTGTGTATTTCACGTCACATGACATTTGTCTCTCAGAGGTTTAGCTTAGTGTCTGATGTGAGGGTCAGAGGTCAGACAATGTTGTAGAGATTGTACATGTTTATATTTAAATTAAATATATTTTGAAATGAAAGATCTTTATCAGTGACTGCGTGGTGGCGCCCCCCGGTGGTCAAACACTGAGGCCACAACAGCTGCTCATGAGTCATGTTTCATCAAGCTTCAGTATATTAATTCACGTCATATACTAAATATAATTATAATGGTTGTAAAGATGTGCGTTTTTCTACACTTGTCATGTTCCAAAGCTGCTTGTATTCCTCATCAGGGACCAGACTGTCTGACTGACTTTACTCTTTAACGTGCACTCCTGTTATGCTCTTATCGACTCGTCATGCCGTAGGTCTTCCTGCCGATAAGATGAACCGCATGTCATGTGATCAGCGCTCACCCTGCAGGATCTGTTTACTGGCTCCTTTTCCCGGCGTGCGCAGCTCGTCTGCAACAACAAACACAGCAGAGAGGAAAATATCAACGACGAGACAAAAATACAGCGTGAATGGGACACGAGTCCGTCGTGTCCCTTCCACGGGGGGGCGTTTCAGTGGCGACTCTCACCGTGACTGTGACTGTCTCCGTGTCCCCCGTTTCCATCGTGACTGTGTCCGTGTCCCGCATGTCCATCGTGACTGTGTCCGTGTCCCGCATGTCCATCGTGACTGTGTCCGTGTCCTCCGTGTTTGCTCTCGGGCTCGTGCCCTCCGTGAGCGTGTCCATGATTCACACTGCCGTTAAACAGAGAGTGGCTGTGGCCGTGACCTGAGAGACAGACGGGTTAGAGGGATGAGAGAAGGGTTCTGCTCCACGGCACAGAGGTTCTGCTTTAGAGCAGTGACCTCATCGAGGAGGTCCTACTGAAGTCGTTTTACAGACAAAGCTTCTGCAGGTTCTACGTGACCGCAGTGAGGTTTCTGACCCGGTGATGGCAGGCGTTACCTTCTTCTCCGTGTGAATGTCCGTGGCCGCCGTGCTGGAAACAAAGATCCCGACCAGGTTGACGAGCAAACCGGCGACCGAGACCGGAAGCAGCCGGTCGTGGTGAACGTCGGGAGGTTCCAGAGCTCTCTGACGGGAACAAGAACAACCAGACAGTTTATATGAGACAGACAGCAGCAGTGTGTTTGTGTATATGTGTGTATATGTGTGTTAATGTGTGTGTACCTCGACTCCTTCAGAGAAAATAAAGAAGGCTGTAAAGATGAGGAAGAGCCCGTTTACGAAGCCGGCCAGAACTTCTGCTCTGACGTAACTGAAACAGACGCAGGCTGGTCAGACCTCACTAACAGAGGAAAGAGTGATCATGACCAACAGAGCACAGAGCCACGATCTCACCCGTAGGAGAAGCTGTCGTTGGATCTCCACCTGGAGATGACGGAGGCTGCCAGACCTGCCAGCAGAGCGGTGCAGTCAAAGAACATGTGGAAGGAGTCTGAGATCAAACCTAAACTGAAGAGGAAACACACATCAAATACTTGTGACACCACACGCGGTGTAAAGTCCAGGCAGGGCGGCTTCAGCTGCCGTAAAGAGGTTCTTCTTTCCTTTACACCCCCGTACGGGAGAGAGCCCACAATGAGGCTTGTGATGTTTTGACTAGCTTCATTGTCTCCTCCATTTAAATAATATACAAAGCTTCTGATTGAAGCTGCCTCCCGGTGAGAACATTAATATTAAAACACGTGAGAACCATTAATTCACTTATAAAGCAACATTTATGAAAATAAATATGAAAGCACTTGTGATCCAGGACCGATTAGATCACCTGGGTAATCAATGTATACATGTACGTATATTTTACATTTAACCTGGAGAGGCTCTGATTGGGTCAATTACTCGTTAAGTGGCTAAGCATCACCTGTCTCCATGGTAACTGTACACATCAAAGATGGCGACAGCTGTAGAGAACGTGCAGGAAGTGAAGTTTCACAATGGAAAGCTAAACTGAAGGCTAATCTAAGACCAAATCGAAATATATAATACATAACCTGATCGGTTATTAATTAACAGACAGGGCCTCCCGGACCACCGGAAGTGTGCTTTTATGCACACACACACCCCCACAGACACACACACACACACACACACACAGACACTAAGACATACGTGGCACATCCTGAGCAGAACAAACACACCGATGCTAGCAGTGTTAGCTCACCTGTTGCTCCAGATGCCATACGAGAGCTCCACGAAGGCGAAGGACAGGTTGAGACAGAGGAAGAAGAACAGATTCCGGGACGTTTTGTCTGCGAGGATCGACCTGTAAACACGAAACGATCAGCAACAAGCTCCTTCACCCAGACATCCGGGACTAACCCGGGACAAACACCGCCCCTAACCCGGGATACGAACTGCCGAAGGCCGCGTCCACACACAATAAAAACTGTCAGAGGTGAATAATACGTGATAATATTCATAAAGCCTCGTTACGGGGACGCGTCGGTCCAGGCTAGCCGGTTAGCATCTGGCTAGCAGCTCACCGCTAGTCAGCTGCTTAACGTTAGCGTTAGCTCCGTTAGCTAGCGTTAGCTGAGCTGGCAGCCGTCGAGCTTACCTGAACCATCCTGAGAGCTTCAGCAGCAGGTTGAACTTGGCGGGTTTGTACTCGTCGTCTTTGACAGATAAAGGTAACATTTTGTCACCGGGACACACACATACACACTCACACAAACACACACTCCCTGTAGACTTAGCTACGGGATGCTAACGGACGATTTCCGCTCCGCTCGGGTTTCACAATAAGGGTTTTGCAAGGCGCTTCTGTCACAGTAAAGCGGCACTGACTCACAAACACCAAAACCACAACTACTACTACTTCCATTACCACTACTAATACAACTTCTACTTCCACTAATCATCATCATCACTTATATTTGAATAGTGCTACTGATAATTCAACTATTACCACTACAACCAACATGTCTACTAACTACTATTAACAGGAATAATCACAGTAATAATTCCACTTCTTTTACCAGTGAAAATACTACTGCTTTAACAACCAGAATACATACGCCTTTCCCACACGTTTCTAATAACCTCTAGTTTATCATAATCGAAAATCTAAAGTATTTTTATTAATTAATTAATTATTAATCAAATCAGACTCTACTAGACTAAAAGACTAACAGATTGTAGCACTTAAATTGTACTTGTAACGCCACTTATCTATAGAAAATTGTAAACTGGCTTATTTGAGGAAATTGCACTTGTTTCTTACTCTTCTAAGTTTGTACCCCTATGCACTTATTGCAAGGCGCTTTGGATAAAAGCGTCAGCAAAATGACATGTAATGTAATTGTTATCAATGTGATGGATATTGCCAGAAGACGGTATCGTCTATTAAACGCAGATATGTTGTTATTATTTAAAGGTATTTATGTAAAGAGACGTCATGTATTTGATGATCTGCATTATGTATTAACACCATGTGTCTGATTCAAACTTTAGTCCGATCTATTCACTCGTTGTGTTTCAAAATAAGAGTCCCGGTGGAGAGGTGCGTTGTGAGCAGCAGGGGGCGTCACCGCTCTCAGAGAGTCTGTCTGTGTGAATGAACATGAAATAAATCCTCAGACAATCAGCTTCCTTCTCCACAAACGCAACAGAAACCAAACAACCAATAACTGATATCGCCCTAGACATTTCATACATGTGATAAATCTAAAGCAACAGAAAAACTGCAAAAAAAACCCCAATTATTATTATTATTATTATTATTATGTGACTCTTCTCTGAGCAGTCTGCATCAAGTCACACGGAGCCAAAGAGTCTCCATCCACAGTCACGTAGACCGCAGGGCTCATGGACCGGAACCAAGAACACAAACGCCTGAACCAGCAGCGGTATAATGCCAAGATGGACCATGGACCAAGACCAAGACCAGGACTAGGGCTAGAACAGGGAACAGAACTAAAACAAAGACTACTACAGGGTCAAGGACCAGTGGAATGTAGTCGTGTCCCTCTCCGCTGCAGGAACAAAGACAAAGATCAGGGGGACCAGAAGCAAGGATAATGACCAACAGGGTTAAATAACATTGTCATTGTTTGGACAATGACTCTGATGAACTGGGCTCTTAAAGTCCAACAGGAGCTGCTGACTGAGGAAAATGAAGCGACAGGAAATACCATTAGATTAAAATGAGAAGACGCAGCATAAAGCTCCGTCCTCTTTTACACGGCGGGGGTCAGAAGTCGCGGAGGCCAAGCGGGACACTGAGCGCATCAAAAACCCATTCATCAACACTTAAGGCTGATTCTGCAGGAGCTTCTTCGTGACAGAGAGAGTGTGTCAGCGATTATGCTATGATTTCACCTTTGACCTGCTGCCGTTTCACTTGGAAGTCAAAATGAAAACCATAAACAAAAGACCGGAAGTAACTCCCGCCTGCCCCTCGAAAGTAAACACCAACAAGAAAGAAAAAGGGTCTCTGATTTACCTAAATGACTTTTCGAAGGTAGTTAAACTATTTAAATCCTAACATCACAGGTATGAGAGATTCTTCTCTTGAGCTTCGTCCTGAAGCCATCGTCCTTCAGAGACGGAGGGGAAACCGGAGAGTGTATCGGAGTAGCTCGATATCCGCAGCGGCGTTTAACCTACTGGAGATCCATGAGAGTAACATCTGGATCAGATGTTTAATGGTGAGGACCAGATGTTTATCGGTGAACATCACATGTTTAACCGTTACGGGACAAATGGTTGAATTCACACTCTATTGCTGAGCTTGTTTACAAGAACGTTTTGTTATGTTGACGCAATGATCCAAAAAACTAGTCAGTGGATGTCAATGGGGGCAAAAATGTTTCCAGCAAGACTGAAAAGGGAACCCGCGAGACGAGCGGCGCTGCTCGTCCGCTTTCGCACCTCACACCCGAAGCCCTGCTGTTCCCATGACGACGAGCTGAAGAGCCGATGGGCTTTGTGCTGAAGACCAAAAAAAAACAAACCCAAAAGAACTTTCAATTCATTTGTCCTGCTTGTTTAAACAGCTCAGAGAGAGCCAGGAATTAGACCGATCCCACTGCCAGAACCACAGTGGTCCTCTTTGTTTCCAAATAAGAATCTTTCAGAGGCGCATTTGAAGAAAGAACTGACCGGTAATAGAAAATAATGATTTAGTTATTTAGTTAGCATCACTTTGGAGACCAGTAATGATCATGGAGGAGGAGGAGGACGGCGTGACTGTAAACGAACAGCAGGAAACTCTTCGTACTAAAGGTGAAGTAGACAGGAGGCTTCTGGGCCACTTCCTCGTGACCTCCTGATTCCACCACGAGGAAGACGATCAATAACTACTTCCTTTGAGCTTGTTTTCAGATGTGAATCGGCCCCGTAAACCTGGAGCAGGAAAACCCCCTCAGAGTCCGTCTTTATTCTTCGGGATTTTATCAGCAGCTTAGCTGTCGCCATGGTTACCAGCAGAGAAGTCCCCAAAACACAGAATGAGAAAGTGAAAGAGAAACGTGATGAATCATTGGAAATTCCCAGGAAAACAAATTCCGAGACCAGAGAAGAAATACACATCTTTTTAATAAAAGCACAGTGTGAAAAACAAATGGAAACATTGATGGTGGAGGAACAGAGTACCGAACCAGCTGAAACTCTCTTCTTCTGGTTGTTTAAAACGCAGCGGAGTCACATGGGAACGTTTGACAAGAGTCAAAGGGACAAACGCGAGGCCCACAGCTGATCACGTCTTTGATCCACAGAAACGGAGAACAACTGATGTTCATGTGCCGGCATTGTGTAAAGAGACTACATGCGCGCGTCATTATAGTGTCGTACTGATCATTCATCTTATTAAAGTCAATGCAACCTCTGCCGTCTGCTGTCAGCTACGTCATGAAGCAGTGTGGTTTTGTGCCATGGAAGTGGTCCTGCAATGATGCAACCATGTGCTGAATTACACATTTTGGATATTGTAGCCAGCGGAGGAGTCAAAAGTATTCACATTCACTACTCAAGTAGAAGTGTAGACACCAGGTGTTAAAAAGACTTCTGTAAGAGTTGAAGAATCAACTTAAAAAGTACGGGTTTCAAAACTACTTAAAAAGTAAAAGTAATGCAAGAGGGGAAAAAAATCCATTAAGGACAAACTCTTAAAGTGTAACAGAACACGTCAGTCCGTTACAATGTGATCGGAAGGTGCCTTCAGGTCACGTGACCTGCTGTTCTGATGATGGAAACATGGCGGCATTCAGAGGCTGAAACAACAGAGGGACAAACGTATCGACCCGCATGCTGCAGAACTCAAACAGATGAAACCAGATAGACTTGGTAGACTGCAGAGCCTCCTTCATGGGGGCAGGAGGCAGGAGGATTTATTATCACGACGGTCGGTTATGGAGGCCAAATAACCCGTTTCTTCAGGCTTAATGAGCAAATACAGAAACCACGTGTGTTCATTTCTTAAGCCGCATCCAGACACACGTCCCTTCGTTTAAGACGCTGCGCTGCTTGCAGGTCGCTGTGTTGTGCCAGATTCCCAAGAGAGAGTCTGGATGCTAAATGTTTATCCTTCTCATCCAACCACAACCACATTCACTCTGTCCGGATGGCGCGATTTATCTGGATAGTTTTCTTTGTGTGTTTGAACGACGACAAGCCGGGACGAACTATGAGTAACGAGGATTAAAATGTAAAATGTGCAGATATTTGTGTGTGAAAATATAAGGAGTGGAAGTGAAGTCGTCTGAAAAATCAATACTCCAGTAAAGTATAGATACCAAAGTGTCTACTTAAGTAAGGTAACAAAGTATCTACAGGGACAGCGGAGCGCGTCCTCCAACAGACTCCTTCAGCGGCGCTGTCACGAGGACCGACACAGGAGATCGTTCCTGCCCAGTGAAACAACATTTACAATAAATCATCTCAAATAACGACAATAACAACCCTGTACTGCTGTGATGTTGCTGCTCTTCCTCTTTTACAAATTATTATTATTGCGCCTTCTTCTTGAAGGTTATTCTTTTGTTTTAGTTTATTTTATTTAATATTTATTTTATATTGTATTTAAAGGTGTATATAATGTGTATATTTTAATTCTATGTTCTTCCTGTACATCCTGCTGTGATACCAAAATTTCCCTCTTGTGGGATCAATAAAGTATCAATCTATCGATCTATCGATCTGTTTGTACTTTGTTTCTTGACACCACTGGTAGCCAGACACTGTATTTGTAGCCACACGTTCAGATATTAAAATCATATTATATTAAAAACAGCTGTTCAGAATAAGCAGCAACATGTAGATGTTTAAGAGGAGAAGGACACATATTGAGACTTGGAGGTCGTGCGTTGAAATCCCATCTTGCAAAGTTCTAGTCATGACACAAGCTGGAAGATGTTAGCGGCGTGTTGTGACCTGATAATCCAAAGCGTTTTTCCCGGTGCTCATTTAGGGAGCTGAGAGGTCAGAGGGCAAAGCAGAAGTGCCAAGCGGGCTGATCGGATGTGGATGAGAGAGAGACACACACGGCACTCGCGCTCTGCTCCTCGTGTTTACGTTAATGTCAGGAGACCACGCATTGCTGCTCCTCCTCGCCACCGGTTCAGGGCCAATAGAAGTCTTTTCTTCGATATCTAACAAGAAATACAAAGCGTAACGTTCTCCCCGATGTCGGTCAGTTGGGACTCGCTGCACGGCGGGACTTGGAAGGCCCGTGTTAGGAGGTCGTAGCCACGTGTCAGCCTCAGGCTTTAGGGGGGGACTGGGGCAGATGGTAGAAACCTTTCTTCCTGGATCTTCTCAGGTAGTCGAGGAGCAGAGCGGCCACCGCCAACCCGGCGGCGGCGCAGGCGACCGGGACGAGGACGGCACCGAGACTCGGATGGAGACTGGTGCTTCGCTCTGTGGGAACCGCAGGAGACAGAGACTTCAGAGTCAAATAAAAGCTCCAGACACACGGGTCGTGGACGGACGTGACCGTGGTCTCACGAACCTCTGACGATGATGCTGAAGACTTTGACCTGGTATCCGAGGTCGTTTGTCACGTTGACCTGATACTGCCCGGAGTCTCTGGCCGTGACGTTGACCAATAGGAATGTCCCGTTGGCCGAGTGCAGCTCCATCCCGTCGGTCAGCTTCTTCAGGGCCACGGCGGACAGCGGGAAGCTGACGGTCTGGCAGCAGATGGTGACGTTTTGTCCCTCCTGGACCACCGTCGACGGCAGGACGAGGACTGTGGTGTTTCTCGGAGGAGCTGGACCACAAGAAACGGATGAGAGTCACAGCATGCAGCTGGTCACATGACCCACAGAGAGAGGAGAGAAAGGACCCATGCAGCACCAAGACTGCCTTACTAATAATAACCGAAACAATTAACTGTTTGCAAAATACTTACTGACTAATTTCAGCCAATAAAGTAATTGATTGATCGATTTCACCCCAAAGATACAGAGCCGGGTTGTTAAACAAGTGAACAGCCATAAAGTGTTTTATCATCAAAGAGCAACAGGATGTTTCTTTCTCTGCTGAGGATATTTCCATCACTTCAAACTAACTACAACTCAGTGAGACACCGACTTCCTCTGAAATCCGTTTGGTTTCTTTCATCTTTTTATCATTGAATAGGAATTTGTCCTCAGAGTGAAGCCGGTGATCTCCGGCTGTTGACCCATGACCCTTTAACACGTCAGCACCTCTCACAGGACCACAACGCCATGTGACGCCTGGGTTCACTTCTTGTTCTGATCAACGTTTGCATGGTGGGAGTTAATTGAAGGAAAACGCCACCGGGCTTCCTGCCTGTTGTAGCTCCGCCTCCTCAGGTCACGTGGACTCGGTGAGACGGAACCGATCACAAACGGGGCAAAAAAACGGCCCCTTCAGCCTGGTCCACATCCACAGCGGGAGACACATTGCTCAACAGAGGAGTAAGAAGTTATTTCCGTCCTCAGCATCGTGCGGGGAGTGAAAAGTCGACCCTTCAGATAACATCTGTCACGACTACTTAGAGACAAGAAGCAGAAGAGGAGCCGGACCCCTGGACTCCTCGACCCCTCGGCCGGTTTTCGCCCACTGTGCCGCCAGAACCACCGTCCAGTAAACCAGTACCTGAGACGGTGACGGAGCCGCTGACCAGTTGGGATCCGTGCTGGTTGGAAGCTTCACACTGATAGTGGGCGGAGTCTTCCAACTGGGCGGAAGACAAGCTGAAGGAAAGCGAGGAGGAGGCGGGGTCAGTCTTCTTCAGCTCCGCCCCCTCTCTCCTCAGCACCAGCGTGGTGGGCGGGGCCCCGTCTGAGCGGCAGGTCAACGTCACCTTCTGACCCTCCATCACCTCCTCACCTGGACTCACTGAGAGTGAGGTTCCCCTGGGAGGATCTGGAACACAAACCTCATCAGAACCTGAACCTATCTAACAATAAACAGCCGTCGGTCCATCCTAAGACACTCACAATGGACGTGCAGGGGGACGCTGGTCCTCCTGGACCTCCACAGTTTTCCGTCTTCCATCAGCAGCTCAGCCCTGCAGGTCAGATCTGGCTGGTCCCCATTGACCTCCAGCTGAAGGACAGACGAGATGTTCTGTAGGGAGCCGGAGGACGCAAAGGACTCAGACATCAGCGTTGTGTTCCCCAGCAGCCACAAGATCTTCATCTGATTGGCCCAGAAGACGCCGCTGACGTTGCAGCGGTGCACTGCCGCCTGACCTAGGAGGACGGGACCAGGGTCCTCCAGAACCGGCTCGGACGGGAACGCTGGGAGGAGAACCACGAGAGATCATCTACAAAACATCCAGACCTTCAGAACTCAACTTCCCTCAGTCTCTTTGAAGCCTCGTCTCTGTGACTCATATCTGACATTCAACAAAACAACTTGTTTGTCCCTTCGGTTAAAGATGAAGAACGGCCGTGAGAGGCCTTTAAGGAACCCGGATCCCTGCAAAACATCATGTTAAAGTGACGCGTCGACATTTAAAAGAGAAAAAACAGATGACAGGAAGTTCCCAACTGTTTGTTTTGGCGTTGATGACTTTAGTTTTTCACGGATCGCCTCGCTTGCTCTTGCTTTCATTTTGATCGTTTGCCCTCTTGATACGGTTTGCTTGTTCAGACAGTATTATCGTGTTCTTGTACAGTGTTCTGATAAGGTTTGAGTCAGGACGAACAAACTATGTGTTTCTTCGGGGGGGTTCTGGCTTCTACGTGTGGGGGAGGACCTCATTGTGTGTTGTTGCAGCTATGTGTGTGAACGGGGGGGGGAGATTCTCCCCTGCTGTGTCAGTTCCTGCCGGTCAGAGCGCTGCGGTTTGTCCTCTTCAGACCGACTGAACAGATCCGTGGGACGAAACTTTTCTGGGTCACATGGGGGGAAAAAAAGATACCGCAGAGAGCCGTCACATCTGCAGACACAGACCTTTGGTCTTCAGACCTTTGTAGGTGGGTCAGGTGTCTTGCTCGGGGACACTTCGACATGGGACATGGAGCAGATGGGGCTCGAACCGCCAACCTTGCGGTTCCCGGCGCACCCTCTCTACCCCCCCTGGGTCACGTCGACCCCTCTTATCTAGAGCGAGTGGTAAACTGGCTTATTTAACGAAATTGAACTTTCTTGCACTTTTGAGTTTGTATCTCGGTGGTTGAAATGCACTTTTCGTAAGTTGCTTTGGATAAAAGCAACTAAATGACTGTAAATGGAAGTTCAGCGCGTGATGTTTCACCCGTTCAAACACAAAACCATTTCTGTGGAAATTAAACTCTACAGTTTTCATTATTGCTAACATGTCTAATATTAATAAATTTCAGTATAAAGACACGTCGCTACCAGCCTGAACCCACTACAGGTGTGACGGGGACTCACCGTAGACGTGCACCTGGGTGGTAGCGGCCCTGCTGACGGAGTCACATTCGGCCTCACAGGTGTATCCTCCCTCATCCGTCAGCTGCAGGTCCTCCAAGCGAAGCACAGACTGTCCAATCTGCTCCGCCCCCCCGAGGACGATCCGGTCCCGGTCCGTCCTCCAGGCGAAGACGGGCGGGCGGAGACATCCGGAGGCTTTGCAGGTCAGGACCAGAACTGAACCCTTCTCCGCTAGTGAGGCCGAAGAACTCACCTCCACCCGCAGAGGGTGAGCTGACAGAACAAGGAGAACAAGCTTTGAATAAAATGTTGCTGTAAATATTACCAGTTTTATTACTGGTTTTTAGTCAAATAAAGGAAAGTGAACCGGTACCTGCGACGGCGACGGAGCTGTTGACCAGTTGGGATCCGTGCTGGTTGGAGGCTTCACACTGATAGTGGGCGGAGTCTCCTACCTGGGCGGACGAGAGCCTGAATGAGAGCGATGAGGAGGCGGGGTCAGTCCTCTTAAGCTCCGCCCCCTCTCTCCTCAGGACCAGCGTGGCGGGCGGGACTCCGTCTGAGCGGCAGGTCAACGTCACCTGCTGACCCTCCGTCACCTCCCCGCCTGGACTCACAGAGAGGGAGGTGTTGGTGGGCGGAGCTGTGGGCGGAGCAGACAGGTGCGTCAGTCTAAAGTTCCACACAGACACACAGAGTGAACGAAACAGGAGCCTCCCCCCTCACCGTGAACGGTGACCTCCACCTCAGCCGTCTGGCTGCCCTCCGAGTTGCGGGCCTCGCAGGCGTACCGCCCGGCGTCGGACAGGGTCACCGGCGCCAGGACCAGCTGCCGGCCTCCACCCCTCCCCTCAGACCCACCGCCCGGCGGCCTGAAGCTCCAGGTCACGGTTGGCTCTGGGTTTCCCTCCGTAACGCAGGTGAGGTTGAGCGAAGAGCCGGCCATCGCCGACTCCGAGGAGGGCGTCGCCTTGACGACAGGAGCATCTGAAGAGGACGCGGACGATGTCAGAATGGAACTTGGGTTTTGAGTTGAAGCTCTGATTATTAAAAATATGCTTTTGAGATCTGAGTTCTGTTATGGTGATGGTATCACTCACAGAGGGGGTTTATTGGGACAGTGGTCTCTTTGTTCCTGTCCTCATCTGGCAGGTCCTGCAGGTCCATCGTGGCGCTGCAGCTGATGTTTCCTTCCGGGTCCAACTTCAGGGGGGTGAATCTGTATTCAGACCAGACCGAGTCAGATCCAGAATCCCCCGTCGCGCTCTGCAGGACGGCGTCCCCTCGGAGCCAGTTGAGGGTCAGCTTCTCAGCTGGGTGGAGATCAGACACCCGGCAGGTGAGGGTGGACTCCGCCCCCAGACGCAGGTGGTCCTGGCCTCGGATCCGAGGGGCTGATGGGAAGGCTGCACCCAGAGAGGAGGACGGTGACTCGGCACATCCTCGCTAACGAATCACGACTAAACGGCATCATCTTTCTCACACATCATCAACAGATGAAACCACAATGTGAAAACACTAAAAGTAAAAGTACACAAATGCAGTTAAATATGTTAAAAGTAATTAAAAGTATCGATCAATCAGTAAATCAGTGTTTTACTATTCGGTTGTTTCTGTAAAATATTCCTGCTACATTAATGTGACTGTAGGAGATCATCAGCATGTGTTAGTTAAGGACATGATGGCGATAAAAGCACAAATAAAGTACAAGTACCTCAAACCGGTACAGCACTTGAGTAAAAGTACGTATGAACTCACAATAAACCCGCACTAATGTCCTGATCTGCTTCTTCTCTTCCCCACAGACGACTTTACACAGCAGAGATCCTTCGTCTTCCATCGCTACGGGGTCAAAGGTCATCACAGAACAAGTCCTGTTGGGGCTGGCTGAGGCCCTCAGAGGCCGGTCCTCCGGCACGGACCAGGAAATGCTCGGCGTTGTGGGACAATCCCGGACCCGACACGCCAGCTGCTGGTGCTCACCCAGCTTGAACAGAGGCCTTCTGGGAGAAATCTCCACATTTAGACCCCGAACGCACCACGATGACATCAGCAGCGCAGCTGGGAAAGTAAACGACAACGACGAGACTGATGTGACTTCGATCCATCGACCCGCTGCGGACGGAGGGGACGACGGCTCACCTGTTCGTGCATCGGGTGCGATCACACGGAGGCGTGTAATAACAAACCATCATGAAAATGACCATCTTCATTTGTGCCGCACATTTCACAGAATGCACATTTAAAAAACAAAGACCTGAAAGATTCCAGTTTGTGTGTTATTCAAAAAAATATAACAGATAAACAAGAAAACATGAGGAACGCAGAGCAACGCAGGGTCTCGTTCAGAGCTTTCAATGAACGGTTTGTAACCAACAGTTCATTCACTCACCTGCTGCCCTTCGACGCTCCTCCTCACCACCACCACAACGTTGCAGTTCTTTGACCTCCAATACCGGTCTGATACTTGTGTCTGTTACCTCATTGTTACTCATCTACATTACAGGTCATTTAGCTGACGCTTTTATCCAAAAGCGACTTACATCACAATTTAACACATGACTTTTTACATTTTGGCCCGGGGAGCAATTAGGGGTCAGGTGTCTTACTCAGGGACACTTCCACATGGGACACGGGGCAGCCGGAGCTCGAACCACCAACCTTGCGGCTCACGGCGCTTCCTCCCTACCCACACGCCACTGTCAACCCGCCCCTGTTTGTAACCTATTACCTGTATGATACCTGCTACCGGACTGCTGGACCTACTTGCATTTGGGGTATTGATCCCTGATTCCCCCTCTGGTGCCCCACAAGAAGCAGAGTTTCGCCGTTTTATTGCTAAATAATAAGCGTTTGTTCGAAACTCAAAATTGAAAGAAGTGTGAATGTTTTATCTTGAAAAGTCAGAATCAAATCAAATAAATCCAGAGTTCCTCAACCTCTGGGTCGTGACCCCTCACAGTGACCCGGTGTTTACCAACTCTGATGAACCGACGTTTAAATGAACTTCATTCTCCTTTTGTCGTGTTTGTCTTTGCATCCAGTAATTATGTGGTTTGAAATACACACACTGAGAAAAACATGAATCAAGACTTCAGACTGAAGCCTTCAGAATAAAATGCAGAATAAAAATATAGAAAACATAGAAATAATATAATAATTTTACCTGCGAGAAGAGGGGCTGAGCAGACAGTCAGCAGAGACATCGCAGTCCTCAGAGGGTTTAAACGGCCAACTGATGAATCAGTGAATAAATGAATGGATGAGGAACAAAGCAGCGTGGCCTTCGAGTCGATGTTCCACCAGATCAGTTCCACACGTCCATCAGCCGACCCGCAGGTCTGATAATCCTCCACGGATGTGTGTGCAAGCGCCTCTATGCCTTTATGTCTGTCCTGCTCCCTCGCTCTCCCTTTATGTCTTATGTCCCCCCTCACCCTCTCACCCCCTCTCTCTCTTTGTGTGTGAGGATCAGTCTGTGGGCCACAGCGCTCTCTGCTGGACGGACCGGAGACGTTTCTCCTTCCTGTCGCTTCTAAAGGAACCGTTTTCACTTTGTTTTCACTTGAACTCATTTGTGGTTTCAGTATTACTCAAAATAGATTTTAATAATAAATCCATTGTCTCCGTATCTTTTGATCAAGCTGTTCGGAAATGATCCTGAAGTCGTTTGTTTTACAGCGCAGCCTTAAATTGATTGATTGATTGACGATCAGTGTGATAACAGACTGAGTGATGAGCACTGTGACTGAGTGCATCATGTGACCAGAGTTCAGGTAACTTCACCCAGAGTTCATGTCCGACCTCGCACACGAATATGAAAAAACAGGGAGGAAAAAAAAGGTTCAGAAATGTAGTTTATTGTCTGTCTCAGATAAAAACAGAAGTCTGAAAGCTTTTCGCTTCAACATAATACTTCAACATTAAAATATAGAATAAGCAACCAATACCGTTCTTCATTTAAATATCATCCATCAGGATGCGGTTCATTCCAAAATAAAAGCCCTCTGACACGCTGCGTGAAAATAAAGCTCCTGGTCGCATCTTTGAGGCACTTCGAAGCCTGAGAAAATGATCCGATAAATAACTGATCCACAAGAAGTTGTAAGCTCATAAAAATCCCTTTAAACCACGTTACTCTTCATGTGAAACGTCACGCCACTCGTCTGACACGACAGGTCACGTGACTCGCTACTCCGAACGTGACACTTTTGTAATTAAATCTTCCATCAGTTTATTGGTTGCTAGCTGCTGGTTTAAGGACTTACGGATTCCCTCTGGTCAGCAAACATCTTCCGCTGAGCAGGGCGGCATCAAGGAGAGATTGGCGAGGACGGGGGACGGAGGGACGCATAGGATCCGTCCTCAGGGAGACAAACCGAGCTCCTGTTTAAGCAGGAGGACGTTATTCCAGACGAAGCGTCCCTTCTTCACCTACGGCCATTATTATTGCTGTTAACGCATGAACACGGACCAATCAGCTGTCGGACAGGAAGTAAATACTGGGAGGACGGAGGGTCTCGTAAAAAAGAAAAAAAAAAAAAATCTTCTGTGACACATAAGAAATATAAAATGTCTTCTTTATCTAAATATATCTTCTTCTGCCAAACAAACGCCCGTAGTTGGTCATAATTAAAAAACATCTCCGACATCTCGCTCATTAACATACACCTCATTTACATACAGTCCATCAACAGGTCACGTGGTAAAATGTAGCTCATCAACATACAGCAGCTGTCCCTTCGTCACTGAGCTGAACCTCCAGCTGCTTTATTAGCTTCCCTTTGAGCGCCCCACACACAGGGGGTAGTGGGTAATGAGTCCTCAGGTGAGATCTGTAGTTCTAGTACTGGACGTACTCCGACTGAAGAGACTGAAAGAAAGAAAATAAAGTCAGATGGATGCCCTCTCTGTTTATATGTATAAATATAGACCTCCCATTATATTAGATGGAATTCTCTATATAGCGTGTAACAGAGGTCCTTTCAATTTACCTTTCCTGTAGTACAGGTCTGTACCTCGTTCTTTTATTGAACAAACCACACACACACACACGCACACGTTCGCCAGATAACATGATTCACACCTGATCATGTGACTGTCTAAACGGCGCGTTGGAGATGAACCGCTTCTCGCGTGTGAAGTGGAGGCGAGCAGGTGGAAGCAGAATCGGGCGCAGAAAACAAACTGCGCCTTCAAAGAGTCAAAGAATTTGACTTGCATCTGTTCGGCTGCTCGATGTGTATTTAAATATAGATTTGTGTGCACCCGCGGATAGGATTTCCCACAAAAACGTGGTGCTTGTTATACATTTAAAAAAACAATCCGCCTGTTGATCTGGTGGCAGCGTCGCGACCTTCGTGAGGTGAGTCGGCGCCAAATCTAACCGCCACGCGGCGATCGATTGTGATCAGGACGGGCTCCTCTCAAACAGGCCGAATCCCGCCTGGTCATGTGACTGTCTTCGTAGAACACATGATTCATATCTGGTCATGTGACTGTCAGGAAGGTTAAAAGGAACAGCAGAGAAGGTGAAAGACTGATATCAGAAACAAACCGGATGTTTTCAGAAAATAGTTCATTTTTCAGACTAAACTCAACTAAATTGTTATCAATCAATCAATGTTATCAAACTCCCTGATCGGAATGAAGAAGTGTCAACTACATCCAGTGTGTTAATGATGTCACCAGAGACGGGGGGGCGGGGCTTAGCTGCAGCCGGGTCAGAGGACTTACAGGTATGGAGCGGCTCAGGTAGCGTCCTGACGGGCCCTTCAGCGCGCCGTGGGGCCCCGGGCCCCTGTAGGGGCTGAAGTCCTGGGGGCCCGGCCTGCTGCTCGGCGCCGCGGGACCCCCGTACGGACCCCTGTTGTTGTTTACCTCGTGCTGTGCGCCGCGAGGGCCGTTACCATAGCGACATAGAGGGGCCGGGGCCAGAGGAGAGGAGGGGGAGCCGAGAGACAGAGGGGAGGAGGAGGGGAGAGGAAGAGAGGAGTACGAGGGGTTTTTGTCCTCCTCAGCGTCCGCAGCATAGAGATCAGTGAGAGAGCTGGCCAACCGAGAGCTGGGGGGAGGGAGGGAGGGGGGGGACATGTCAACACATTAACATTCATACACTCAACTACACACACACACGCACACACACACCACTGAGAGGGGGAGAGATTTAAACACACGGACACCAGTTTGACGCGGCTCACACCACTTTACACTTTAGTTTAAACCAGTTTGAATCTAATTAAAGATTAAATCAGGGACCAACAGCTTCTTCAGGTTGAGAGCGAAAGCTGAAATTGGGGAGAAAAAAAAAAAAAAAAAGACGTCCGCCCAACAAGAGCTGGTGATGAAGAGGAGGGGGGAGTCAGACGGGAAGCGAGAGAAAGCACTGACCTCCTGATGTTGGAGGCCGTTGATGATGGACTTCTTCCGATCCTCTTGGCGGCAGCAGAAGCAGAGGATGCTGGGAATTTAGAGGACTTGAGGGGAGAGGAGGGGCCCTGACCACCACCCATAGACCACCTGAACACAATTACGCAGCTTATGGTCAATGCGTTGATTACTTTTTATCAGCAGTAAAGCCACAGAGAAAGCTTTTTTTTTTTAATTGTTTCATTTTTAGTTAATCTGACAATTCAATGAATCAAATTGCTTGTTGGTGAGAATTCATTTTTGAGACCATGACGTTGCACAGGTCTTCGTTGTCATTCTCCAGGTGCGTTGGCCTAGCTACGTCCAGTTAGCATGAATAGACACTGCTAACGCTAGCTAGCGTGTAGATCCGCTGTCCTGTAACTCTACTAACACGAATTCCTGATTTGGGCTCTTGGGCCGTACGGATTATAGAAAAAGGAAAGCTGAGGAGTTCAGGAGTTACCTGAGCGGCCGAGACGCCGAGCTGCTCTGAATCTTCATCTCCTCCACTCTGAAAGAAAACATTTCACTTTAGACCCAAAACTCAACAGAACTCTCATCGAGCACAATACACACGAGGTTCTGGTCGTGGTACCTGAGAGCTCCCGTGGTGGCGGGTCGGTGGGAACGCCGGCTCTTTAAGGCTCTCAGTTTGTCTCCCTGAGTCAGGACCGGCCCACTGTCCAACGTCTCACTCTGGTGGACAAAACAAACACCCCATAAGACATTATACACACACGTGTGTGGGTGTGTGTTTCTGTTGTGTTTCTTTGTGTTACCTCGTGCAGACTGCTGCTGCTGTTGTGAGCGGAGTTCAATGTGAGGTCGTCCATAGTAGTGATGAGTCGAGACACGGTTCTCTCCTCCATCTTGGCCTTCTGGGAACGCTGGGTGTCACCTAGCAACCAGAGCGCTGCCTGCTTCCTGTAAACACAAACAGTGTGTTATAATGTGTCTAACAGTAATGCTTTAATAATATTAATTATTCAATCTAATGAACACTATTTTTTTTCAGCTGACTTTGATGTATTATTTGAAGTATTATTATTTTTGCAGTATTTAAATACTCAAGCAGCCGGGTGAGACCGGAAGGCGTGTAATCAATGAGTTGATTTTGATCGGTTTACTCGGATCTCCTCGGCCTCGTTCAGACTGCAGCCTCCAGCCACGGAGGAGTTCTGTACCCATTGACTGCTGAGAGTAAGGACGCTCCCGCGTTGGAGAGACGCGTCTCCAGCGCGGCTGCGTCGTTACCACGGCAACCCATGCAGACGAGTCTGGCCCGCGGTCTGAGCGGAGCCTTCGAGGGAACAGCTGTGCTCAACAATCGGGGACTCACTCCTCCAGGAAGTTCTGCTGTGGTCCGATCACGGAGCCCGGTCTGCAGACCCTGATCCAGGCGATGGCTTCGCCCGCCGTGAAGCGGTAGTGTTTCATCAGGTAACAGCCAATCAGAGAGCCCGTCCTGCCCAGACCAGCTGACAGAGGGAAATAGAGGCGGTGGAAGTTTACATTTATTACCTAAACCTACCTAAAGACAAGATAGGAAGCTAGACCTAAGGACAGGAAGCAATACTACAGGACAGGAAGTTATACCAGGGGAAAGGGCAGGAAGATATACTAGAGGACAGGAAGGAAGACAGGAAGTTATGCTGAAGGACAGCCAGAAAGTAGCATTCAAGCACCGGACAGGAAGCTATAATAATAATTACACTACAGGGCGGGACAGGAAGTGGTAGTTTAGGACAGGAAGTCCCCACCCTTGCAGTGGACCGCCACGGCGCCGTCTGTGCTCTCGCAGACGTGCAGGAAGCGGCGTGTGATGACGTCACTGGGGCGTGCTGCCATCCAAGAAGAAGAGGTCGTAGTGGTCGAAGCCGGCGTCGGTGAAGCGCTTGGAGTCGTAGATCTTCTTGTTCAGGCGGACGACGGTCGTCACGTTGTGCTTCCTGAAGTACGGGAAATACGCCTCGGGCGCGTGCAGAGGGTAACCTGCGGGGGGCGGAGCATCCACGTGTTTTACCCAGCTATATGACATTATGTCCTGGAGTGTATGATAATAATAATAATAATAATGCGGTCCTGTTGACAGCTTGAGGTTCTCTCTCTGTAAACGCACCGTTCTCGATCTTAGTCTTAGGATGAGGTCCGCTGAAGGCCAGAAACTTCCCCGGGACGATCCAGTTCAGGTCTCCGTTCTCCACCCGCTGCAAACACAGAAGACGCCGGATCAAGTCCCAAAAACGCAGAACGAGGACGTCTGCAGCTCATCGTCAAACATTACAGGCTCAACCAGCTGCCAGAGGAATGGGTGATAATGGAGTTAGAGGGAGCTTGTGGTCCTAGTAGTACAAGTAGTACCGGCAGTACAGACATTACGGGTATTACTCGTAGTACCTTATGGGTAATACAGGAGGTAGCCAGTGAAGTGCTGCGATGGTTTTACCTCGTAGTGTTCGTACTCGTCCACGTCGAACGTCTCGAAGTCAAAGAAGCCGTGCTGCAGCGCCTGAAACACAAACACAACGCGCTCAGCTCAGCGTTGATGAGGTCGTCTTCCATCCAGCCAATCACAACCCACCTTCCTGACGCCCTGCAGACAGTCGAGCACCGTGAGGTTGAAGGTGCAATTCCCGAAGGAAGCGTCCCTGAAGAGAGAGACGGCAGGTTAATGCAAAGCTGATGACACGTGATGTTAATCTCATACATTGAACTTAAGATAAACCATTTCATGATTACTGATCATTAATCATTGCCTGCAGATAACACACCACACACACACACACACACACACACTTCATGAGTCAGGATTGTGATGCTCCGACATCTTCATTATCACTTCAGCATCTCACTTCAGTGCAACAGGTCTCTGTGAGGTGTGATGTTCAGATTTATCATCATGGAGTCACATGAGAGCAACATGTTCACTTGAAATATTTTAGCTCTGAAGTCACTAAATAATAACCCGTTCATTCTCCATGGAAGGACTAACCGTTTATTTGACATCATGTGTTCACTTTGTTACTGAAGAGCTGGAGGCTGATTTCCTGAGAACTTTTAATACCAAAAAAAAAAAAATGTACGAGCAAAGACTATGGTTCTTCCTCCTCGTTAGACCTGGCTCCTACCCACAATGCAGCTGTTCCCCACACAGCTGTGTGGTGTGCTAATAGTAACTTATATTCATCTGGAGGAGGGAAATCACCGCGGCTCATCTTTATCTCTCTACTTATAATCTAAGAGACGGAGACAAAGGCGGCATCATGGCGTGACACCAGAGCTGATGGTGAAGAAGTGAGCCAGCTAGTATTAGCTCTGTGCTAGCAGGTTACTGTCGCTAACATAGCGTCCTGATGGTGAAGGTTGCTGCAGATGTATCGTAGAAATTCTTCTGAGGTTACAAATGACCCCAAAGTTCTTTCTTCAGAGCCCCTTTGATAACTGAATAAATCAGAGTGACTTTTAATCACCAGTCATTTACATAGCAGCTTCATTTAGGAAATATAATGATGTAGTTTTAGTTTGTTTGACTCAAAAGGTGAGCTTTAAATGCACAGAAAGTCCATGAGGAGGGAAGCACCAGTGATTCCGACGGTCAGTGAACGTCTCACTGGTGTGTCACTCAGTGGGCGTGGCCTCCTCATGTTTAATCCATTCAACAACAGTCTGCTGTTACACAACCAGAGACACCAAGCCCTTTATCCTTTATCTGTCGCTGACAGATTCTTCTTCTCTTCGTGTAATTAGTGTAACTTCCTGGCGTCACCACGCTGAGCAAATTTTAAGTAAATTTAGTTTCAACGTCAAACAGGGTGGTGCCCCCCCCGAAAACTCCCGCTACTGGGAAAAAAGAGCTGCGTCCCCTCAGTCCAGCAGCATCAGTATGACAGTAGTGCTGCTGCAGTGGAGAACTCACCTGAAGGGCAGGTAGGAGGCGTTGGAACCAGACGTCAAAGCTCTGTAAGCTTCTTCTGGAGTTTTCTTCAGGTAGATCACCTGAGAGACACACAAAGGCCAACAGCGACTGAGCTGGAGTCTTCATCTTCTCATGGAGATCACAGTCTTCGTGCTAAGCTAAGCTAGCCGCGGTACATGGGACAGAAACACAAGCCCCTCCTTCTGAAACTCCCCACAGCCCGACATGAACGCAGCAAACACGTAAAAACAGGTGCGACTCGTTTGCGCCGTAAAGACCGAGAGGAGAAGGACTGGCGCTCAGTGGACCTGCACATCGCACTCTCTTCAGAGACGGAACAGTTTGTCCTCGCGTCGACCGAAGCCACAGTCACGAGAGAAACGCAACCCTTCACCCAATAAGAAACGGGACGACAAACATGCTGGGTGAGGCAACAAGGTGGGGTAGCAGTGAGCTGCGTCTCGAGTAGTTCAGATCCATGTGACACACCTGATCAATGAACAGAAGACGACCTCGCCACCCACACGCAGGTTTGATTGACAGGTTTAGCGTCAGCGCTGAATAAATGACACGTTAATCCTTTTAAGATGAAACAGCTTAACTCTTCGGGTCAGGTCAAACACGGCACGAGGATTAAAGCTCTCCCTCCTGTTCACACTGGGAGCTAATGAAGCATCGCAGATACAGACGGAGGCGACAACCCTAAAGCCCGCGCCCTTCTTTTTAACCTGGACAAAACACAGGAAGTGGCACGTGACCCTGAGGCAGCTGTGCTGCTGTAGTGCTACGGAGCCTCATCACATGTGACGTCATCCTCACTGTCCAGTTAAACCACATGATGAGTCCCTTTGGTCAGTTAATGAGTCCCGCTGTGAGACACACAAGCCGAAGGACCCGTCACACGTTGTTCACTCAATACCAACTATTATATACATACTTCCTGGCTCCGCAGACTGATCTAGGATCAGCTCATGGCTCCGCAGACTGATCTGGGATCAGCTCCTGGCTCCACACACGCTGACCAATTGGAGATTAGCGTGCTGATGACTCACCGCATATCCGCCAATAAGCACGGCGGCGTTGGATCTTTTCCTCTGGTCAAAGCTGGTGTAGTGAACGATCCTCTTCCTGGTCAGCGTGAACGACTGCACACAGGAAGCAGAAGAAGAGCTGTCACACGAGCACAGGAATCAGTCAACCAGGCGGATCAATAATGTTGATCGGTGACTTGATACGGAGGCCTCCCTCTGATGTTTTTTTCATCTGGTTCATACTAATGAATGTAAACGTTTTTCATGAAATCTTGAATAAACTTTATTGTTCCAATTAAAAAAAACATCAGAGGTTTGAGTCTATCTTTTAAATGCAGCCCAGTAGTTCATGAGATTATATCTGAACTATGACCTCTGACCCCCAAGCGACTGTTAGCTAAAGGCGTTAGCTTGTTATTAGCATCACACTGCAGACCTGTTTACTGACTCTAGTCCCATGATGCTTTGAGTCCACATGGACAGGTAGAGACTAATCACAGGGTGTGAATGTACACCACCGTCATGACGAATGACAACAGGCCACGAGAGGAATGTCATCACCAAGGCAACAGATATAAAACAAAACATTGAAGCCACATGTATTATCTGTGTGACAGATTGAACCAGATGTGACAGAATGAATGAATGAGATGTGACAGAATGAATGAATGAATGAGATGTGACAGAGTGAATCAGCGAACTCACCTTGAGCTTCTTGTTGAGTTTGCAGCAGTATCGATACAACATGGCCAGATTCAAAGGACCAAAGTCTGCATAAAAACTGAAACACAGAGCTCAGTTATAAACTACAAAGTCAAAAAAAGAAGGTTGTATGCTTCATCTTTGCAACTTTGGTTTATTTAATAATCTAATGTTGTTAAAAATGGTTGTGACATAATGATTAAAAGGAGTGCTTATAATCATTAACAGCTTGTACACGTAGGATTCTGTAGTTCATTCATAATAAATATGTCAGCTTGTCTGTGTCTTCATTGTTTCTGCTGTATATCTACAAAAGAGACACACATATTCCTTTGTTCCTCATATGGATTATTGATCACGTCACAGATTCAGACAGCTGAACTTACTTTTCGTAGATGAACTCGTCGTCGGTGCAGAAGTAGTGAGTGTTGGCCGTACTTTTAGGTTTACTGCGTAACGTGGCGAAGTAAAGACGTTCTGTTAGAGACACAAAGACCAACTGGTTAGAAACTGATCTAAAGACTATTTGTAGATTAAAACACTGTATTGTGTTGATATTTCATCTAAGAACAACTAGGATGAGGAAATCAATAATTATAACATGTAGATTATACGGAGAATGTCAGTGTACAATAAATGATATTGTTAATAATGAAAAATATATTAACTAATTTAAATGTAGGTAATAAACTCAAAGCATTTTAAAACATCAATTAGCTCTCTCTGTCACCTTTTATTAAAGACAGGAATTTTGTATTAATAAGGTTAATAATTTATTATATGCATTCACATTTGGAGTCTTCTTTGCGAATAAACCCATTAGTCCCACCGCTTGAATAGATTATACTTACGGATTCCCATGATGGATTTCTTTACCAATTATTCTTAAATTAACTTTTTTCTGTAACTGACTCCACTGCTGAAGATTTGTTTTGTCAAAGTTTGAACATTGTTTTAATAATATAAAAGCTGTACAAACAGAAAGTATTGTTCATGTATCAGAGTTCTGGACCAGCAGGTACACGGCTCGATAACCCGGATAAAAAGTGTGATCACTTCATAATATCACAACTAGCTGAGGTGTAAACTAGACGTTATGTTAGTTTAGACACAGTAACCATGGTGATCTTGATACAACTGATCACATTTATGAAACCTGATACATTTTGTGTGTGTATTTTTACTGTTTACCTTGAATAAATTAGTCTTACTTTAGATGCTCTTTACATTTAATGAAGTCTTTGTACTATTTCTATCTAAACTATTTGTGAAATGTATTACCGTATTATTATTGAATAAAATTCTTTAAACTTGTTATGACAGAAAATCTGATCAACCTCTTGTCTTTAATGACCTGTAATGTAATAAAGTCTTTAACAGTGAATTCATACCGCAAATTCACATATGTACACATACATATGTACTTTTAAAAACCCTTTAGTAAACTAAATGAATGTGATTTGGCTTAATAAGGTTTGAATAGACCATTCAAGTATCTTTACTTTTAGTAAACTTTACATTATTGTAAATACTGTGTATTTACCTTTAGTGGCAGGTATGTACCTTTATTAAACGCTTTCTACTTGTAATACTATTTGTGTATACCTTTACTTGTCCCTCATTTAATTCTTTCTACTTTTTAAATAAACCGTTATACTATATTCTTAAACATACAGTACATTTGTCCCTCCAATAGACTATTATGTCTTAGTATTTGTACCTTTGATAAACTGAGCGGCTCCCACCGGCTCGGAGTCGTCCGACATCCCGAACAGGACAGACAGGATCGGGGAGTGTCTCACTCGGTCCACTGTCATGGGCCCGTCTAATTCCTGGCCTGTCGCTCTCACACCAGCTAGCTTCACAAACTTTCCCGAGTGCTTTCAGCTCTCTTAGCCGTTAGCAGAATAGCAACGGAGCGCAGGCAGGTAGAAAAAAACTGTTTAAAAGTTTAAAAAAAACAAAAACTTTAGCGTCAGTTTCCCATCAGCCCCTGCGGCTTTACTTTGCCCACAGGGGGATCTGTTCTACCGTGTCCCTTGTTTGGTTTTCCGTTTTTTCCCCGGTAAATACTCCCGGGTTAGCATGTTAGCATGTTAGCGGAGACTCCGACTCGCGACGGTCCTAGAGTCTGAAGCTCTGATTTACCAAATCCCTCCTTAAGACACGTTCCCATAGCAACGGCAACCGCTCCAACAGCAACAACAGCCAATCAGCAATGGGAACAGGCTGTGCTGCCTTCAGGCTCGCTGGGAGACGCGCACACTGAGATTTTCAAGTACCAACCAGAACAAAACCAGTGCTTATAATACAATATAAAACTAATCTTTGACTGTTTGGAAGCTCCCGACAATAAGAAAAGCAATACTGTACCTTAAAGGTTTGTATGTTGTGTATATGTTTAGGGTATTAGGGTTTTAGGGTGTATAATGTTAGTGTTATAGCATTGACAAATTATTTAGTAAACTTAATAATACACTTTTGTCTGGTATACTTTGTACCTAAATTATGAATTGCTGTGGTCAGAAAGGACTTTTTTTTCCTGATTTACTGATGGACTATTTTCCTATTTATACAGTTACATTTCTCTGATGGATGTGGAACGTGTTTCCAGGATGGAGAATGTGCACATTAAAGATCCTTTAAAGAGCACAATAAAGAGAGCGGTAATAACATTTCATGTTATAAACCCACAAAAATGTAAATGATCACAAAGAGTATTTTTACATCCAATCCCTGTGTTTTTAAGAAGGTGAGAGTCCTAGTCGTGTTGTTCTAAACATCTGGACACTTTTCAGTTGTCAAATCGAATGTGAAGCATTTGATTTAAATGGTCAAACGTTCCGCTTCTCTGTTAAAAACGCCGAAAAATGCTGACTTTAACAAGAAACATTTTTGCTTTCTCTTATCTGAGGTGAACAAACCACATGAAGCATGACGAGTGAGACACCCTCACCCGATTGACTGGTTTTAAGACTGCGCGTTTAAAGCTCTTGACCAGTCCTCTCACCTGCGATCAGAGAGATCCACACACGGTTTGGTCCCGGTCCTGTTCCAGGCCCTGGTCCAAGTTGGAGGATCCGGGCTCCGTCCTGTTGCATCCTCCAGGCCGCGGCGTCCGCCATGCTCGAGGGCGGTGGGCAGACTGCGAGGACACGGCAGGGCAGAGCTGGTGTCAGGTGACCCGGATCAGGTTCCTCATGGTTCCAGAGGGGACAGACGTGTGAGTTTACAGCTCGCTCGGGTTTCAACACACTTTCAGGTCCAAGCTGGACTTCCTGCTGTGCACTGTACATCGACTCACCTCCTGCAGGTGAGTTTGAAAGGCTGGAGGGACAGACGTGACACCCCCAACCCCCCTGATGACATCACGGAAACAAGACAGGGACCACAGGAAGTCCAGGTCCACCAGGGAGAGTCCAAAACAGATCAGTTGTATTCATGCTGCGAAGCAAGACCACCCTATACCCAGAATGCAATACAGTGCAATACACTGTAGGAGGGCAAGTGGATAAATAAAAAAAGAAATAAAACTCCTGTTTAGCAGCTTTACTGTATTACATGCTGCAGTTTGCTTACAGAATCCACACTGCTGCATGCAGTAAATACTTCCTCACAGCTTTGCCGTTTGACCTTTGACCCTCATCATTGTGGTCTTTCTTTGCCTTCTCGGCAGCTCAGTTCACGTATTCACGTTCCATCCACATTAAATTAGTTCAAGTCGAGTCTTTTGCACTCTGCCCAAAATATCTCCTCCCTTTCCCGTTGCATCCGGAGGTACGCGAGACAACACCGAGAGACGGAAGCAGCGACAACAACAAAAAGAACATATTTAAAAACAGAAAGTTATTTATTCATTTATTTATTACAGTTTTAATGAAACACCCTGAGAGACAGAAACTGAAGGTCGGGGGGCGAGCAGCTGGCAATGTGTGTTTGTGTGTGCGCGCGTCTACAGGTGTTTGTTGACCGCTCCTGATCCTTCGCATTCGATGATGAAGGTTTCGTTGCTGCCCTGTTCGTCCTCACACTTGGTTATTGTGAACTTTGCCTGCAAACAGAAAAATAAACATCAATACCTCCATTTTAACAGACGGTGTGTTTGTGTATTAGTGTCTCGGACCTGAGTCAGCTGCTCTGCGATGTGAATGGCCGTCTGCGTGTGCAGCGTCACGGCGCCGGTTCGAATCCGAGACGTTCCCTTCGCCAACGCCATGAAGATGATGAGCTGAGGAGGAAGAGGACGCAGGTGACGGTCAGAGCCCTTTGTATGAACTGTACATGAAAGGGTCATAAGGGGGGCGAGCAGGGGCTCCCACCTGGTCTTGTAGGAACTCGTCCACGCAGTTGTTGTGTCTGAGGTTTCTCAGCAACATCTCAGCAGCTTCGATACCAATTTTATCAGCATACACGCCTGAAACACGCAAACACGGGTCAGAATCAGGAGTCCCAGGGGCTGCGGACCAGACTTGATGTCGAGAGTCGCGGGCGACCTGCTCACCTTTCTTCCCCAGAGCTGAACCTGCAAACACGCAGCCCGTTGACGACTCGGCGATGATTCTGCAACACAAGGCGGGAGAAGAGATTCAGAGCGCTGACGCAACGGGAGGACGCATTCACTGCACGTGGGAAAAGTGAGCTGAAAGACAACAAATTAAACATCCGGCTCCAAGTCCACCCGCCGAGCTGCATGCGGAGCACAGCTCACAACTAGAAGTAACGCTGTTGCTACATGAAAACAGGGGAAAGAGCGATACAGGAGGAACGACGAGAGACCAGAGACGCACAAACACAACTTGTGCCCAAGAGAGGAGCTGTGTCTGTTTGGAGCGTCTTTGAATTAATGCGTTTACTTGAAAAAGCAATACCGTCAGAATCTTTCCAAATACGGTGATATGGATTTTTGGCCACACCAAATAATGACCATGGTGCATTGAAGAGGAAACTACGTAACGAGGGAATAAATCAAGAGGAGTCATCTACACAACCAGATGAGTCGCCCCCGGTGGCCATTACAGAGATTGCAGCTTTACGTTCCCTTGGGGGATGAAGCGCTTGAACACGCGTCATGGGCTCCCTGCGGTTTGACTCCAGAGGAGGAACCGACTGTCCGGACCATCATGTTGGTGAGCAAGCTCCACATTTACCTGGAACCGGGCCGACTGGTTCACAGGCCGGAGGGAGGAGGAGAGGCCGATGAACGGGGCCCCGTTTCCAGTTCCATTTGTAACCCCAGAGTGTTTTAGTACACACATCCTGGTTGGCCGACTATGTTCATGCAAGTAACCCCGTTTTGTGCTTTAAGAAGGGTAGTGATGTCAGCAGGTGGGCGGGGCTTACATGATGCCATTGCCGCTACCGTAGGCGTTTTCCTTCTCTTGCAGCGCCGGGATGTTGATGTACAGCTCTTTGATTTCCTTCCTGATGGTTCGAACAGCAGCAGCAGACATGTCTTTAGCCAACTGAACACAAAATGATCACAATCAATAGAGCAGACCGGTCGATACGGCAGAATGCCGTTTTGAAGAAACGGTTGTTGGTAAACCACGTTATGACATCTGTTCTGGGGTGTGCAACGGTGGTAACTTTATTTTGAAGGGCGGGACTTTACTTTGTAGGGCAGGACTCCAGCTACAAACGCCCGGCCGTAGATCTTGGTGATGTTTCCTCTCTCCGTCAGGATGACGGGCAGCAGCTCTTTGACCGGGTTCACCGTCACCATCAGCTCGCCGCCACCTTTGGGGTAGTATCCCCTGACACACACACACACACACACACACACAGTAAGACACTCACAAACACACAGATCTCCAATGATCAGCCGGGAAACAGTAAACTGACCTCATTCTGATATCACAGTCAAAATGGACCCCAAACCGCTCCACCATTGGTTTAAACACCTGAAGAAGAAATGCTGTTTAATGAGCCTCGAGCACACAATCCGTGCGCGCGGTGAGAGTAGTGAACGTTAGTGGCGGTTATCATGTTTCCCGAGGAGCAGACCTTGACGGTGTAGTCGATCTGAGGAGCCATCTCTGCGTTGGTTCCTCCCTTCAGGCAGAGCTGTGAGGAGGCGTCAGAGAACAGAGCACAAGGCAGAGCTGCCTGCAGCAGCAGACACACACTCCTGACACAAACACAGATCACACACCGATTACTCACTTTAGAAGAAGAAAATTAAAACGATCATTGTATTGAAGACAAGAAGTCAAAACAGGAATCTAGATTTTGTGATTGGGACAGACAAGAGACAGAGCGAATGATGGATTGACAGAAACAAATAACGGCAGACAGACCGAGAGAGAGAGAGAGAGAAACGTACTTAAATATTAGACACACGTTCCTTGCAGTTACATTTTTTTTTCTCTTAAGCTTAGCTGTCCACATTTTTGTTCATAAAGAAAAAAAAATGACACATATTTTTTGCACTAAACCAATTGCTGTCACAAACAGACTCTCACCCGGCCGTCTGCGTGTCGGCCGTGTGGCTTCCGGACTGCATCTTCCCCGGAGTCAGGCTGATGTCGGTGGAGCCGATGGCGGCGCCCTCCAGACTGCCAGAACACAGATCTGAGACCATCTGCAGGCCGCTCAGGTGCTGCGGTCTGAACACACACACACACACACACACACACACACACACACACACACACACACACAGTCTGATTCAGCCTGAGAAACGCTCACCAGACTCCACGGTCATTTTCCTTTGTTTAAAACCAGCACTGATCTGTGGCTTGATGTCCGTCACTGGTCGGATCAGTTGGTGGGAGAAAACCATGAAAAGAAAACCTGCGAACTCAATCCACAAGTTGCGTGAATGTGTGTGTTTTTTTTGTTTAACTTTAAGGCAAATGCACATACTGGACCAATATGACTGATGGGACGCAAATGAAAAAAAACTTACAATGAACTGAATGGATTCACAGTTACGGGATGAGACGATTACACCGTTTAATGGGAGAAAGACGTGTTTGTAAAAGCCGCGGTGTTAAAAGTGGACTTTTAAAGCGCCGCGGCTTCCATCCCTGAATGGAGGCTGCTCGGCGGCTTCCTTTTCTCCGCTGAAGCTTCTCGTTATTCAGCCAAAGTTTCCAAAAGCAGCGTATGACAGAAAGAGAAAGACTTTTCCCCACCAGGGAAAACAGAACCGAGGGATTCATTCGGGTCGTACAAATAACAACAACGGACACGTTAATACCCCCGGCCTTTGTTTTAATTGTTGTCTGCTAACTTAGTTAGCCCACCACTCAACTTCAATGAATAGGCTAACGTTAGCATGCTACCCCGTTAGCTGCTAACCCACCTGAGCCCCGGTGTGCTTCTGCCGGCTCGGATTTTGGTGATTTTGACGGAGGAGCCGGTGATGCAGCTGAGCGCCGCGGAGACTCTCAGGATCTGTCCGCCCTGCGGGGAGGAAACACCGGTCAGACACCGGCTGCTAACCGCCGCGGCTAGCCGCACGTTAGCATGTTTGCAGCGCGGAACATCTGCCCGCTGGTTAACGGGCGAGTACTCACTCCCTCCATCACGCTGCCGTCGATCTCCACCATTGCGGAGTCCATCTTCCTACGAGCAGCAAGAAGAATCAACTTTACAACACGAACGATGGTTCTAAATGACCGGCAGCCTGTTTGCAATTCGTCTCCTTCTGTTTGTGATTCTTCTTCTTCTTGAAGTTCTCGCCGTCAAGTTAGACGGTGGAGTGAGCGGGAAGCGCTACATACACTTCCGGTGGTTAATCAATTAATGTCACATGCACAACAATTAGAGAGAACAAGAAGAATACCTCCCCTACGACCATGCTTGATTACTAAACATACGTAATTACAGTATTTGATCATTTTAAAAATATATAACATTAACTTTTTTGGTTTTCTTTCAAGGGAATAGTATGTCCTTTACTTTGAAAAGCAGATACGGTATTAATGCTGTTTAACTTGATGCTTCAATTGATTCTGTGTGAACAACAGCAGAGTCACTGTGGCGTCGATAGGAAAGATACAAACGTAAAACAAACTCATTCGTTCACTAAAATGCATCTCTCATTTGTAATTTCTATGTGGTAAAATGAAGGAATAAGTCAAAAGCTGGACTTTTGTATTTGATAACCTTTGCACAAACTACCACTTTTAAATTCATATATGTCAATATGCATCGTTTTATTTCGTTTTTATTCAATCTTATTTGTACCGTACTTTTGTTTTTTGCATTAGATCATAGTCATTTTACTTGCAATGTAATGTTACTCTTACTATGTTATGCATCACTACCCTCAAAAAAACTTATCTGAACAGCAATTAAAGACAGAGTTAAGATGTTGTATCACATGCAATAAAACATATGAGTATGTTTTTAAAATCACTCTTGTACCGCAGATTAATTTAGATAATAAAAAGTGTATCCGCTAGATCTGAACCGCCTGTAGTATCCCTGCTGCCCGCCGGGTGGCAGCATCGAGAAGCTGCTTCTTCCGTGCGCCCCCGCTAAAGAAGAACAAGACACCGGGCGGTGATTGGCTCCTGGGAGGGGCGTGCAGTTGTGACGTTGGGGTATCCAGTAAAGATGGCGGCGGTGACTAGAGGCTCCTTCACTGTTTTCAGACAGCTGGTGAGAAAAAGGATACGCTTCATAAATGTTTTCTGTTTGTTGGTTTTGTCGTCAGTTTGTCTTCTGCTGCTTGCGCGGATTGAGTGATGACATCACTCCGTCACCATGTCAACCTGTTAGCTTAGCCTGTTAGCTGCTGCAATAACTTGTACTTTCATGCTAATTGTGATGCTAATAAGGCTAACCGAATGAATTAATCAAAAGATACACAGTCGCTGCTCCGTGTTGTCCGCAAACTGCGCACATGCTACTTTTTTGTTAGCAGTTACCCTAAGTTAACTTTAGTTAGCTTCTATTAGCATCCTGTAGGTGAACCATCTGCAGGGTCACGAGAGATGGAGTCCGGATGCTAACGGCTAACAGAATACCATAGTTTGATTGTATTTAATAAATATTGTTGTTCGTAGTTTTTAAAGATGTATTATCGGCTTATACCTCAGTCTAAGGAAGTTAAACAGCTCAGTTAATCTCTAATAACAATTTTATATTAATGAAGCATTCACCAAGCAATTGTAGCATTTGTATTGTTAGCTTTTTAGCTGTTGAAGTTGAATATAATCAAAGTCTGATTCAATTTGTTGTTCATAAAAGTTAAACATTAAATACGATCAAAATCTTAAATCGATAATTTCTAAACTGTGCTGTTTCCTTTGTAGTCGATCAATTGGTACACTTGTAGACTATTGATCAGCACGTGTACATCTGTTCATACACTTGTTGAGAGCGACGGGTAGAGCATCTCTGAGGATTCTAGCTGTCTGTCTCTCTTTGAGGACCTGCCTGTCTGTCTCCCATTGAGAACTTTAGTTGACAATGTCAGGACTCTACCTGTCAGGTGATGTTTATTCTTGCCTGTCTCTCTTCCTGTCAGCTTACTCATCATTACCGCCGGCGATGTTTCCGGCCGCAGAGCTTCAGGCCCGACCGAACCCTTCAGCCTCTGAGCTTCAGATATGAAACAGACCTCAAGATGTTCAGCAGCAGGTCGCTGCACTCCTCCGCCGGTAGGTCCAGACCTGCAGGACTCTGGGTATGAATGTGTGACAATAAGTCAGCCCTGAGGTCACAACTTTTTAACATAGTGATGAATGAATGTCACTTAAGGTGGTTTGACCTTTTATGGGGGCAACAGTCCAGAGAATATTTAGCTTCACAGAATTCAATTTGGTTAATAATCAAAGATCAAGTCCAGACACACAGTAAGTCTCCGTCTTGATAATGAATCACTCATTGTTCATATCTGGTCGATCCAGTTTGAGGAATTCCGGAAGCTGTTGGGTGTATAATACACCTAATGGAGGTTACCCTGGAACCTGCTCCAAGTGGGCCGGCTCTTGGCTCTTGGCAATGGAGTTTTTCCTGGTTCAGTTGGAATCCAGCTGAACGTGGTTCATTATGAATACATATTATTACTATAGATAAAGGTTTAGTCCTCAGGGGCCGGTATTTCAAAATGATCCCACAGGATTAATCCTCCTAGATTGGATTAAATCCTGATCAGATCCTAATAACTGGTTTTTCGAAGCAAATCTGATCTTGAAGATTCAGATTCGGGAATCCAATCCTGCCTTTGATCCGGATAATAGGCTGCTGTTGAGTATTTCAAAACTTTAGTGCGAAATCTGTATCAGTTTGATCCTAAAGATCAGGATTACCCTGATCCCATCGCAGAGGTGGATTTGAGGGAGTTTACATGTAAAGGTTTGAACAGTAAACAAGTTTAACTGCTCCCAAAGTTCTTTGTTTGATACAGATATTTAAGTTTGACTATGAATGCCTTATTTAAGTGAGTTTTACCCACTGATAAAGGCAAAATGTATTTATTAACATGCCTTCAGCACACACACTTAATTTTCATAGCCAAAGGTCAAAAGGTTACGCCATTTGGAGCAGATCTGTGTTAACTTCTCTTTCCACAAACATCTGTAAAAAAAAAACGAATATTAAGATTTAAGGGCAACACACAGACGCTAGCCTATCTACCAACTCGTTAGCTCCTTAACACCGAAGTCAATGGAGCAGCATTAGCGTGAAATCTGCCTTATTTGAATTTGCAGAGCTCTTCATTCAACTTTGTGCTGATTTACGTAATTTGTTAACTCAATATAATGATTGCCTTTCATCTAGTCGTAGGACGCATCCACACTGACCAAGATTATACTTACATTTAGAGACAAGAGTTGTACCAGCTTCTCCTTTTTGCGGTAAATAGTCCGCTCCGTTTTCTGTTTCCCGTCTGTGACTTAAGGGACGGGACGGATTTTGACGTCCCAATCTGCCGGTATCCCGATCACTCTGACCCACTCCAGCAAAGTTGTGAAATACGGGGAGAGATCAGGTTGATCCGTGGCTGAGGACAGCGGGGTTTGGTAATCCGGATCATTCTGATCTGGATTACAAGTTTTGAAATAGTGGCCCCTGGTCTCAGATTAGAGGATTCCTTCGGTCCCTCTCTCCTCTCTTCAAGTGATGAAGACGTGGTCATGATGTCGTTGATGATGTCAGTGTGTTTTCTTCTGCAGTGAGTCAACGACCAATCGTCTCATTCAAACTGTCCGACATCGGGGAGGGAATCATGGAGGTGACGGTGAAAGAGTGGTGAGTCCTGAGACCACGTTAAGGCCGAGACATGAGACTACTGAACCAACACAGGACCACTTTGTCCCCAAATAACCACGTCTGTCTCTCAGGTACGTGAAGGAGGGGGACAAGGTGTCTCAGTTCGACAGTATCTGTGAAGTTCAGAGCGACAAGGCGTCCGTCACCATCACCAGCCGCTACGATGGAGTCATCAAGAAGCTCCACTACGAAGTGGACGGCACCGCTTTAGTGGGAAAACCGCTTGTGGACATCGAAACGGAGTCCAGCTCGGGTAAGACTCGATGCTTGGTGTTAGTCTGGTACCAGGTCTTCAGTGTGTTTTGGCGTTGTGGTTCACACCAAAACCTTGTTGTTGATCAGAGGTCCTCCAGGAAGAGGACGTGGTGGAGACGCCCGCCATGGCTCGAGACGAACACACCCACCAGGAGATCAAAGGTCTCAAGACCCAGGCCACGCCCGCCGTCAGGCGCCTCGCCATAGAGAACAACGTGAGTCTGTCCACACTGTCTTGTCCCCTGTCGTCCCCAATTGTCCGGTCTTTCCCCATTTCGTTTCCTCTCCGACTAGTGCGTCTCTAGTCGGTTCTTTTGGTCCCCAGTCCCCAGACCCTGCAGTGTTCCCAATCTGTCCCCAGGGTTCCCAGTGTAACCTGTTACTAGTTTCACTGGTTTGACTGGTCTGACTCTCAGATTAAGCTCAGTGAGGTGGTGGGGACGGGAAAGGACTGCCGTATCCTGAAGGAGGACATCCTGAACTTCCTGGCGAAGCAGACCGGAGCCATCATTCCTCCGACCCTGTTCCAGGAGATCCAGCCGCCGCCTCCGCTTGCCGCTGCCCGGCCCGTGAGCACTCCGGCAGCCCTCAAAGCTCCACCCACTACACCCAAACCTGTCTTCACCGGGAAGGACGTCACCGAGCCCCTCAAAGGTCAGAGTATGTTGCTAGGGATCATGTCACTGGTCATACCGGTGAACTGTTGATGAATTATTCAGGACACTTTTGTCTGACGTCCTCCTGTCTCTAAGGAGTCTCTGGTCTCTCAGGGGCCCGGTGATGGTGTCTGTGGTCTCGGCACACAGCTGATCTGCTCTAACGGTGATTGTGCCCTCCAGGTTACCACAGAGCGATGGTGAAGACTATGACGGCGGCGCTGAAGATCCCTCACTTTGGTTACTGCGACGAATTGGACCTGAGCCGCCTGGTGTCTCTGAGAGCTGAGCTCCGACCCATCGCTGAAGGTCGCGGGGTCAAACTGAGCTACATGCCCTTCTTCATCAAGGTACACCTCTCACCTCGATGCGGATTAACGGCTGAGTGTTGACGTTAACGCTGCGCTCTCATTGGCTCAGGCGGCCTCCCTCAGCCTCCTCCACTTTCCCATCCTGAACTCCTCATTGGACGAAGGCTGCCAGAACATCACGTACAAGGTCTGCTATATAATTCAATTGATTTATAGATACAAAGTATCTGATCTCATTAACGTCATCATGTTCATGTGTAAATGTGTGTGATTCTGTCCTGAAGGCGTCTCATAACATCGGCCTGGCGATGGACACCGTTAACGGCCTGCTGGTTCCCAACGTGAAGAACGTTCAGCTGCTGAGTGTGTTCGACGTCGCACAGGAGCTGAACCGCCTGCAGGCGCTCGGAACCGCCGGGCAGCTGGGAACCAACGAGCTGAGCGGAGGAACCTTCACCCTGTCCAACATCGGATCAGTGAGTTGTGCAACGACGCACCAGAACCACAAAGACGCTCCAGAACCACAAAGACGCTCCAGAACCACAAAGACGCTCCAGAACCTGACCTGTTTGTTTGTGGTTCTGAATCAGATCGGAGGGACGTACGCCAAACCTGTCATTCTTCCTCCCGAAGCCGCCATCGGAGCTCTGGGAAAAGTCCAGGTTGGCAACATTTATCTGCGGTGTTGAACATTTATGTATCCTATCCAATTATAAAATATGTGCCCATCTGGCGTTTTTAATCCATCAGGTTCTCCCCCGGTTCGACGCCGGCGGTCAGGTGGTCCGAGCTCACATCATGAACGTCAGCTGGTCGGCGGACCATCGCATCATTGACGGAGCCACCATGTGTCGGTTCTCCAACCTGTGGAAGAAGTACCTGGAGAACCCGGCCAGCATGGTGCTGGACCTCAAATAGACAGAGGAATATTTCCCATCAGCCCCGGGGAGACCTTCCCCCTTCTCCTCCCGCCGCCTGGGCTTCGTCTTCCTGTTTGAGGCCTTTCCGTTCACTCGCCGTGGTTTTATTTGTTGCCTTTTGAGCGGGGCAGCGGGAGGTGGAGGAGGGGTTAGCCCTGTGTTGTTTCCATGACGACCAATAGCGCGCACACACACACACATACACACACACAGAGTGGAGGCTAAAGGTAGTTTGTCTGTTTCTAATGTTCCAGGAAATCAATTACAAATCATGACCAATTATAAAGGACGTTACTAAAACCAGTTGACGTGCTGGGAAAAGGAGAACCAGTGTGAAGGGGCCTTCGGTGTGTCACCGTTACTGGTTGTTCACCATTGACCCCGATTCAAGTGTTGTCACCTGAACATTTGACTTCTTCTGAAGCTGGTCCTCCGATCAGTTCGTAAAGTGAAACATTGAAAACAGCAGGATGCTCCTTTAAGTTCTCAGTAGAACCGATTTCCTGTTCCTCAAACACTTCAGAGTCCATTATGAGGCAAATTACCTGAAACTGCTGCTCAAGTTCTGTGTCTTTAAATCCTATTTATTCGCTGTGTGATCTCCTGGTTTAAGGGTGTCTCTGTATGCAAATTAGGTGGGCGGGGCCATCACGGGTTGCTGTCCGTCAGGTTGAGGGTCATGTGACTAAACTTTTATTTACCAGCAGGACCAAATATGATTCCCGTCTCTGAGGTTTTTGATGAACACAAGGTCAAACTATCGATTTGATGATTCTGGTTGCGGTCGGTTCATTTGACGCCTCGACCGGGAATCCGCTTGTCAATGAAATGATAAAAAGGTACAAATCATCTGGTTCTGGCTCAGCGCCCCCACACACACTTGGAGTTTGTCTCCTCCTCTACTGGATCAGAACCAGTTTAACATCACAAGCTCTGTACCAGATCAGAACCAGTTTGTCACGCTTACTTTGTCCTGACCAGTGTCTCCCTGATCTCTGTGAATGGATCAGAACCGGCTCTTGTCCAAAGGGGCTGCAGGCCCTTTGTGATGTTTGTAAAGTAAGCTGGATTCTTGGTGGTCTGGTCCACTGTAGACCTGGTCCCCGTTGTGCTCCAACCCGTCTCTTCGTTTGTCCTGACGACTGTTACAGAACCTGTGAATAATCTCTGGTGTTGGTTGAATGTTTTTTTTTCTGTTTTAGTTTTTAGCGACAGATTAAATGTAAAACTGTACAAAAAAAATATATGTTTTTTTTGTATTTTTAGGAACGTTTGAAGTTGGTGGAAAACTTTAAATAAAGTTGAAGTGCACAAAACTTAAATAGTTTTGACTGTTCTTTTTTATTAATTATGTTTTTATTGATACAGCCATTTTTCATAAACCGTCATTTAATTTAACCAGAGCTGTGAGTGTGGAAGGCGAACCGAACAAAAGTCTGCGTACGCGCCCCCCCTTCTGCCCCCTTCTGCCCCCTTCTGCCCCCCCCCGCGTCATTCCACACTATCATTGTGTCAGACGGGTCATGTGACCAGGAGGCTAAAATTATCCTTCAGATTTGAGGTCAAATTTCAGCTGAGGAGACGCAGGAGCATGGAGAACGGCTGCTGCGCTCCCACACGGTGAGGACGGGCACAATTGTACTACTACTGTAGTACACAAGTACCACAGCTGTACTACAACTACACCGGGACTACAACTGCACTATAGATTTGCTGCCCAAAGGCTAAAATAATTATTTTTAAATTATAATGCTGAGCTAAAATATTTACTAACCGGACAGTCAGAGGAAGGACGCGGCTGCAGGTCAAAGGTCATCCCCCCCGAACAGGAAGTGGGCGTCATGGTGGGCGTGGTGAGCTCTGTCAAAGCTCTGTGGGAGACGAGGATCAGGAGGCTCCAGGAGGACGAAGACGAGCAGAGGAGGAAGAGCACCAGGGGCGGGGCCACCGGCAGGTCAGACTCCGCCTCCTCAGCAGAGAGGTCATTCTGTTAGTCGTTACACACCTGGTGGAGATCTGTTCCAGGCAGCAGAACCTCCCAGCAGCTCCAAAGGCCCCCGATGGGGTTCGCATGTAGTTTTCTGGTCCAGTCCAGAGTCCTTCTGGTCCGTCATGTTTCTCGTGATCCATGTTTCCGGTCTCAGACTGGGTGTCGGGGTCTGGGAGGACCGGGCGGTTCTGGCCCGTCTGAGGAAGAAGCTGCAGACAGAAGACGGACGGCTCGTCCTCCGAATCGAGCAGGAGGAGTGGAAGGTAACGTCCCCCCAGGTGGACTTGATGTTACGTCATGGTGGCATCTCCATTTTATTTTTTTTGTCTCCCTCCTCCTCCCCCTTTTCCTTCTCCAGATGTTGCCGGACTGCCTGGTCCAGCTCAGTCAGGTCCACGAGTGGCAAATTCACCGGACCGGCCTGCAGAAAATCCCTCACTGCATCACCAGCTTCCAGAACCTTCTAGTTCTAGATCTGTCCCGCAACGGGGTCACAGAGATCCCCAAGCAGATCGGTCAGTACGTCCCCTGCCTCTCACCGACATCATTTCATTCTCATTTGAGGATCGTCTTGTGGTCTTTGTCTCTGTGAGCTTAGCGGTCTCGTGTCCTGGTTCTGGTCTCAGGGAAGCTGCCTCAGCTCCGAGAGCTCCTGCTCAGCTGCAACAGAATCCAGTTTGTTCCTGAAGAGCTGAGCTGCTGTGAGAGTCTGGAGAGACTGGAGCTGGCCATGAACCGGGACCTGGACCAGCTTCCAGACCAGGTACCGTCCGTTCCGGTCCCAAGGAACCGGGGTCCTGTGGACCCACTTTGATCCAGCTGATCTGAGGGTTAGTTCTCTGAACCGGCAGTTGAGGAACCTGAAGAAGCTGCAGCACCTGGACCTGTCCATGAACGACTTCCCCGCCGTGCCGGACTGCGTGGTCGCACTGCCGGCGCTCCAGTGGCTCGACATGGGAGGGAACGGGCTGCGGCGGTTACCCGAAGACATACACAGGTGGGTGAACGAATGACCGGAGGCCCCGCCCCCCACTGTCCCCTCCCACCATCAGCAGAAGAACGCTCGGGTTTGTCCTCAGGATGGAGACGCTGCACACTCTGTGGCTGCAGAGGAACCGGCTGGAGAAACTCCCAGAGAACATCAGCAGGATGAAGAGCCTCGACACGCTGGTCCTCAGCTGCAACCTGCTCACGGACATCCCCCCCCTGATGGAGGACATGTCCAACCTCAGGTCCGCCCGTCTTAGGGTCTCTTTGTTTGTTTGTCCTCAGGTCAGGTAGTCTTGTCTTCTGTCTCCCTCTTCAGGTTAGGCCTTCTGTCTTTAGTTCTGTCTGTCTCCATGTCAGTCAGTCCTCACTGTTCTGCTCTTATCTGTCCCTTTGGAGACGTGTCCGGTCCCTCACAGTTGGAACCGGCGGTCGTGTCTCAGACTGAGCCTTTGTGTGTCTGTCGTGGCAGGTTTGTGAACTTCCGGGACAACCCTCTGTCTCTGGACGTGACGCTGCCCTGCACGGAGACAAAGGACGAGGACGACAGAGAGATGTTTGGACGGGAGTTCATGCAGACTTACATCCGGGAGGCCAGAAAAAGAGCCTCCGCCGTGCTCCACATGCACCGAGTCCCCCGTCAGTCCCCCGTCATCGCCGCGTCGTCTCCCGCATGAAACGCCGACATTAACCAAAAGAATCCGACGTCCCAGAATCAAAGAATCTTTGACCCAGTTGTTAGACGTAAAGATGATAATCTTCACCAGCTGCTCTTTATCTTTTATTGATGGTTGATAATTAAAAAGACAAGTGCTCAAAGTTTACAAACATTTATTTGTAACTTCACGTAATTTAGTCATCAGTTATGCTGAAAAACAGATTAAACAGAGTGAATCCTAAAGGTCCCATAATGCACCTGGATGGTGTTTTCCTTCGTGCCTCTACCCGGTAATAACATAAATAAAAATATATTAATTATTAAAAAATAATCTCACGTTGACTAAAATATGTTTTGTCATTTAAGTGAATTGAATGTATTTTTATTTTGATCACGTTTCTGTTTCAGAGCCGACGGATGACTCATCAAATAAATAAATATTCCTCTTCCTGGAGCTCAGCCACGAGTTTTAAAGCCAGTGAAGAAAAGGATTCAGAAGCAGCGGTTCTGCATCTGGAGGCTGAGAACACGATATTGACACATTGATGGTTTTGTTTTTTTCCAGTTTGTGTCACGCGTCAGATTTCAACTGAGTACATTTTTTTTCATCCAAAAAGCCACAGACAAAGTGTTTTGTATGAAGTTATTTTTAAAGTAGACAGAATGAACACAACTGAAAACATTTTAATACAAAAATTTAAAATTCTATCCTTTTAAATAAAAATACCGATGTCTGCATCTTTAGTCTGTAGTCGGTCTCTGGGTCTCGTCAGGTCTCAGATTGTCCTTCAGGACGCAGGCGAGGGGACGGCGGTCAGTACGACGTTCTCCAGAGTCACCTGACTGTTTACGTAACGGGCGAGTTTGCCGTGGAATCCTCTCGTCTTCAGGAAGTGAAGTCTGCCGCCGTCGATCAGACGCTTGCAGAGACGACCGACCCGCTCGCGTTCCTCCGCCGGCAGGAACCTGCAGAGAAGAAGAAGCGGGTGCAGTTTGTCACGGGGTCCTGGAGAGATGCATGAAACCGGTCCAAACACTCACCCGCTCACGGCGTCCGTCTCCTCTGCCGGTTCGTGCTCTTCGTCGTCTCCGCGCCGATCGGGGCCCCCCGGGGGGACGGGCACCTGATTGGCGGCCCGGAGTCCACATGTGGCCCAGCTGGACATCCGACAGAAAGCGGAGAACTCCGCCGCTCCGAGTCCCCGCTGCAGGAAGAACTGCTGCCCGACGTAATGGCGCCACTCACAGCGATGGTGGCAGCACAGCGCCACCGCCAGGCCCAGAACCGGGCCGAGACCCGGGTCCGGACCGGGACCGGACTCTGGCGGTGGTTCTGGTTCGGAGGTTTTGAGGCGTTTCCGTGGCGGTTCGGCCTCCCCTCCGGGTCGCTGTGTTTCCAACAGACAGCGCAGAGCCAGATCTGAGATCAGAGACGTCAACGCTCTTTAACGCTACGGCCTTCGCCTTTTTCCCGGGAGCCAATCGGATCGCAGCGCTGCTCTCACCTGTCGCCGCTCCACACAGGTGTTTTCCAACTCCGACCAGCGGAAGCTTCTTCTGTCTGAGCAGCTGCACTTTGCCTGGAGACATCAGTCACAAGACTCAGACCGGAAACAAGGCGAACCAACACCGTCTCCAGCTGTTAGTCTCTTACTTAAATCCAGATGTTGAATGTCGACCTGCAGCCTCTCAAACTGAACTCCAGTATCTTGATGTTTCCCATCTACCTGAAACCGACCAGAAGAGAGCAAGTCAAACCTTATTTACTTCATTAAACATGAATAAATCATTCTACAGGTGTTGCAGCTGTTTTGGGGGTTGGACGTGGACATTGGCGCCCCCTGCTGGTCTGCCAGAGTAACGGGTGCATTGAGAGTCTGCAGAAATGAGGTTTTTCATGCCTTGAAGCGGGTGCTGCTGCGCTCCACCAGCAGCAGCTGCAGGTCATCGCAGGTCTGCAGGGGGTCTCGGGTCTTCAGAGCTTCGTGGATCCAGTGGGATAGTTTTCCTCGACCTGCTCCGAACTCCACGAAGCACCGCCCCCTTCCCAGCAGCCCCAGCGCCTCCAGGTGACCTAAGAGGGAGGACTGGACAACGCTTGACAGGTGAGAGAGAGGGCGGGACACAACAACCAAAAGCTCCACATCCTCCAGACATGAAGGCATGAACGCATGTCACCTCAGACTGTCCACCTGTTCAAGGCCAGAGTCCCGGGCCCTGAACCAGGATCAGGAGTCGTAGATAGTAACTTTGGAGTTGGTGGATCACCGTGGTAACTGATGCTGAACCCCTGACCTGGTGGCATCACAGCAGCATACTGTCACAATACGTTCAACATCAGTTACCACGGTGAGAAGTGAACCTCCATCGTGGGACTAAAAGCCAGAATTAACCCCGAAGTCACATCGATAACCGCAAATCCTGCTCCTGGTCCGGGACTCCGGATTCTGGCAGAGGTCCGGTTTCATTTGTGTACCTGCTGCTTCAGGTGTTTGTGGGCGGAGTCTCCGTTCTTTGGGTTGTTGAGTTCCTCCTGGAGGACGGGATGAGACAGAACGCTGTCCTCCACATCGCACTGCAGTCCTATAACAACAACAACACCATGATGTCTGAGCTCTCTGGTAGATGTACCTGCTCCAAGAGGAACTCACCTGTGACGGCGGACTTCAGTTTGTCCAGCAGAGACTGTAATTCGGCCCTGCTGCGCTCAGACAGACTCACCTGAACCACAGACATCAGAAAGATTCGGATTATTAAGATTCATATTTTTACTGTGGCCCCTTCAGGTGACATGTTACCTGTTGGAGCGTCTCTCCGTCCGTTGATCCAGAGTTTATGTTCTCCACGTAATAAACCTGCGGTACGAGTCACATCAAACACTCACTTCAACCATAATAATAATAGAAATGATATTAACAGAATCACAATACTAAAACATTAATAATCATAATAACGGTAATACTGTTTCATAATGTCATGAATAATAATATAACAATAATAACTCACAGGCTTTGCTTTCTCCCTGGAGTTACATTTCTTCAGGTGTTTGTCCAGTTTGTCTTCACTCACAGTGCTGATCAGTCAAACAAACAGAAAAGTCACTAATGGGGTCATTTCAGATTAATAACTTGATTAATTCTCATAATGACTCACTGTTTGGGGTCCAGAGGACACGGAATCCTTCGGCTGCTTCCTTCCTCCTGAAACCGGACGCAGGAAGTTGTTAACAGGCGGGAGGATGACTTGTCAGCGGATATCGGCAGGTGTGAAATGACGTACTGACCAACAGGAAGTACATGAACTATTGTCGGAGTGGTAGTTTACAGCCACTGCTGAACAGGATAATTATATTGAATAATACAAATAGGAAACTTTATTAAACTCATTAGTATTTATATTTAAGTCAATATAAATCCTGTGTTTAATAAACTGGAATCTGAACTGATCTCAGTTAGACAGCAGTTATTTAATTTTCAATGATAACTGAGACATGAAGCAACCAACCACTGTATACATATTGTATTATATTAATGTTTATGCTAAATAATGCCAAACAGCTTTACTCATTTTAAATGTCGCAGTTTACAAGAGTGAAGATGTATTTTGATGGGATAAAAGTCATCATCAAAGCTCCTTTTAACACACTCTGTCTCCCTGAGCAGCCCCGGAAGATTTGATTACTTTTTAATGACCACTAAATAATTTAAAAGTTGACACATTAAATTCAGTTAGGGCATAAATAATAACTTTCGTGCATAAAATCATTATTAAATCATATTTTTTTTCTTTAGTATTACTCCAAGGCTCCATGAGTCTTACTCCTTCTCCTCCTCCCCGATTATTATCTTTTTATTATAATTATTGTTACTATGATGTTTCCGGTCAGATTTAAAAATCAGAGGAAAGTATAATAATAACGGAAGTTGTTTTACTTTGAAAAACGTGTTTTTGTCTGTATACTAATGAACTAATAAAGTTTAAACCACCGACTTACTGATTACTGTTCAATGATGCTGATCAATCTGTTCTGTTATATCACGTTGTCTGTATCACTGACGTCACCAGTGGTTCTGAACTCACCATGTTCGCGTGTTCTCCGCAGAACACCTTTCCTCTTGCGGCGATCATTTTACAGAAACGGTTCTTTTTCTCCACGAAGAAGCCACATCTGCCGGACAGGGCGGCCGCCATGTTGGAAGACATTGACGCAGATGACGCTGGGGCGCTGCATTCATGAGCTCAGCCAGCTGTGGGATATACCGCGAACGTACTACAAAAGCTGTTCATCCACGATATTTACTGAAAATGATAAATGTGTGAGTTGTTCAATTTACATAATGGTGATGTTAGAGAAAAGATGCTGGCATATTACTTATTACATATGACCAAAGTTTAAGACCATTTTCAATGTGGCGTGTATTAATATATATTTGTCCAAAGTAGCACGTGAACGCCCCAGTTTCTTTAACTTAGCCCTCCTCCCACTCCTCCTCCTCTTCTTTCTGATTGGTCGTCCTGTGTGCCAACCCAAAACATTTCCCGCCTCTTGAACCAGCGGGGTGTGGCTGGTGTTTAAGTGACGTCATTAGTGGACCGTCCATACCATGATGGCGTCGGCAGCAGCAACGGAGCGGGGCGACAGTCCCGGCGTTTCCCGGTCTGCGGCGGCGCAGTACTCGGTACTCGTGGTGGTGGGGTCGCTGCGTCCCACCGGTCTGCTGGAGCGACTGCTGAAGCAGATAGACTCAGGTGTGTACTGCTGAAGTTAGTCGGTACCGGAGACTGTAATGTTGACGTTAACACAGGGCAGGAAGTCCGCGGGGTTCTTCACAATAAACTGGTCTAACCCTGTTATCCTCTATACAAACTGTCTCTCTGTTCAGGTTTTCCACAGTTTTTATACATGGTGTTTTTTGCTTATTTCTTAGACGATGTGTTCATTTTTTATGTTGTATGGTTTATGTAGGCAGTTTGAAATTTTACAGAAACTCAAGTTAAGTTCTATGGCAGTTTATTTTGAAAACCTCTTCTCACCGGATGTTTTGTGTTTTATCAAGCTTGACGGTTTTTTCGTGTCCCTTCTGTTAAAAGTAGGTTAACGGTCCAAACACAATGAAAGTTGAATAATACAGCAGTTTAACTTTTACTTTACCCCGTTAACTGTTTCACTTCAGCTTAAAGTTAGTCGTCTAATGTGACTGATGTACTCCAAGAGGAGCAATAATTCACCAGTGTTAGTAAAAATCTATCATACTCATTAATAAAAGAGTATTTCGAATAAAGCAGATTCACGTTGAGAGGTTCATTATTCGTGTAGCAGTGAAAACCAACACTGCCCGACGTTACAAAATCACAGCATCATCCATCATACTGAGACACTAAACTAGCTAAACAACAGTTCTACTGTAACTATCTCTAAAAAAAAACAAATAATCATGTGTTCTACTGCATTCAGCCTCTGCTGCTCCAGGGTGGGTGTCCGCACCCTCGTTCCATCGTCAATACTCTTATCGGTTCTTTTTGATTAATTTGGCGGGGGAAAAAAAGGCCATTCATTTCAACACATTTTATTTTGCTTCATTATCCCACCATTGTGGACCGCACCAGTTCAATGCCATCATATTTTAAATTTGCAAACATTCCTAGGTGGTGGAGTCGACGCTTTGATGCTTGTGCAGTGAGGACAGGCGTCACATGACTGACTTCTCTGTCCAACGTCATCTTTCCGCCAATCACATCCCGTCGAATGAACCACAGACGCCACGTGTCTGCTCTTCTCGTCACGTTCTGCTCTCTCCCTTTTTTCGCTGGGTCAACATCGCTGTGATGTCGGTTTGGCCCCTTTCAGTCACCTTCTTGTTTTACCTTTTTAACTCCAGTCTGTAAAAACATAATTTAATCTTAACGGCCTTGAGATCCTCAATCAGGGTCAGGTTGAGGCCACTGTTCCTTATTGTTTGCATCAGCGGAACAGGAGCGACAAAACGGTAGAAACTGAGTGTTTCTGCAGACTGATTTGCCGTTGCTCCTCTCAGTCGTGAGGGGTCGATTGCATTAAAGGAGTCAAATGGAGCCGTGCTTCTGATCTTGTTCCCTCTGCCACGATGCTCTCACGTCGTACTGAGTCGGAGTCTGTGTGTGTTTCAGAGTCACAAAGTGTGTCTCGGCTCATTCAGTTGTTTTCACTGTGCCACCGTGTGTTTTCGTGGGTCCATCTTTGGGTCAGCGGCCTCTCGGTCTTCAGGGAGCTTTCTGCCGGTCTTCAGCCTGATTTGCTTCCCGCTGGTTTCATGTTCTGTGTGACGCACTAAGAGGAAGCGTGTTACTAAATATCTTCAGCTTCCTGTTTGCTGAGGAGGAAACGGTTCATCTGACAGAGGAAGGAGGAACCGCAGAGGGACTAAGTTTAGTTCGTCACTTCAGACCGAATCTTCTGTGTGTGCTGCACGTTGGACCAGTTCAAACCAGTGAACCGTCTGAGCTCCAGTCTGCTGCTGGTTTGAACATGGCGAAAAACGCTGGTTAGTTTGCTCGGCCCGGATTCACCTCAGAGCAACACCGGAGGCATCCCATAATAATGTGACACACAGACTCCCATTATGCATCAGATCATCTGGTGTTTGTGTTGATTTTTCCCCAAATAGATTCCAGGGAACACAAGGAGCTGCTGTCAGGGCGGACGGCGGCGTTTAGAATCGGTGGATTCTCTGATTTGAGCGCGAGCGTCACGTCCTGAGGACGACACACATGACACGAATCATTCAGCCGTTTACAACACAAACCGCTCAATGCATAAGATCATCGTCCAGCACTGATGCATCATGGGAGGCGATGACAGAGGAGCGCAGAAACGTTTTTTCTGTTCTCATTATTTACTTCAGCTGTGTGTGTGTGTGTGTGTGTGTGTGTGTGTGTGTGCGCGCTGATAACTGTTGTGTTTGTTTTGTGTACTTCAGGTGTGCGCTGCTGGCCTGTGAACCTGGATGTCTCCGTTCTGGACCAGCAGCTGAAACTCTTCGTGTCGAGACACTCTGCCTTCCTGTCGAAGGACGTCCCAGGTGAGACGACAGGAAGTGCCCCCGTCGGTTTGTCCGCACACCTGTGTGTGTGTACTTAGTGTCGCGTTGCAGAAGGTTTCTTCTGCTAAGACCCGGGTCGCTGGTTCAGTAGATTTTGAGGGATTAATGTGTTTGTGTCTTCCGGGTTCCTAAAACTCCCACAATCCTTTGTGCACGTTGTACTTCCTGTCCTCACTAGGGAAACGGGATGGATGTTGTCATATCTACAAACTAGTTTTCCTAAATCTTTGAGCGGCTTTTCGTTTTCCGGTTGATTAGGAAGTTAATTTGTCTCTGATTCTACAGAGTGAGGATGTCTGTGTCAACACACAAACCCCTGTTAAAGGATCTTTGTGGATCAGAAACTCCACCGGGTTCGCTGCTCCACTGTTTTCTTCCTCCCAGCATACTGTGGTCTGATGGTTGATGTCTGTCCTGCAGGACAGAGGACCCTGCAGCACCACGGAGACGTTCTGGACACTCAGGTTGTCGTGAATCCGGCTCACGACTTTGTCTGCTCAGAGGTGAATGAAAGTGTGTCATTAAACACGGCTCTGTGTGCAGCTGATGCAGATCATCACCGGTCGGCGCTCCTCGTTAACGTTGACCCGAGATCAATGGGAGCTTCATTAGTTCCGTAGTGAACAACGAGTCCTTTGAACTAGGCAGAAGGAGAGCTAGCTAATGCTAGCTGTTAGCCTGGTCCTGCTTGGCTAAATATCAGCAGAGCAACGTGTGTCTGTTGCAATGTTATGATGTGTTCAAATGCAATCTGGTAAAATGTAGTTACAGCGGGAAGCTTGACTAAATTCAAGGGTTTTCATATTAATATAAAATAGATCTTCGAGATGATAAGAAGATTATTGTACATCATCATCAATGACGAGACTCGATCAAAGTGCAAAGTTTTATATCCTGATTATTTGAATTGTGAGCATTTATTCAAATCACCGCAACAGATGACAAACAAAGTACATTTATTTTTCTCTAAATGTGTTTTCAGGTGCGGCGGCTCGTCTGTGATCCGTCTGCACACAAACTCCTGGTTCTGGCCGGTCAGTGCGTTGAAGGGTCCGGAGACATCGTGTTCCAGAGAGGCTTCTTCTCTCTCAGCGACTTCGTCCACATCTTTGAGGAGGAGGAGGTGAGAAAGTGTGTGAGGGAGTGTTTTTACCTGCCGTTGTATCGTTCCCTTACGATCCGTCCTGAGTGTCTTCCTCTCTGTTTGGAAGGTCGGACAGTTGTTGAGCTCTACAGACCCGGCCATGAAGGCCCGCCTCACCCTCAGCTGTCCAGATGTTGGTCTCTGGAAGAACTCCGTGTTGGAGAAACACAATCTGCAAGACTACATCCACATCCAGATCAACCCCCCCGCCGTGCTCCCAGAGATGGAGGGTCTGCAGGAGTTCACGGAGTACCTGTCCGAGTCGCTGGAGCCCGAGTCCCTCTTCGACCTCCTGGAGCCCCCGAGCACCGTGGGGTTCCTGAAGCTCTCTCGGCCGTGCTGCTACATCTTCCCCGGAGGGAGGGGGGACGCCGCCTTCTTTGCCGTTAACGGTTTCAACGTGCTGGTGAACGGCGGCTCGGATATCCGCTCCTGCTTCTGGAAACTGGTTCGGCACCTGGACCGAATCGACTCGGTGCTGCTGACCCACATCGGCGTGGACAATCTCCCCGGGCTGAACAGTCTGCTGGCGAGGAAGGTAGCGGAGCAAGAGGAAGAGTGTGCTGGACCCCCGAGCGAGGAGGACCGGATGAAGAACCTCGTCTCCCCTGAGATCGGGGTGGTCTTCCTCAATGTCCCCCACAGGTTGAAGTCCTTGCAAGGAGATCCCGGCGAGCTGCGCAGCTGTGACCAGGCGGCGCTCACTCTGCAGAATTTGGAAAGACTTTACATTAATCCGGAACCTCTCAGCCGGTCCAACGGACCCCGAATAGATCCGGTTATCTTGTTTCAAAAGATGGGAGTGGGCCGCCTGGAGCTCTACCCGCTGAATCCAGTCGCTGGCAGCAGAAACCTCGAAGCTTTCATGCAGCTTTGGCCAAATAAGGGATCCGATGTTAAGGGCTCAGACCTTCCGCTCCCGTGCCTCGTTTCCATTTGTGCTCTGCTCGTCTGGCATCCGTCCAGTCCTCAGGAGAGAATCATCCGGGTGCTTTTCCCAGGGTGCACGCCGCAGACCAAAATTCTGGAGGGGCTTGAAAAACTCAAACATCTAGATTTCCTCAAACATCCGGTCGTGTGTTTGAAGGACCTCGAAGCGCCCAAACCGGACAAACAACCGAAACGGGCAGAGAGTCGGGAAAGCCTTAAGTCCCAGTCTAAGGACGTCAGACCCAGCAGTGCCTTGCAGAAAGACAAACGAGTGGATGTCAAAAAACAGGAGGTGAAAACGATGCCAAAGGCAGCGAGTGACACCACGTCTAAAGAAAAGAAAGATGGGGAAGAAAAGCCCAAACTAAAGGATCCAGAAGCAAAATTGAAGCCACAAAAAACGACTGAAAAGCTTGTTCCAAAGAAAGAAGCGTCACGAGAAGAGAAAAAGGAAGTAAAAAAGAAGGACGAGAAGGTCGCGGTCGCTGTAAAGAGGGAAGAGAGTGGAGAGAAAAAGAAGGAAGCTGTGAAGAAAGAAATTCCAAGCACAAAAGCAAAGAAAGACCTCAAACCGGAACCAAAAAAAGACAGACAGAAGGATGTAAAAACCGAGGAGAAGAAAACCGAGGAGAAGAAAACCGCTCGACCAGCTGTAAGAGAAGTAAAGAAAGCAACAAGTGGGCCTTCGAGTACGGAGCTAAAGAAGGCTTTGGGAAAGAGTGGGACTCTACCAAAGAAAGACTCTTTGTTTTCAGGGACAAAAGGCAAACCAGGTTCAAAGGAGAAGGAAAACCAAAAGGCGGCCGATGGCGTCAAGGCGCCCACGCCTGAGGACGAATTTGAAAGACTTCGATTGGAGGACAAAAACGGGAACAACTCAAAGGTCACAAACTCAGACGGCGCAAAAACCAATGGGAACCACACCTCGATGGTAGAGAGTCCAGAGACGTTCCGCTGCATGGGGACGGACCAGGCCGCCGGGGACGATGGCGTCCTCGGCGCGAGAGGATCCGGCCTTGGCTTTGAGGCCAACGGGACCTCCGGCTTTGGCTCGACTAGGGCAGGTCTGGAAAAGTCCTGTCAGGATAAACCGTCGGGTCCTCTGACGCTCAGTCCTTTCAAAGACATCTCGCCAGACTCCTCCATCACCATGACCTCCACGCCCGCCGAGCTGGGTTCTCCTCACTCGACAGAAGTCGACGGATCCCTGTTGGCTTCTTTAGAGCAAGAGTCGCCCAAAGGCCCCGTGGGAGACGGCGTCCGTTCCAACGCACACGTTGGGGACTCAAACACCGGGACGGCCTCGCCTGCGGAATCAAACCACAACGGGTTCGGTGGGTCAGAGGATCACATCCACGGGATGTCCGAGCTCATCTCGGATGTTCCGCACGACGTGGATCTCTGCTTGGTTTCGCCTTGTGAGTTCCAGCATCCCAAAGCTCCCGACAACCATCAGCAGCGCGTGAGCCCCGGCCTCGCCGCCGCCTCGCCCGACCCCTCTGACGACAACAACAACAACAACAACAACCACTCGCAGGATCAAAGCAGCAGCGACTGCCCTTCAATCGACAGCCAGGGAACTCCGCCCGCATCGGTCAGCAACTCCGTCCCGACCGACTCCGACGTGCCCCCCTGTTCAGAGGAATGTCCGTCCGTCACAACAGAAATGGACTCTGATGATGACGATGATTCCGGTAGCTTTTTCCCGCCCAGTCATCCTTCTGGTCCCCAGTACTCCCACAAGGGAGGTCAAGACCCCCCGCCCGCCCCGGTCAAGGATCTGCCCCCGTTGCCGCCCCAGCATGGCGCCTGCATGGCCGACGCAGAGGCCGGCAAGAGCCTGAAGGGTTCCACGGCCAAAGCCAAGAAACCAACCACTAAGGCACAGAACGCCACCCCTGGGAACGCCGCCGCCGCCGCCCCCAACGGAAAGCCCAAGGCCGGTGGCCCCTTGGGGTCCATGAAGATGACCTCCAGCCTTGAGGCGAAGCCCTCGTCCAGAAGCTCGCTCGGAGGCTCCAGGCTTGGTCCTACAAAACCCCCATCCTCAGGTAGGCGGGTCCAAACACACATGGAGGGCGCTGACGTACAGGAAGCAGACACAGTGCTCGTGTTAAACTGTGATTCGCTGCACATTATATGATGCTGCTGGGGCCCTTGAGTATCATTAAATTGATTTTATTTCAGCAATATAATGCTGAATGTCTCCTTTATGGCCCATGAGCTCTGTTTGCAACCTTCCAGCTCTGCCAAACAAAGTGTTCTCGGTGCATTTAGTTCTTTTGTTTCAATCACCGCTCCTCATTATTATTTGTTTATCCTTTGTTGGGGAAATCGGTTTTAACCTCATTGCCCTGACTTCCTCCCAGCTTCCAAGGCTGCCGGTCCTGCAGGTTCCGCGGTCTATGTGGACCTGGCCTACCTGCCGTCTGGCTGTGCCTCCTCGACCGTGGGCCTGGACCTGTTTAGGCGCCTTCGCTCCTCGTATTACATCATCAGCGGAGACAATCCGGAGAAGGAGGTGGCGATGAGGAGCATCCTGGACGCCCTGCTTGAGGGGAAGAGCAGCTGGCCGGAGGTTCAGGTCCGTAAATACGAACGATAACGTTTGTCCGCTTCACTGTCTTGTGCCCTGTTCTCTAATTGGTTTGTTTTCCTGGCCTCAGGTGACTCTGATCCCAACGTTTGATTCGCTGGCGATGCACGAGTGGTACCAGGAGACCCACAACCGGCAGAAGGAGCTTTCAATCACCGTGCTGGGCAGCAACAGCACCGTAGCCATGCAGGAGGAGACCTTTCCCGCCTGCAAGGTGGAGTTCTAAACCGGAAGCCGCTGCCCACTGGAGGCCCCGCCCACTGGAGGCCCCGCCCACTGCACACCCTGTCCACCTCACCTGTGAGCCGGTGGAAACGTAGAGTAGACTTGAGTGGTTGCCCCAGTTGCATGCTGACCGTTGAAAGGTCTCAATAATAATCTGTCCCCTGAATCTGAATTCCGCCCACTTTGGTTGTCATAGTTACTGAGTATGCTCACCCACTTGCTCTTATTCTGAAGGACAGTAAAGCAGGAGGTCGAGCTGCTGGTCTATTTAAAAACAAAACAAAAAAAACCTGCGTGACATCACTTCCGGTCACTTCATCTCTGCTGGATCCGATCCTTTAACTCTCCTGCTAACTAGCATTAGCACTTTAGCATGAGTCTGACGTCACCGTTTGACGTTTGCTCGGCGTTTAGCTTCAATGTTGGTTTCACTTTAGTTTTTGAGTCAAGCAGAAATGCAAAATGGAGACGTTCCTTTTGTAAATGAATAATTATCTTGTTAATATTTGATTATGAGTCAAAAACGTAATCAATACATTTGTGCTCTTTATCGCATCATTTCATCTGGTAACTTGGATAAATATCTCAGAATGACATCTTAACTACGAGATCTCAATTCTCAAAAGATTTTTAATTTGTCACCAATAGAGTTTATTCTGCTGATTACGAGGTACAGAGTTTGAGTTTTTCTTGTTTATTTTTTCAGTAGAGGAAATGTTTCGATCCAGCAGAGTTTTTACTGGTATTTGGGACCACATGTTGCCTTTAAACACAGATCTCCGATCAGTTTCTATCAGAGCGTCCTGCAGCTTTACCACTTTGTTCTGGGACTTGCTCTAAATACTACATCTCCCATGAGCCTCGGCTGCTCTGTCATTTTAATTTAACTCCGCTGAATTGATGTCAAAGTTAATTAATCTGACTGACTGCAGTTTGGAAGTCAATGATCGGATGCTTCCCACAGCAGTGCTTTCTGGGACTTGTAGTGCTTCTCCAGATGACTTAAAACAGCTGCTTGAATCTGTAGAAGTCCATATTTGTTCAGAAATGTTTCTTATTTTGGATAAAATCTGTCCGTTAACATTCAACCACACATTTCAGTTTTAACTTATTTATTTATTTCAATTCATATCTGCTTTCTAAACTTTGGTTTCAGCTGCAGCTTAATTTTAGGTTTGCTCCCAAGTCAAAGTTAATTGATCGGTATTCACATCTGATCTCAATAGAAGTATCTGAAGTGTTAATGGATCAATAATTTATCTGGTTATTGAGCCGCATTGTGACTGTTGCTGCAAAATCAAATGAGGTTTCAACCGTAAAGTTAAAAGATCAAAGTCGTCATTTAGAGAAAAAAAAATTGTAAACTAAAAAAAAATGAACAGTTTAATTCACAGAATAGTTATTTGAAGATTATAATAATTGTAAGTAATTTCCTTATTTTGGCTTTCGATCACTAAATCAAGAACTTCATTCTCCTGATTTTAATTGTTTTACATGGAGTTAAAACGTTTTTTCTCTAACTAACGACCTACTTTTCACCTTTTTGTCATCAGCCTTTCTAAAACAATTGAAGTGTTAACGATGTCATTTTTTAGATTTAGTTTTCACACAGACACAATTTCTGACTTGAACACTAATTTGAATGATTCTTTCAAAATAAAAGTTTCCCTTTAACAATTGCTTTAGTGTGGTTTATTGTGAAAAGACTCAACAAGTTTATGTGACCCAGAAGATTTAAGGTTCTCCGCGTGCTTGAAGTAATGTCACATTAATAACTGCTTCTTCCCGACAGGTTCCCATAGATTGTGGTTTAATCTGGACTTTGATCAATACGCTGCGACTATCATCATTATTATTATTCACATTACTTTCACTAGAAAGTATTTACTGTATTTATTGCGCGTGTGTTGATTGATTGATTGATTGATTGGATGTGTCTGTGGCGCAGTGGGGTGTCGCCCCCTGCTGGACCTTCAGCATAAACACACGTTGTCTCAGATGGAAGCTGATCGATCCCTGATCAGTTATGCTGGTCTCTGTTGACCTTCCGTTGGGCGTCGCCGTCGTAGCGGATGTCTCGTGTGTAAAAGGTGAGTTTTCTCCCTGATCACTTCACCAATCTGTGTTTTAGTACCACTACTAGTACTTTAATTGTATATAGCGCGTCTCTGTGGACTCAAATACAATTTAGACAAATGGAACAAAACAAAAGGAACATGAAAGGTAATTTTAAAGATCGGCCCGTCGGGATGTGCAGATGAGCTGGAAAGAAACGTTTAACGGAGCTTTTGCTCCTCGTGAGGACAAAGGGGCGCAATGAGATACGAGTTATTGAATGAAACTGAACCCGATCACTGACGTCACCACTACTGATCACATCGATGCTGGTGTCTACCCTCTGCGTCCTCTCCCCCCCCTCCTCCCCCGATGGGCGGGTCTCTTTTCTCTCTCGGATGCAGATCAGATGATTCGGGCTGCAGCGGACTGATCTCACGGTCAGACATGGAGTGAGTACTTTTATTTCTTCATTTCTCCTCCTTGTGTTCGATTCCGTCTCGCGTGTTTCTTGTGGACGCGGAGGGTGAGTTTAGTGTCCCGCGTGTGTCTCCGTGTGCGGCATCAGTCCTGCGGGGCTGCTGAGTCAGGGTCTCTACCCCGGTGATGGGGGGTCGGGGGGGGGGGAGAATGCACCAAAAGTCCGTCCGGAAAACGCCGGAGCGGCGAAGGCGTGACGGCGCGGAGGCTTCGGGGTGAAACGACGTCCCTTCGGAACCTTCTGAGGGTTCTGGTCTACTTTTCACAGCCCATCGATGAGCAGCACGAGCCTCTCCAATTGCATATCGATCCGGCTTTTTGCCATCACGGACCCGATTTATAATCAATGCCGGCTGTCAAGCTGAGGAGGTTTAGACATCTTCCGGGTGGGGTTTTCAAAATAAAGGCTTCGTGGAGGGGGGGTCACATTAATGGTGATAAACTCTCTTTGTTTAGCAGCGTTCATAGAGATGAGAGAACTGCAATATTGTTTCTTCAAGAATATCTCCAATCTAACATTTTCTCACCGATCGTTGGATCGATGTCGTGACTCATCAGACGGAGGAGGGGATGGTCAGTCTCTTCTTCTACAGCCTCCGATTAGAAAAAGGACAACCACCAATTACCAGTTTACCATAAATGAGTTAGCGCCTCCTTGGTTCAAAAACAGGGATTTTAATCACAGCAATGAATTAAGAGAGCGAAAAATAATTAAAGGGAACATTTTCCAAACTCTGACAACAACGTGTCCGCTAAACCCTCCAGGTCGTCCCTCCTGTCTGAAGCGGTTTAACACACAGACAAACTGCTTATCGTGTGAACTATTTGTGTCTTATGCATTGAATGTTATGTGGTTCATTCTGTTCACGTGACATCTTTTGACCTTCTGACCATCGTGCCGGAGGGATCGCTTCTTCCTCTTTTCACCCCTTAAAGGTTCAATTTAATTGGAAACATCCAACAGATGAATGACATCGTAGAACCCTACAACCAGTTCCAAGAATAAAAACACTCCCCGTATCACAACCTGTGATTTAAACTGGTTTCCAGTATCAGACCCTGAAATTGAACTGTCTTCCCTTGGTCCCAGTGCATCTATCAGACCTTATAGTTGAACTGGTTTCCAGTGGTCCCAGTACAAGTATCGGACCCTGTGGTGTTTTCCCTCTGCTGCTCAGATTCTCTGTTGTGCAGCCCGGTCTCCATGGAGACGGACCGGAGCTTTGTTCTGAATCCTTTTGAGTTCAGAAACTGTGGAGCTCAGCAGAGTTCAGCTCGTCCTCTTCAACAGCTGCAGCGACGCTCCGATTCTGTACTTCTGCTCTCATCTTCTTTTTCATGCCTTTAACGAGTTGAGCATATTTTAATTCATGACACATGTCGTGATAGCTAAAACTATCGAAGATAAAAAAAATATGTGATATGTGACTGAAACGGATAAGTGTCAAATCGGAAATAGTTGCCATTTTTAAAAATGTATTTTTGAAAACAATCTTTGATGTTTCATCCTTTTGTCTGTGTGTGTGTGTATATATATATATATACACACACACACACAAGCATCTTGCAGCTGTTGTCTGCTGACGGACAGGAGAGTTTTAGTGGCTGCGGGCTAACCGCTAGCGGCTAACTCTCATGTGACAGTCAGGCCTCAGTCTGCACATCAACAGCAGCTTTGTGACTCAAACATCCAGAACATCCGATCAGCTGAGCGAGATGCGGATGTTTATGCAAACTCAGGAAAGACATGAGGAAAATAAACCCCACACAAATACGTTTCAGAATAAATAGAAACAAGATGTATGTTAATAACGCAACAATAGTTTGATAATATGGAAATAAATAAATAATGTAAAATAAATGGTGAAATTATGGTGCTTGAAATTTACAGCACAATACATTATAATGTAAAATAAAGTAATATTGACGATGCTCCCCCCCCCCCAGGGTCAGTGAGGCTCAGCAGGATCGACAGCAGCTACTCGCGGTGAGTGTAATTTACATACAGTCAGTGAACACACCATCTCAAAACACACACACACGTGCACACACACATATGAATGTTTCTGATATATAACCTCTGATGGCAGCAGATATTTAAACCTACCCCCCCGCCCCCCCGCCCCTCTGCTTCTGAGCTCTTTCACTAATGCACTTATTGATCCACACACACACACACACACACACTTCCTGTGTAACTTAATCCTCCTGCTATGACTCCAGCTTAGTTTTAACTCGCCGTAGTGAAGGATCACGGCTCTTCAGGCGTCACTGTTTAACCACTAATTCATTTGGACGGGTTTTAGAAACTCTACCGTTCGTAGATATTTAAATCAAAATGCTTCATTATAAAACATTTGATGCTTCTTCCCTCACAGGATTTGTATACAGGTAACAAAGTAGTCCATGAGTATGAGACGTTTAGATCCATAACAAACCCTCTGGTCATGGAAGAGGTTTGTTTTTGCCTTTTAGCTGGTTTAACAGTCTACGTAGACTGTTAAACCACAGTTACTCTCATTGTCCTGCTGATTCCTCACAGCTCATTTTGTTTGTGAGTCCTCTGATGTTCAAGAGAACAAAGCTACAAATAACGCATGAAGTATGTCCACCTCCTACAAGCGGCGTGTGGGGGCTTAAACACCGCTTCAGCCGACCTTCGTTTTATCACCAGTAGTAGTGGCAGAGCATGGAAGTAACATGTGTTAGTACTGTAGTAGTATGAGTACTGTAGTAGTAGTACATCTACTGTGTGTGCATATTGGATAACATATATAAAGCATGAAGTCCAGTTCAGGCGAAAGCTGTTGTCTGCAAACCGAATCCGATATTAAAAAAAAAAAGACACGACCAGCCTCTCGTCCCTCGTCCCTCACAATAGCAAAGTCCGGCGGGCCGTCCGCACTGCGGCGGCGGGCGGGCGGATTTGGGTTTGACGTGTGATATTTAGTGCGTGTATGTAGCACGGTAGTTTATGATCGGCGCACGGCGAGCTGACGAGGCAAACATAAGAAGCCGGCCGCAGTGTTCAGTTCACACCCGTCTGACTTCTGTTAAATGAAAACACCCCAACGCAACGTTCTCTCCTTCCTCCTCTTATCGCGCGTCAGGAGAAGAGGAAGTGGCAGACGGAGCTGGAGAACAAGAAGCGTCAGCTGGAGGACGACAGGAGGGCCCTGCAGCACCTGAAGGTGAGCCGGGTCGGTGGTTGGGATCCCCGCTGAGGGCAAATCAGTCGACCAATCGAATCAACACTCAAAAACAAGTACACAAATGTGTGTAACAACTGATTATACAAAAGAATCAACAGAGTAGACGTGGTTCCTCGTTGGTCCTCCGGCCTCTCCATACTTCACAGATCTGTTTTACAGCGCAGATCCAGATGTGAGGTCACCCTGAGCTCTGTGAGGCCGTGAACAGCTGCACAGTAAAAAATACCTCCAACAGACCTCAGATCAGCCCCCTTTACTGCAGGAAGCCCAGAGGGGCTCTTGACCCCCTTTCTGCCTCTGACCCGCAGCAACTGCTTTCAAATAACTGAGTATTTTTACCCGACAGCTGCTCGTTCACCGTATCAACTGGTCTGCAGTCAGCGCGGATTCACTTTGAATTCTGGCTGCAATTATTAAGTCATTTGTCACGTGTTTTACTTTGTCGCAGACAGAACTGTCCCCTTGATGAATGATGATTTTAGATCTTTATGTTGGACCAACAAGCCAGTACCTTTAAATACTTGATGATTGTACTTCCTGCTCAGTCGAAGGCTCTGAGGGAGCGCTGGCTGCTGGACGGAGCGCCCTCTGCTGGACCGGAACAGGACGAAGTGAGGAGACAACTGGAGCAGGACGAGGCCAAGGCCCGGAGCCTGGAGGAGGCCATCAACAGGTCTGATCTGATTTAATCTCATCTGATACGAGCTAATCCCATTGGGTCTACTGTAAAGCATTAAATGCACAACGGCACAGGTCATCCCTCCACAGTGCAGACGGGAGCTGATCACAGATCAGCCAGACTGCCGAGGGAGCCGCTTTGACTACTTGTGAAAGAAACGTGCACACACCGAAAGATGTGCGGCTCCTTGAAGCACATGCGAGGAGTTATCGAGTGAATGAAAGTGAAATATTCACCTTGTGTGTTGCAGGTTGGAGAAGGAGGTGGTCGGTTTGGAAAGTGGAGGCGTGGACCAGGCGGCGACACAAACAACCGTGAGTGTGCACGCACGCATGGATATACTTCGGTTCTAATGAACTCTGCGTTACTGGAGGGACTTCAGACTTGTAGTGACTCTTAATTGTAAAGCTGAACTTCCTGTTTCTGTCTGTGTCCCTGAAGGTGTCATCAGGATCCGTTAAAGGTACATTTATCCTTCTTGTTTGTTTGTTTCGTCGTTGTTGTGTCTCCTCTTCCTCTCACTGTGTGTGTGTGTGTGTGTCCCTGATCAGCTGTAAAGGTCAAAGGTCACAGTGGCCGTCAGCACGACAGAGCTGCGGCCTCAGATCAGATAGTTCAAGGTGAGACTTTGGTGAACTCCACTGTGTTCTGCAGTCAGATTACAGGTCAATTCAGATTCCTCACATCATATTTATCAGATCGCAGTGTTGAGTTATATTAGCGACAATTCAGATTACAGTAATCAGATTACAGTAATCAGATTACAGCAGTCATACTACAGTGGTCTGATTAAAGTGAGTCAAAGAGGAAGCGGTGCTTTAATGACCTCAGAGCTTCAGTCTTCACTCTGTCTGTGTGCTCGCCTCCTCTCTCTCCCATGAGCCTTTGCAGAGGTCAAAGTTCACAAAACCTCCCGAAAGAACAAAGCGAAAGAGGCGACGGACGAGATGAAGAGAGGTGAGTCACAGAAGGACTCCTCCTCGTACCCATAACAGGACGCCCTCCATCAGTCCTCGCCTGCATTATCGCGTTATCTGACTCAAGAGCCCAACGCCACATTTGATCTAGTTCACCACATCCAGCACCTTCATACATATACATTGAGGACTATTTATTTACATATTGGTTATAGACCTTATTTTATACGTTTCTGACCCGCCGCCTTCGCAGTAAACTCTGGTTCTCTGGTGAAAACCTGTCAATCACAATCACAAGAAACCTGTCAATCGCAAGGAAGTCCCACCCTAAATGAAACCGTGCTTTACAGTCTATTAATTTACTCTTAATAGACAACAATAAACTAAACGAACACTGCGTGCGTATTGTTCAAAATGTCACATATTTTGGACATAATGTCTCATTGACCGATCGACACTGGAAGTTTGTGTTTGTGTCTTTATGAGTAACATTTAACCAGCTGTCTGTCTCTCCGTCTGTCCCTCTGAGTCTTTAATTCTGTCTAATGTCTCATGCGTTTGTCCCGTGTGTCCTCCTCTAACCCCTCCTCCCTGCAGCCATGTACTCGGTGGAGATCACTGTAGAGCGGGACAAAGTGACGGGAGAAACCAGGGTTCTGTCCACTAACACCACACTTCCTGTTGACCTGTCTCACCAAGGGGTCAAAGTTTACGAGGACGAGACGAAAGGTGACGTCAGCGTATAAGAAATAGGTCACCTGCTGAACCACGATGGGATAAGTTGATCCTTTTTTGGGGGGGGGGGGGACGTAGTCATAGTGGGGACAGAAAGACCTTCTCACGGCAGATCACCCAATACGTCCCACAAGGTTCAGGGAGCGTCTTGTTTTCAGAAGCCTGACTGCATGTTCACCCTGCACCTCCTCTTCCTCCTCTTCCTCATGTCTCGGTGAAGCCTAATGTTGAACGATAACAACCAAAAACACATTCAGCTGAGGCCTGAAGGAGGAGGAGGAGGAGGAGGAAGACTTGGCCTGATTGAAGGTTGAGTGACATCACACGGTGTAGGACGATAGTCGGCTCCTATTGGTGTCCCGGTCCGGCCTCTCACCCTGACCCCGACTCTGTCTCCCCCAGTGGTCCACGAGATGAACGGCGAAGATGGCGTCCAGCCGCTCAGCTCGTCGGAGGTCGAAGAGCTCATTAGCAAAGCCGACCAGACCTCGGTGACGCCACAGGCCGCCGCCGCGGCGACCCCTCCGCCGACCGCGGTGACCCCTCCGCCGACCGTGTTGGTCCAGGAGGAGGTGCGTCCCGAGTCGCGGCCGGCCGAGGTCACCGGGCTGGAGACGCAAGAGGGCGGAGCGCCGAGCGTGGCCGGGGCCAGCGCCGAGAACCCCGTCACCATGGTGTTCATGGGATATCAGAGCGTGGAGGACGAGGACGAGACCAAGAAGATTCTGGGTTTAAAGGGGACAGTGAAAGCCGAGCTGGTGCTCCTCCACGACGCCAACGGGAAAACATCGCCGGGCGAAGGGCGCGAGGAGGCCGGCGGGCCTCACGCACCAGACCCGCCTCCGGCTGCGGCTCCGCCTCCAGCGGCCTCTCCCGCTACCCCGCCCTCCACCAAACCTACGGAGACGTCGGCGGCGAGCAACGGGGAGACGGAGGAGGGGAAGGAGGGAGTGGGGGAGGGGAAGAAGGTGAAGCAGCCGTGCAAGTGCTGCAGCATCATGTGATCCTGCAGGGGGCGCCGCCTCCAGGTCTAATCATATTAAAACGAAAAAGAACGGAGACTTTCCGGGACATAAACTACAGGAAGTAAACTCCACGCACTGCCCTCTGCTCCGCCTCTAACAACATGACATCATTTCCTGTTTCTTCATTCTCTTGTTCTATAAAACCTCTCAACTTTTTTTCTAATTTCTTGAAGCCTTTTTACTTTTGTACTCATGTTTCCAGCTGTGACGCCTGATTGAGTCTGATTAGCTTAGCGTTAGCTTTCAGCATTAGCTTGTAGCATTAACCTCCTCTCTCTCTTTATAAGCTCCACCGTAAAAAACAGTGAATTAATTTTAGAGTTGTATTTATTTAATTTTGTAAGTTTCTCCTGCAGACTTTCATGATTCTGTTTGTTGGAGTTTTATAAAAGAGAAAATAAAAGCATAACGAAAACACAAGAACTTGATTCTGTATTTTTGTTTGCTGAGGCTCACCAAAGACTCCATCACCTCCATCTCAGACTGCCCCACCTAAACCAACTCCATCACCTCCATCTCAGACTGCCCCACCTAAACCAACTCCATCACCTCCATCTCAGACTGACCCAGCTAAACCAACTCCATCACCTCCATCTCAGACTGCCCCACCTAAACCAACTCCATCACCTCCATCTCAGACTGCCCCACCTAAACCAAGTCCATCACCTCCATCTCAGACTGCCCCACCTAAACCAAGTCCATCACCTCCATCTCAGACTGCCCCACCTAAACCAACTCCATCACCTCCATCTCAGACTGACCCAGCTAAACCAACTCCATCACCTCCATCTCAGACTGCCCCACCTAAACCAACTCCATCACCTCCATCTCAGACTGCCCCACCTAAACCAAGTCCATCACCTCCATCTCAGACTGCCCCACCTAAACCAACTCCATCACCTCCATCTCAGACTGCCCCACCTAAACCAAGTCCTTCATCGCAGCTGGAACTACTTTTTGTCAAAGAAGCACCGAGAGACGTTTTGTCGTCTGAGGTCCAGAGAATCAGGCTGAATAAACCAAAAGTGTAAATAGAAATTAGAAGGAAACTAAATTGAACTAAATGAAGTCTCCTACATGTCCCAGGATGCATTGCCCTCAACTTCCCTCCTCTGCTTTTCTAATAGTAGTGCTATTAGTAGTAGTAATAATAGTGGCATTAGTAGTATTAATATGTCATAGATATATGTTTTCAATACAAGCAAGAGAAGACAGAAGTCCTCTTTTTGAGCTGGAGGCCAGTTCAGAACCTCCAAAGGAGTTCAGGATGATCCAGATGTTGACGCTCCTTCAGATCGGATCTCTACTCTGAGTCCCTCTCTCCATCTCTAAGGCCCAGTGAGGACGGAAGATCATTTTTAAAATCCTACTGGTAAATACATGTTCTACTCTCTGTCAGACCTTTGAAAACTGTGTGTGTGTGTGTGTGTGTGTGTGTGGGGGTGTGTGTGTGTGTGTGTGTGTGCACACGTTTAGTGGGTGTGGTCAGTCATTGTAAGTGTTTTTGTTGGTCAGCAGCATTCCTCACAAACTCTAGTGCTCAGCAACACACACACACGGTCAGTGTGCAGCTGGACCTGCAGGTGAGTCCACGCTCCGTCTCCGTTTGTTGTTACTTGTGTGACATCATCATGACATCATCTACAGGTGGATGACTCTAGAAGTCAGTTTCTTTAAGGTCAGACATGTAAATAAATATTAGAATGTTATACTAGCCCCGCCCAGCTCCGGCAGCCAGACATCGTGATTGGACGCTGCCGAGTCTCCCACAGTGACTCTGCTGATACACAACGACTGAAATGTTTGTTTACATAATTCATCTTCAGCTTCAGTTCGACGACTCTCACGTCACATAACGAAACATACATATTTCAGGCAAAATTGATGGAAACCGACAGTTGTCTATATTGTAATATGAAACTAATTTGGACTTTTTGTTGGGAAAGAAAGAGCAAACAACTGAATAATAATCCAATATTATAAGAATGTGAAATGGACACTTCACTCCAAAATCAGAAATACCTATTTGTCCTCTACTTTCTACGTATATATCGGTCTAGATCACACATTATTTTGTTCAGATGTATTTTGTGCTTTCTGATTGAGTAGCAGTGATTATTATGGAGGTAACTGCTTTCAAACTAACTGATCATCATTTACTGAGAGCTGCTTTACTCTTTCTCTCCCAGATCCAGTTCAGACCAGGATGTTCAGGTACACTCCTCCCTGGCAGGTTCTCTGTTACAGCCTGGACCACGACAACAAGGTGAGACCTCACAACTAACCACCGAGGCCACTATGTTTGTTTCTTTATTCCAACGTCTCACGCTCCACAGGCTCGGACAATGTCGCTGTCACTTTACATCTCACTTTAAATGTCGCTGTCACTTTAAATTTAATCGTCACTTTAAATGTCGCTGTCACTTTAATTCTCACTTCCAATGTAAATCTCACCGTCACAAACAAGGAGACACTGATATAATTGAGTGACTTTGCATGAAACACCCACCAGCCTGAATGTGACCACCAGAGGGCAGCAGCTGACTAAAGAAAAAAAATTGATATTTTTTATAAATATTCAGAGAATAAAGTCTAAAACCACACGTGAAACGGCTAATAAATACTTTAGGTTATTGAACGTATTATAAGAATGATACACAATTTAAAAATCACACCACAGGAAAAATGTAATTATTCTGCGATCTGTGGAAAGACATTTGTTTGGATCAATTGCTGCATAAAATAATATTTTTAATAGATGAATGAAAGACTGATAATATGAGGAAAAGGAAAAAAGCACACAGAGACGGGATGTATATGGTTTCAGTACCCTGGGGTTGTTTTTGGGGGGGCGGGGGTCTGCGTGAGAGTCCAGACGTGTGCAGAAGTGTGTGGGGGGTCAAGGGGGCGGGGCCTGTGTGTAGTGGGCGGGTTCCTGATTGGACGATAGGAGCTGAACTTTGTTACTTCAGTTAGTCAGTTGTTATCTAGTCTGAGTGTTTCTGCTGCTGTCGGGAAGCTGATCTCAGGTGAGAAAAAGTGCTTTAATTACTAAAAGCACAATAAATAATAGTATGTACTCTGCATTTATCTGAAAAACCAAAAAATGAATCTTGTTGAGAAAGGGATGTTTGAACACAGCTTCACAAGCTGTCACACCAACTATCGTAACCTCAGTGCCATTTGAAAAAATATCTGGAATGACTATGACTTATAGTGACTATTCTAAATTGAAACAGACATAGTTTATGTTTTGCATTTACTTCAGACTGTCTGCCTTATAACAACTTTAGATTTAAAGAACATTTAATACAAACTAATGATTTTAACAGTTTAAAAAGGTTTTTTGCATAAATAAATGCAAATATATGTATGAGCGGCTCATTCTGACGGGGGACTCATGCACTCGTTAATGGGGTTTGTTCTTATCCCCACAGTGACCTCTGACCTCTCTCCGTTACTTTGTTTGTTGGTTTTTGGCTTCTATCAGCCGACAGCAGCAGTCAGACTGCAGGCGGGGCGCTTATCTCCGACACACAGAGACACTGACATTATGCTACGATGCTAATTCAACGGCAGCATCTATAACTGACTGTCATTGAATCTCTACAGCACCGCGAGCTCAGTCTGACCTCATTAAAAAATATATCAACTCTAAAACTGAACCGTTGCTTCACTTCATATTTATGAATAAGTGACTCCTGCTCTGCTGCAGGAACCACTAGTTCATTTGGGATTTTATTATTGGTTCCCGTTGTTGTTTTGAATAACTACCTTGCGTGTATATAAGTATCTGTTGATCATGTATATATAACTCGCATTTAACTCTCGTTTCTATGTGACAGACTCGCTTATATGGTCACATAGTGGTTGCCGTGGTTACGTGTCCTCTCCTGCCTTTATGGGTTGTAAACGCTGTTATCGCTGATTGTTCAACTTTGATAAACTTTATTGACATTCTTTAGATTTATTTCCTCCTTACCAGAAATCCAAGACTGATGAGTGCAGCTTAACGCAGTACCTTGAATCTACTACTGTACTTACTGTAATGTACTTCTGAGGTGCTTCTATTCTACTTGAGTTTTTTCATTTTATGCTACTTCATACTTCTACTTGCACTACATCTGTGATTCAAATATTTCACATACAATTTTATAAACACTATATCTTTCGAAATAAAATTTTAAAAACAAAGCAATGTAATTAAATAATGTATTACTAACAACAGAACACTCTGAAAGAGGTTTTCGTGCACAGTGATTACTTTTACTTCTGATTCTGGAAGTACTTAATAGTTCAGTAATGATACAGGACTTTTATTTAAAGTGGAGCATTTTCAGACTGTGGTCTTTGCACTTTGACCTCAGTAATGACCCCGAATACTTCTTCCACCATAGAATTTAATGTCAGCAATTAAATTGAAATCAACAAGGCTGTAACAACGGTGATATTGTTGATAAGACAATCAATGTCAGAGGAGGAAATGAAAGAAAGACATTCAAATATTATTGTGTTTTTTATGTCCTCATTTCTAATAAATATAGTTATTCTGTCTAAACCCTGAGACAAGATAGTTACATTTTTTACAGATTCGAAATTTGATGAATTCTAAAGACGGCCAAGCTTTTCAAACTATAATTTTGTCTTGTTCTGAAATAATCTCCCACAATGCTTTGCAGGTAAATTCTTAGAATGTGGTACTTGTACCTTTAAGAAATGATTACATCACAGAAGTCAAGCACTAACTAAAATGACGCAAGAGACGAGCTGTAATCTGATGGTGTTGTTTCCATAGTAACTAAACCTGTGCCATCTGCTGTTTCCATAGTAACTGACCTTCCATAGTAACAGTCTTCTCCGTTGTTTCAGAGACTCACGTCAGTCGACCGCCAGAATGTTCTCACTCCTCACCGCCTCCAATTACTGAGCGCCGTTCAGCGTCTTCCTCCCCCTGAACTCCCGTCCCGCGCCGGCCCCACAGCGCCCCCGGCAACCATGGACAGCATCCCGAGGAACTGGGTGCTGAAGCCTCTGTCCCCCCTGTTGCAACCCTCGGACCTGCGCACCATGGCCGGCCCGCCACCGAGTGCGTCCCCGGACCCCGACGGCCGAGCCTTCAGCTACGACAGCATCTCCGTCGCTCGCAGTTACTCCTCGGTGGCCGTCTCCTCCGAGCAGGACGACGGGTGCAGGAACGTGGTCCAGGCTCGGCAGGTCGTCGTGTCACAGGACGGAGGACACTCGAGCGACGAGTGGCACGCGGGCAGCCCCGGCGACCCCAGCAGTCCCGCCAGCAGCTTGGCCTCTCCCTGCGGTTTCTACTCCTTCGTGGAGGACCCGGCGAGTCCCGAGGCGGAGATGAACGAGGCCTGGATGGTCTCCCCGCAGCGGCAGACGCAGCTGGCCATCCTGAAGCAGGAGAGCGGGTTCAGGCTGCAGACGTACGCCAGCAGGAAGCCGGAGAGCCTCTTTGCAGAGAGTGAAGAGGACTCACTTTATAAAATGGATCTGGGGAACGGAAACAAAGTCATCCAGGAGGAAGAGGAGAAACGGCTTCGGAAGGAGATCATTCGCGGCCAAGCGCCGAAGAGCAACCCGACATTCAAGGGTCAGCTGAGTGCACTGGATGATCTGGATCTGAGAAGCTCCACGAGCAGACTGATCGAAGGTTTTAGCATGAGTTACACGTCTCTCGGCTCCAGAGCAGAACCTCTCCGCCCTTCTGAGCCCGGGACCGTCGACGTGGAGCAGATCAGCTTCAGCGCTGCCCGACAACAGTTCTTGAAGATGGAGCAGCAGCAGCAGCAGCTGACTGCCCCGTCCAGCCCTCTGAGGTCCTCGAGAACACATCTGAACGCGTCTCTCCAGCCGGACCCTGATATGTCCTCGTCAGAGCAGGTGGACACTCACCACAGGCTGCAGGTGAACGAAGACACAACAACTTTTATGCTAACTGAAGACGACGAGACCTACCCGGAAAAGAAGGTGGCGGTGTGGCGGAACGAGGAGGGTCTAAGCCGGCAGAGCAGTGTGTTCGACGACCTGGACTCCGGCCTGGAGGAGCTGACTGTGGAGGTGGCCGGCTACACTAGCGATGAAGGGTTGTTTGACGACCGCAATCAGCAAGAGAACATGAGATCCAAGTCCACCAGCGACTACGAGACCCCAATTGAAAGGGAGATCCGATTGGCTCAGGACCGCGAGGAGAACCTGCGGCGCTCTCGAGGGCTCTCGCTCAGCGACAGGAGAGCCGAGATGGTCGAGATCAAAACCAAACGTTTACAGTCGCCGCATCCGCCTGTCAGAGCTAAAGAAAAGACCAGAGTGTCCTTCGTCGTGCAGCATGAGATCCAGAAGGACAACCAGTGGAAAGAGGAGCCTCAGCAGCAAGAACGGATCCTGGGACGATACAGTCAGGATTCTCCACAAGAGCTGGAGTTTGACCAACAAGACGGGGACAAGGAGACCGAAGAAAGACCTCACTCTGCATCCGGGGATGAGGAAGTCTTCCCCTCACCATGCTGTCCTCATCGACACCCCGAACACCCAGAAGAAGCCGAGTTGTACATCAGTGGAAAGAGTTTAGCTCCTTCAGGTCAAGGCTCACAGGTCCAGGATAGGAGAGGTCTCTACCAAGATCGAACGACTGCTTCATCTTTCCACTTCTCCTCCTCTGCCTCATCCCCGACACGTTTGTCCTGGAAGGAGAACCTGGAGTCCAACGGTCTGCAGTCCAGAGGAAAAGGAGCTCCGGATTTCATCGAGAAGGAGATTGAGGAGGCACTGAGACGGGAACAGGAGCTGAGGGAGTCCAGGGAGTCCAGGGAGGAAACTGATGGACGCGTCTTCTCACCAGCTCCTCTGCTGGAACAGGCAAACAAAGTGGCCATTAGTCAGTTCTACCCACCTATGAAAACAGGTAAGTAGGTTCTTATCAAGGCTGGATTTCATCTAGAAATCCAAAAGCACCAAAATCCCGGTTCACTGTGTGTCAGTTGCTTTTGAGTAAATGGATCCAAAAGTCCCAAACAAACAAAGCATAGTTAAATTAAACCAAATTAAATGCGTCATAAAGTTATTTCTGTGAAAATGTACCTGCAGACAGATGTGTTATCACATCTGTTTCGTCTTGCGATCAAAGTTCATGTGTGTCTGACTGCGGTTTCTCCACCAGATGATGCTGTGGACAAACTCGTCTCACAAAGTCAGTTCTGTCACTCAGTTTGAGCATTTTCACAATAAAAGTAATAATAAAAAGTGGTGAAACCTGAATGTCTGATGGTGATGGTTTGTTAGTCACATGAGATAGAATGAGTTACTTAATGAGGGTTCAACCAAAGTCCAGCAGCTTCAGGTGGTTTGGCTTCAGTTTGTGTAAATCAATAACTAGTCAACCGGTTTCCAACCGCTCAAATCAGACGGAGGCATCCGCCAAAGTCTGAACCATCATCTCTTCATTCTGTTGAGTGTAAACTGACGAGCGGTTGGAAAATACAGGACCAGAGGAGGGAAACAAACTACAGCGTCATTGATGATGTCACTGATGATGTTCTTCCTGTTGGGTTTTACAGATCAACCCGTCAGTGTGTCGTCTCCGTCTGCTCGTCCCTCCGTCCGTCTACCCTCCATCTCCTACATCACGGCCCAGCCCTGGTCCTCCTCACTTCCTCCCTCGTCCAAATCTCACCAGAGTTCCACATCCCTCCCCATCCGCCCCTCCTCCCCTCCCCCGGCGGCGGTCTTGTCGCCCCCACCTACACCCAGAGGTCTGGCGGAGACTCTGCTGGAGGACTTCAAGGAGAGACGAGTAAAAGGGAAGCTGGAAGAAAGCGTGGTGAGTGATCAATAGGCCCCTTATTTTGAAGGTCTTGTGCTTCCTGTTTGAATCAGAAGGTTTAAAATGTGTTTAGAGGCTCTAAGACACGATGGCTGATTAAATGTGGTGTTATTTGAATTAGTTTTCTTTGAGATTAAGGATGATGAACAAAAGAAATACTAAATTAAAACAAAACTTTTTAGAGGTAAAAACACAACATCTCTTTCTATCTTTCTATTATTCTATCTATTTCTTTTTTTCAGTATGCAGGAATTCAGCCGGTAGATGACGTCAATAACGAGGTACAGCCGCACTGTATTTACCTTCATTCACTCATTAACCGGCTGTTAACTGGCCATTATTTTCTTCTTTGTTTCATGCTATTTTGTCTCCTTGTCCATTTGTCTCTTTGCCTCATTGTCTCTCTGTCTTGTCCGTCTCCAGGTTGTCGAGTCGACTCGAGTCATTCGACATAAAAACCAACGCGCTCTGCGCTGGGAGGCCGGAGTGTTCTCCAACCAGCAGGACCAGTGAGACCACCAGGACCTGCAGGAAAACACGCCGACTGGGTTTGTCTCTTCACTAACAGGACTTTACTCAGATTTCCTCCGTCATCTTGAACTAAAATGGTTTTAAACTGGAAGGCTCTAAAGAAGCGGATGCTCCTGATTGGTCCCCTCTCCTCGTCCAATCAGCTGCGAGCTGCCGAGTAGAGCCTCAGACAGTGGATGTGTCTGATTGATGAGAAATGAAGAGTTAACATGAGTAGCAGCAGTGTGGTTGATCCCCTTTTGCAGCAAGAAAGTTTCTAAAAAAAACAATAAGAATAACAAATATTTTTCAAAATTATGCCAAAATAAGAGATTGAGCAAGTATAAATTGTTACCACTAATAAATTAAAGTTCACCGTAAAGAACGACAGAATCGTTCAAAATTGTATTTGTGAAATTAAAATCAGGAAACCTTGTTTTCAAATTTTATTATATTATATATTATTATATAATATATATATATATATATATATGTAAAATAAACGGTTGGATTCCAAAGTGAGGCTCCAGGAAACCAATAGAGGCAGTGAAGAAGAAGAAGTGTTTTTATTTACCACGGACGTGAGCAATGCAGAATTTAAACTATTCAAGAATCATACAAACAGAAATTCTGTTGTTTAACTCAAAAAAATACTAAAGTATAAAGACATCTTTTTTCAAACAAAGAATGTTGTGACAGAAAAATATGCAATTTTTACAATACAATCAATAAAAGACAACAACAAGAGACCCAAAATGACTAATCTTTTACTCTTAACATTTACTGAATACAACCAAAATAAAATATCCACAACCATGAATACACACACACACGTATACAAACGCCTGGCTATTCATATAAGTCACACACAACAAGCATGCACACGCAAACACACACGCGCGCACATTTTCCTGGTTTCTGTAGCCATGGCAACACACTCGATTGCCTCCAGTAAAAATAAAGAGGGAGGATGTGTGTGTGTGTGTGTGTGTGTGTGTGTGCTGTTGCTTAACTATCTTTATGAGGACCAGTTGGCGAGGGTGTGTGTCTGTGTGTGATAGAAGTGTGTATTTCTGTGCGGATCTTTTCAGTAATCATTTTTACAGCTACTTTCTATCACAGAGATGAGTGATGAGAGTTCTTTTGAAGGAAAATAATTAATAAGTAAATATATATATATATATATATATATATATATATATATATATATATATATATATATATATATATATAAATATGTTAAAATTGATGTTATGTTTGAATACCGATATATTATATAAATAAATAAATAAATAAATAAATAAATATGACCAGCTTTAATAAAACACAATAACAAACAGGATTTAAAAAATCACGAAAACTGTGTGTGTGTGTTCGAGCTTGTATCGCTATATCAGCCATCAATACAGTTGCCATGGAAACTGCATAATGAGCCTGATGGTGCAGGACATACGGCGGCGAGTGAGTGAGGGTGACTGTGTATTTGTGTGTGTGTACATCCATTTGTGTGTATGTGTCAGTAAAATCAAACGTCTTCATGTTGCATTTCAGGATGTTTGTGTTCATTCTTGTCATTGAGACCTTCCTGTTTGCTTAGTTAGTTTAGTTTATTCACCTGAGTGAGGACTAAAAACTTTTAATGGGGTTTAACTGGCAGGAATCAGGTTTCAGTTCAAATAAACTGTAAAAAAACGCTATTTTACAGCAGAAACTGACGTTTAAAATCTCACATGACGAGGATCTCAAAGGTTTCTTATGCACCAAAAAAGTTTATTTTCATATTTTGTCTTCAAAAAAAAATCTTGATTTGTGCGGGATCGATATATAGATTATTATATTATCAGGCATGTTGTCTAAAATATATTTAATCTTTTATTTTTATAGTTTCTTTATATATCATTTCTTTATATCTTTATTTCAATGATCTCTTTTGGTTTATTTGTAGGTTTTATTTATACTTGCAATCATTTTTTAGATAATTTTTCTAAAAGTGGAAAAGTCAGAATCAAAGCATGTTGATTTACAGAATTCCAATAAAATCTTTCAGATGATGTTAAATCTGGTGGCAACTAAAGGAAGGACACAAACTCATTAAGAGCAGTACGTGTTCCTTTAAAAGAATCCACAGAGTCGATATGAACTAATTTAATGTAAATAATTAATGTCCGTCCATTTCCCGCTGAGCACGACCTCGTCACACAGTGTGAACTGGCTCAGTAAAAGTTCACAGCCGAGGCTTTATCGAAGACTTTTATTTAAGTGTCCTCTGGGGACGGAGAGGGAAATCTCCCGCAGAATGCCCGACTCTAAACGCCTCACAAGTCTTTAATCTCTCCACACTAATTGGTGGGTTTAACCAGACGCCGGCGGGATGGAAAACTCCAGAAAACTGAACGATTAGAGAGGAAATTAAGAAGCTCCAGTTTGACTGTTTCTGATCACATAGACAATTGGATTTTTTTACCTCCTTTTCTACAGAAAGAAAAGTGGAAACATGACTTTGTGTTATTGGAAATACTGGTTACTGGTTACTAACTAGTGTACAGGAGGTACTAATATCTACACAGGATATATTACACATATATATATATATATACACACGTTTTAGCCTTCATGGTGATTTCTTTCTGTAATGGTGTTTTTTTTTAACTGAGAAAATGAATTTGAAAAATATAATAAGAAACTGCACTTTAATACGTTGTGACCAAGAACTTTTAATTTTGAACTTTCATCATAACGAACATGCAGCGTCCACTCTTTTGGTCGGAAAAACACTTCCAACACTTATTTTCACAGAAATAAACTCTTTTTTTATAGCAGCAGTTGTTTTTTTTCTTAAAATGTTTCCAGTCACAAAATGTACAGATGATTAATGTTTATACATTCAGATGGAAATGATGAGAAACCCTCAGGATTAAAAAAAAGCTATTTATCCCAGAGATGAACAAGATGAATGTCTGATATTAAATCAAACTTTGGACACATGCAGCAACACAGACACATTAACAGCAGAGACAGACCAAGTATTGGCTCATCAATATTTCATATAGACGGATGAACTGATTTAGTTTCAGAGCGTCAGTGAGCTCAGAGGACAGTTTAGGATTTGCAGCATCTTTAATAAAATATGTATTTTCTAAGAGCTCTTGTAGTTCTTCTGTGTTTAGTTAGAGAGCCACTGAGGAGAAAATCATCACTTTACCACAAAAGAATAATGACATATTCTGTAATGTTACAACTTTTCCTTCAAAATATTACACTCTTATCACTAATAAATACACACTTTCAGATCCACTCACAGAAACAACTTACAGCCTCGACCAGTCAGAAAGTAGCACACAAACAAACAAACATGCTGAGAATCACTATAGCGACCGAGCCATCACGATAGAAACAACAACACTCTGGTCCCGGAAATATACAATCAGGGTTGGACCGTCCTCACCGCGCGGAGGGCGTCTCACACCCACGCAACCCCCCCAAAGCATTATGGGTCAAGTGACTGACGTTTAAAGAGCGAGATAGTCCACACAGCGCGGGGGGAGGGGGTGGGGGGGGGACACGTCGATGCCGATGACCTACTCGTTTGAACGCGGGGACGATGGCTTCCACATCACGGCGGTCACGGGCCTTCCCCTCAGAGGAGGCGGGGCCTGAGGCGGTAAGCAGGTGCTGGACAGGTGCATTTCATCACAGGGGCGCCACTGCAGGTTTGTTACATGATTGTGCTTCAAGAATTAGTCCTTACAATTGCCTCCGAACCGCAGATTATTTGCAGGATGAGTTGCCATGGAAACGCTCCAGCTTCCTGCTGGGAGGCTCAACACTGTGGACGTTCGACTCTGCACTAAAGATGAAAGCAATTCACCATTCAGATATAGTTTTTATATTGTTGTTTGCTTAATGTTCTACGATATTTATCCACGTTTTTATATACAAACGTTACGTGCACAACTAGTTTGATTAGGGCTGAAAACCATTTATGATGTTGGAAGGTAACAGAATGCCGCCCCCGTGGCTGTTGGATGTACTGACAATCTTTTGTGCTGCTCAACTGAAATGTTTAGTCCAAACAGTAAGTTCTGGATGCGGTTTAAATCTTTAGATGTGTTATGTAACATCGTATCATCATTATGTTACTTGCAAATGGCATTCAACTTCACCAGCTGGGAACCACCTGACCACCAAGGGCTTCTTTTATATTAATTTAACCTCCAACTAATCCACAACCATCAAATCTGTTTGGTACCAACAGAAGAACAATTGCAGACTGTGGCCATGACCTCAAACCATCCATGACACCTTGTTTAACAGAATCCAGACCGGCTTGGAAACACCAGGACTCTACTGCCAGGGGTCTCGCATAGCATCTATTTCTTGGATGGGTGAAGTGGATTCTATTAAAAGCTTTAACATTTTTGATAATCATTCCAAAATAAAGGCTGATACCGCAATCGCCTTAAACGTCTTTTGTGTCGAGAGAGAACTGTCTTGAGTGTTAAGCCCCCGAGCATCGAACCGTAACCCACTGGATGTAAACTTTCATCTCCCACAGCCCAAACCTTCCATCACATGAAGCCCAAGAAATGCATAGCAACATGGTCCAGGTTTGTGCTGTTGGTGACCTGTCACAAAATAAGGCTTTTGTTTTGAAAGGTTAAGCGACTAATCCTTATACCTGCGTCCCTGCAAACTCTTATAGTAGTTCTCCTGTTCAGTCTGGTTACGAATCTCCCGATCCAACAGAACAAGCGCTGTCTTGCGTCTCATGGCCATCTCCCTGCGCTGGGCGTCCGCTGACGTCTCCACCTGTGGGTGGGGCGAGGTCGGATCGTGCCCGACCGCGGCGCACGGCGAGGCTCCGCGGCTGTGGGGCCGGAAACTGCTGCCGCGGGCGGCGGAGTCTCCTCGGGTCAGGCTGTTGAGGTCGTAGGTGTCTCGCGGGTCGCCCCCGTTGGGCGCCCCCGCCCACTCCCACGGGCTACCGTTGCCTGCGAGGGGCGGGGCTTGAAGAGGAGGTTGTGGTTGGACGACCGGATGGTGAGGGGCGTGGGCGTCCACGGTGATTATACCCGACCCCTCCCGCTGCTGCTCAGGGGAGGGGCGATAGTGTGGGGAGTCTGTGGTGGAGGAGGTGCCGGAACAGGTGGAGGTGGTCTCAGAGGACTTCTCCCCCGAGGAGGAGGAGGGGAGGAGGCCCTGCTGCTTCGACATGGCAATGACCTGCATGAGTCTCGGCTGGTTGGTGGCGCCGCGGCCTGATCCCTCCCCGCTCGTCTTCTCCCGGATGGCGAGCCACTTGGCCCGCGTCAGGGCGCTCTTTGGGGACACCGGTGGGGGTCCAGCTTCAGGGACCTGCGGCGGTCTGGGCGTCGCCACAGCTTTGGCGCCCACTGGAGGCGGAGTGGCGTTACGACCAGGGGGCGCCCTTCCGGACTGCGCTACCGTCTGGTATATGGGGACGTGGGACCCCCCCTCGTCTGTCCCCACTGAGCCCACCTCGGACCCGTCCTCGCTGGCCGAATGCTCCGTCTCGTCCCGTACGCTCAGACCTCTCATCTCCATCGACTTCTGCTTCCACTCCGTCACCAGCTGCTGCGAACGCATCGGGTCCATGGGAACCTGCACGGCCTTCAGGCGCCGCTGCACCGGCTGGACCGGTTGCACCGGCTGCAGCGGTTCCTCTGGCCCGTGGTTGGCCCCCAGCACCCCGTTAATGTTCATGCTGGCCCTCGGCAGCGTGTTACTGAAGGTCAGCATGGTCTCCTTTCCCATGGGGCTGCGAGGAGCCAGCAGCTCCACGTCCACGCTGGCCCTCTTCAAGCTACCCATGGAGGCCTTCTCCCTCTGCAGGGGCACCAGGCCCTCCAGCCGGTCCATGGGGGCCGGAGCCGGCGCTATCTCGTCATTGCTCTCCGAGGCGGAGGCGGGGCCCTTGTTGTAGACGGACTCGTGTCCGCGCTCGGTCAGCGCTCGCAGAGGGTCCTCTTTCGGCAGCGAGGGAGGTGCAGTCATAGTGACGTCGTCGCCGGATTTGAAGTTGGCCACGGCGTGAAAAGCCTGAAGAAGACAATCATCTTTGAGTATTTGAAGACTGCAAATCCTTTCACGCTGCTTTTGCTGATTGAGGTCACACTGACATGAAAAAAAACTATCGTATTATTATTATTATTATTATTATTATTCATTGTCATGGTGGAGAACACACGGTCTGAACCTGTGGTGAGTGAAGGTTCGACCTTTTATGATTTTCCCTCCGTCTCCACCACTCTATTCTTTTATCTTGATGCGGTCGTCATGGCAACAGAAACACATGACTATTCCCATGACGACGGACGGACCGTTTGATCGGCAGGATTTTAAATCAATCTCTGTTTCCAGCTCTCGGGTGAAACTTTGTTATCCGGTTGGTGTTAGAACATCCTCTGGGCTCACCAGGTAAGCAGCGATGAAGGCGCCGATGAGGAAGCCCACGTACACGTCGATGGGATGGCTGCGATGCTGAGTGATCTGAGTCAGACCCGTCAACGCCGCCGCGATGGCGAAAGCAAAGACTAAGACAGGTTTCAGCAGCTTGGTGCTGTCGGAGATGGTCGAGTTAAAATACATCTGAAACAGAGGAATCATGAGTAGGTAATAAGTCTCACATAATTTAAAATATAAAATAATAATATAAAATATTGATATATATTTATCTACATATAAATATATATATTTGTTTGAGTTGAGAGATTAATACACAATGTGTGTTCACACACGTGTACATTTTAAATCCTCGATAATTCTCGATAGATCCAACTCAAACAGACGGCACCGTTTTAAATAAAGTTGTGTCAGTTTGAACAAAGATGAGTCACACTTACAGAAACATAGACAGCCGCGAAAGCCGACAGAGTTGCATGCTGGGAAGGGAACGTTTTCCTGTGAGGACAGAAGATAGAGCACAACGTTTAATCAATGTCACGCTCAGCATTTAACACAACATGAACAGGTCACTCACCTGGCGGCCACGATGGCGTGCTGGTCGTGACCCGAGCAGATGTCTTTAGTGATGTAAACGTTTCTGTCGCATGAGACGCCGACCTGCGTGTAGTTTGGTTTGCACACAGTGAGGAAGAACGGAGTGTGGTAACCTGTCGACAGCTGTATGATGTCAGTGACCAGAGCCGTCGCACACAGGCCAAACACATGCACACCTGTAGAGACACGGACAGGTGTGAGGACTGAACATCTGCAGTCAGACAGATATAGTGTGAGGACTGAACATCTGCATTCAGACAGATCGGTGTGAGGACTGAACATCTGCATTCAGACAGGTGTGAGGACTGAACATCTGCGGTCAGACAGATATAGTGTGAGGACTGAACATCTGCATTCAGACAGATCGGTGTGAGAACTAAACATCTGCATTCAGACAGATAGGTGTGAGGACTGAACATCTGCATTCAGACAGGTGTGAGGACTGAACATCTGCATTCAGACAGGTGTGAGGACTGAACATCTGCAGTCAGACAGATTGGTGTGAGAACTAAACATCTGCATTCAGACAGATAGGTGTGAGGACTGAACATCTGCATTCAGACAGGTGTGAGGACTGAACATCTGCATTCAGACAGGTGTGAGGACTGAACATCTGCATTCAGACAGATATAGTGTGAGGACTGAACATCTGCATTCAGACAGGTGTGAGGACTGAACATCTGCAGTCAGACAGATGGGTGTGAGAACTAAACATCTGCATTCAGACATAGTTGTGAGGACTGAACATCTGCATTCAGACAGGTGTGAGGACTGAACATCTGCATACATTCAGATAAGTGTGAGGACTGAACATCTGCATACATTCAGATAAGTGTGAGGACTGAACATCTGCATTCAGACAGGTGTGAGGACTGGACATCTGCATACATTCAGATAAGTGTGAGGACTGAACATCTGCATTCAGACAGGTGTGAGGACTGGACATCTGCATACATTCAGATAAGTGTGAGGACTGAACATCTGTATTCAGACAGACACGTGTGAGGTCTGAACCCTGTGGAGGTGCCGCAGCTGGTGTTGCTGTAGGTGAAGCTGCAGGTGTGCAGTACCGGTCAAAATAAATGTTCTCATTCAATTCAATGAGAAAGTGTGTGTAAACCTTTGACCTGTTACTGCAGATTGAGCAGCAGGTGTAGCAGCAGGTGTAGTCGTGGTCGTAGTCAGTGCCCTACCTACGAAGCGCACCGTCCTCCTCAGGAAGGAGTTGAAGTTGCAGCCCCCTGCGTTGATGCTCCCTTCAGGTCGGCGGAGCTTCAGTCTGGACTGCAGGCAGTAGATCAGACCTTCAACCAGCATGATCTGATACACAAATCAAACACACCCTCAGTACCTGCCGCACACCGCAATCCGATCCCTAAATCAAACACACCCTCAGCTCTGGGTTTCAGATCAGATCAGGTCAAGTCTTGGTTTCAGTCTTATCGAGGACATAGTGTGTTAAATTGTGTGTGTGTGTGTTTTACCGAGGCGGCCGGTCCGGCAAAGGCGAGGCTCAGCAGCATCAGCAGAGGGATCAGTTCGTCTCCTCCGTCCACGTACGGCATGCTTAGCTCTCTGTCGTGGCAGCGGAACCCAACCTGAGCCGGCTGCACAACATCAGTCAGCTCCAGGAAGTACAGCGACACCATAGAAGAAGCCACGATGGGCAGCTGCAACGAAGAGTTCCCCAAAATTCTCCTTCGTCAAACATTTAGACTGCTGGTGCAGATGGATACTGCATTGACACGGAAACCATTTTTTCAGCTAGTGCACATCAATCCTTTTCTTTAACTCCGCCTCCAAGCACATCTACATCCATTGTTTCCTTTAACCCCGCCCCCCATAACCTCTGCATCCATTCCTTAAACTCAGCAACATTTTTGGTCTTCCGAACCAGATCTGAGCTCCTCCAGTAAGTCTTGGTCCAGCACGTTCCCTTGACCAGTTCATGGCAAAAAAAAACTCGGACAGCAGACAACAGACAGCAGAGCGCCATGGAGACCTGTCAATCGCAAAGTAGCCCCGGCCTAAAGCTGCATCACGGGCCATCGGGCTGTGAATGGACATCGAGCTTTATTAAAGGAGGAAACTGGTTCAGTGATTGTTACCGGTCTGTCCTAAATGAATGAAAATATACAGAATCCTCCGGTCTGGTCCTCTGAACCTGAGTCAACGAGGTACCCAGGTGGACAGATGGAGGTCTAACATCTGAAGAATATGAAGAGTAAGAAGAATCTCTTCTTCCTCCTCCTCCTCATCCTCCTCATCACTATTGTTGTTCTCACCTCCACAAAGTAGAAACATGGCAGCAAAGTCAAACTGTCCTTTGGAGGTTTCTTCTTCATCTTCTCAGAATTCATCATCATTCTGATTGAGCTGCAACACACACAAATACACACTAATGAACATCTTTACTCTATGAATTCAACCCATTTATTCATACCGTACAGATAGTGGTGCCTCATTGATGTCTCACTGGTGCCTCATTGATGTCTCACTGGTTTCTCATTGATGTCTCACTGGTGTCTCATTGATGTCTCACTGGTGCCTCATTGATGTCTTACTGGTGTCTCATTGATGTCTCACTGGTGCCTCATTGATGTCTTACTGGTGCCTCATTGATGTCTCACTGGTGTCTCATTGATGTCTTACTGGTTTCTCATTGATGTCTCACTGGTGTCTCATTGATGTCTTACTGGTGTCTCACTGGTGCCTCATTGATGTCTCACTGGTGTCTCATTGATGTCTTACTGGTTCCTTATTGATGTCTCACTAGTGCCTCATTGATGTCTTATTGGTGTCTCATTTATGTCTCACTAGTGTCTCATTGATGTCTCACTGGTGTCTCATTGATGTTTCACTGGTGTCTAATCAATGTCTCACTGGTGTCTCATTGATGTCTCACTGGTGCCTCACTGGTGCCTCACATTTTCTGTGAGAGGACAACGTCTTGTGATTGACAGAGACGCATCCATGTCTCGGCTGCAGCTTGTTCGTCCCGCTGCGTCTTGTCCCCTTGATCCGCAAGCAGAGCACGAGGAGGAAAAAAGACGAAGAGGAGGATCACGTCTTCCTCTGATTTCGAGTACCTTCATCCTCCTCTTCAAGTATCTTCATCCTTTTCCTCCGACGTCGAGTGTCTTCGTGTTGACACATTACGATTAACGGCAACAACGCGCCGCGCCTCGGCTTCACCTTCCGCTGCCAATTAACGCGCGAGCAGACAGACAGGCAGGTGGCGAAACAGACAGGTGGACAGTCGGAAAGGTGGACCGACAGACGGACAGGTGGATAGACAGAGGGTTGGACAGGCGGACAGACAGGCGATCGGCCCATATCAGCCTGGAGGACCGCAGTCCTCATCCGCTCACGTGCGGCGGGTGAAGCCCGCGTTTCGTCCCTTTACGGTCGAACGGCTCCGATACGCCGCTTCGGTCAATCCGCTGATCCGCAGAACGCACGCACGCACATAAACGCACGCACACAAACGCACGCGCGCGCGCGCGTAAACACACGCTGAACAGAAACAGTAGAAAAACGGTCCGTCTCACCTCACACCATCGATCCGCTCTGATTCTTATCACGTTTCCTCCTCCGGCTGCAGGACCGGACCGGGTACCGAGCCGCGCGCACACACGCACACACCTGCCCGGTGGTTTGAGTCCCGGTTGTGGATATTTCCGATGTGGGATCCGTTCTCACTGAAAATAACGGGGATCTGCGACCGCTTCCTGGCGGAGATCCGCTGCTGCACAGTGTGTGTGTGCGTGTGTGTGTCTGTGTGTGAGAGTGTTTATGTGCGTGAGTAGGTGTATGCGTGTATGACAGGTGATCAGTGCCTCCAGGTTCTGAAACGTTAGGATGTTTTTTCTTCTCTCGGAGACTCTTTGGTGGTCTGAAGCTGTTCGTGTTTCCACGTAAATACGCTGGAGGTCAGATTCAAAATGAACATATGAACGTTTTGTTAAAGTGTTTCTTCACAAAGCTGAACTGGGAGCCTCGTGGTGTCTCATTGAGACAGTTGTTCGGTTCTAATCTTTTTCAGACCAAGAACCAAAAAGGAGTCCGATTCAAACGTGTTCTTTTTTTAAATGGTTGGACGCGAAATCTGATCTTTACGTAACATTAGCTCAGGATTATTTTAATAAACAAATTTTAATGAATAAATAACGCTTATGGTTGTTAATATCAAAATGATGACCTCATGCCTACTTTTCACATCATCAGAAACAACACAGAGGTCGTGTTACATTACATACATCCAAAGCGACTTACATTACATTTTTGGCCGGGGAGCAATTAGGGGTTAGGTGTCTTGCTCGGGGACCCTTCGACTTGGGACATGGGGCAGTCGGGACTCAAACCCCCAACTTTGCGCCATGGCGACCCACATTTAGCAGGTGTTGACTTGCTAAATAAGACAGCGTTTCATTAAAGTGTCTCACTGTATCGAGGTTATGTTTTGAAACATTTATTAATTTCTCTAGAAAAAGAAAATTGAGTAGACATCCACTCACACATTTTGATTTTTACAGTTTTATTACAAAGTCATACAGAACAAACTTTTATTTACAGGCACAGTTTCAGAGGAACACAATAGGTGATGCGTTCAGGTGTTCAGGTTCAGGAGAGCGTTGCAGGGATCCTCCTCCACAGACCTCCACACAGACAGTTTTTGATCCAACGTTGTTCCCACTGCTTCATAGCGTTGGTCTTATTTGGAGAACGAAGCATCGTCACGCAGCCGCACCTGAACACAGCACAAATAACTTTAAAACACAATGTTTCCTGGCACAGACGAGGCTGAAGCTGGTGAAACAGGTGAGTGTGCTGTGACATCACTTCCTGTGGACTCACCTGGTGCAGGCCTTGCTCTCCTCAGTGGGACAGACGCCCATATGGACACAACGCAGGTTGTCCATCTTCTGAGAACTGGGACTCCTACACTCACACACACACACAGTTAAAATCAATGTGTTCTGTTGACCTGTGCGTGTGATAATGTCAGTGAGTCCAGGTGTGTTACCTGGTGAAGACCTCCAACGGAGCGGTGGAACCGGCTCCGGGCAGAGACGAGGCCTTTCCAAACTGCAGCCTGAGAGGGTGTTTTCCCTGCAGCTTGACGATGACGCCGTCGTTGACTGGGAGCCAGTCCATAGTGGGAACCAGCAGCTGACTGGGCAGCAGGCAGCACTCGTCTATCAGACACTCGTCGGGGTCCTGGGGGGGTCCGTCCTCCCGGGCTGCGTGACAGTCGGTGAATATGATAACTTAACATGTTGTAAAATGCTTAACGTGTGTTCGGCAGTGTGTGACAGCAGAGCCGCAGCTTCAAATGATCAATCTGCATCAATAACATGTGATCAGTAGTTTCTTACAACAGAGCTGGGACCAGTTTGGATCAATAAAATGACATTGATTGTCTCTTCCAGCGGAGCCAGAGCTTAAAGTGATCAGTTTGGATCAACAGGACGCTTGGTGGGGCCTTACAGCAGAGCCACAGCTTGGTGAGCAGCCTGAAGAGCAGCTGCATGCTGTCCTGGTTGTCCGACGTGGCCGTGAAGGTGGGCAGACATCCCGGCTTCAGCAGACCCCAAATCCGGATCATCACCAGCATCTCCCTCAGCATCGCCAGGGACGCCCCGTCCCTCATGAAGCCGAACCCGGGCCGGACCATGGAGCCCTGAGGGGGGCCAGAGGACACCATGAAGACTTGTGGATCAAGATCAGATTTGTTACTGGGTTCTAGTCTTCTCCGTGGTTTTCTAGGTTCTAGTCTCGTCTAAAGTTCCTCTGCATGTTTTTGGTTTGCAGTTCTAAGCTCAAGGATGGAGAACTCATATCTGTGTTCTTCTTTTGTCTGTTTTTTACTTTGTATTTCAGTGTGAAAATCCTCCTCCTCATTATTCACCGTAAGTTCCAGATGAAAGAACATAAGCGTCGGTTGTAACTACCGGTGTCGTTAGCGGTTTTCTCGTTAGCTCACTTGGTTGGGCAGGTTGGCCAGCAGGTAGAGGACAAAGTCTCCCACCCACTGGATGAGTTGCTGCAGGGACTGAAGGGGGGGGCCGTCCAACACAAACTCCTCCGTCTTCAGATTGATCATCACCTTATCGATATCTGAGGAGACACACAGCGATCAATCAGTGGACATCCTCGCCCGTGTGTTCGACGTCTCACGTGTGTTCTTGTATCCAACGGGTCCCTCAGGTATCCCCCCCCCCCCCCCCCCCCCATAAGCCCTGAGGATTTACCCGGTCACAACAGGTCTAGTATTGAAAAGTTGTAACTTATGATGCCTTTAAATGACTTTGCCTTTTAATTCTAGAAATATCTATATTTACAAGTTGTCAGGGGGCACCAGGGCGGGATCAGCAGAAGTTTGGCGTGGAAGTCGCAGGCTCGAGCCGCTCTTGCCGTGGAAAGTTTACAGAGACGCATCGCCTTCACCTGCCACGATACGCGTAGCCAGAACCTGAGGCCGACATAATACAGCGACACTGAGGCATCACGGGAAGTGGAGTTTGCTGCAGAATCTCACTTGAACCCCGTGAAGCGGCCGAATCTGCTTGTAGTGTTTAAAAGTTAAAGTACAGTTAAAACAAAAACAGCCGGGTGGACACATAATGGGTGAAAGCCGAATGATGATTAATGTAAAACCAGTTTAATGTCTTTAACCAGAACGTCAGCGCCGTCGTCCACTCATGCCTCACTGACCTGCTGCAGTGCCTGGTTCTGCCGCATGTACTCCTCGTGCAGCTTCTCCACCAGGTTGTGCACCATGCTGGGCTGCACGTGCAGCAGGACGTCCCACCAGTCGTACCCAGTCACCATGCAGTACTCCAACAGGAACAGCAGGTGGCGCAGCGTGGTGTTCATCTCCAGCACCTGACCCATCGAGGGCGACACTCGCATCATGTGGAGCTGGAGGAGGAAACACCGTCAACCTTTGAGCCGGCTGACTGGAACAACGACAGAACCGTTGCTGTGCGATTGTATCGCGGCGGTTACGTTCTGAAGAAGAAACGAGCAGCATTCCGGTGTGTGTGCGCGCTCACCTTCCCGTGGTTGTCGACTCCGGCCAGCGCCAGGGAAGTCCACGAGAACTGCAGGGCCTTGAAGTGGAGGGCGGGGCCTCCGGTTCGTTGGCGTTTCATGGCGGACTCGTCTCCGGGTCTCTGGCCGGAGGAGGACGAGGAGCCGTAGAAAACCCCCATCGTCTGCAGGGACAGGCGGTGGAGGATCTGAATGCTGCCGTCATGGAAGGCCAGAGCCAGACCTGACAACACGGGAGAGAACCGATCGTCAGACCAGGTCCCGGGGCCGGGGCACCGACACAGCTGATCGACGGGCAGAGCGCTCACCGAGTCCGGGGCAGAACTTGGTGTCCGACGCCACCTTCAGGTCCGTGTTGGAGATGGAGATGGGTAGCTTGGGCAGAGCGACGGCCGAAACTCGCTCCAGGTCGCTGGTGGTCGTGAGGATCCTCCACTTTAGGATGGTCGGCTGCTTCTCTCCGACTGGACACAAGGGGGGGAGGTCAGAGGTCAAGCCCACAGCACTGAGCGGGATCCAGTTCAACCGGTGTGGCCTCTTACCAACTGGTGATCGGTGCTGGAAGATGTTGTTGACAGGAAGTCCCTCCTTCCTCAGAGACCAACACTCCACGATGCTGCCGCTCTGATTGGACGCACACAGCAGGACCTGAAACGCACGCACGCACGCACGCACGCACGCACGCACACACACACACACACACACACACACACACACACACACACACACACACACACACACACACACACACACACATTTGCACACACACACACACACACACACACACACACACACACACACACGTTCGGTCAGGTTCTTTGGTTCTACTGTCCTCTAGTTTTATTTTCATCTCGGATTCACCCGGTTACCTGTTCAGAGTTCTCTCTGGTGAGGAACTTCAGGTGGGTGACAGCCGGGTACTTTTCCCTCCTCAGCGGGTCGGTGGTGCAGCGCAGGAACAGAGACGGCAACAGTTCCGTGTCGATGCGACACTTCTCGCTCACGACGCTCACCACCACCTGGACACGGAGAGTGCGTTCATAGTTACCAGACTCGACGCGATTGTCAGAAAACACTTCAGGGAATCAGGGTTCTGACCTTGTAGAACTGGACCGGGGAAGAGCTGCTGCCGTCGGTCGCCGCCACCACGATGTTCCCCCCTCCGGTGAAGGCGATGTCGGCCAACGCCACGCGGCCCCTCAGCCGGCAGAGGCTCTCGCTGGCCGTCAGCAGGGCGCCGCCGGGCTTCAACAACGACACGGTGACCAGGCCGCTCACGGTCACCGCCAACCAGCCCTCCATCGGCTTCCCCCCAAACAGGGTCAGAGACGGCGAGAACTTCACCCGGGAGAACTTCTCGCCGAAGTTTGTGGAACCCGACTGAACCCAGCACAAAAAAAACAAGGAAGTGATTTACAGACGTGACGTATGATGTCTGAAAATATCTCAGAAAAACAAAACAATAAGACAGAAGATGATTGTGTGTCTCCAATGAAGGCGGTTTTAATATGTTTTTAGTTTAGTTTAGTTTGAAGCGCCTGCGTTGGCGTCCGTTTGTCTTATTGTTACCATCTCGACGTGCAGAGCCAGCTTCACTCCGTTGTGCAGCCAGCTCAGAGCCACGATGGGATCTCCGTCCAGGGAGCTGGAGAGGAGGCTCTCCCAGCTGTTCACCAGGTGATCCGCCATCGACCAACACTTAATTTGTCCGTTGCCGTCCGCAGACAGAAGTCTTGAACCTTAAAACACACGAGCGGATCAATAAACCCACTAAACCAGGGGTGTCAAACATACGGCCGGGGGGCCGCACTGGACCCCCCCACCGTAACATCCGTGGACAGTATGTGGCCCCCTACCTAAAATGAGTTTTGACAACAGATACGCAAACAACCAACATGCTCTAGAATATGAGACTGCAAGGGCCAACCTTACCCGATTGATCCCACTCCAGACAGGAAATGACCTCAGTGTGTCCAGAGCTGATGGAGTAAACGTCCCAGGGGTGCTCTGTGTCGATGATGTGGATCATGTGACTGACATCTGTAAGACACACACACACAGGTTTGTAAAACTAGCAGAACCTCACAGGTTGTTACAGAAGATTGCTGCAGTGTAGGAGGCGTGTAGGCCTCACCTTTGTCGTCTTCGTCATCACTCTTCAGGTCGGTGGTGAAGGCCACCAGGTTCCTGCAGGACCAGGAGCAGACCAGCGGGATGGAAGGACAGTGAGTGCTCTTTGGACGCTTCTCCCACTCACACACGTACGCCAACTCCATGTTTTAAGCGGAGGAAGAATCTGGAGAGCAGCCGGGGAGCCCACCTTAAGACACGGACAACAGAAAAAATAGTTCTGATGATGATGATGATGACAATAATTCATACAACACATTTATGCGACGAAAACAGACGCATATTTCCACATAATTAACGTATATATTTACAAACAAATGAATAAAACTGAATGAGGTCTGCAAACTACAATTAGCCTACAGATCTAACCGGAAGTAGCCGATTTAGAGTTTCCTGTTTATACGTAAAATGATCTGATCTAGTGTCCTTTTCAGGTGAGACTCCGCACAGTGTGTTATACTGACGAAGGCATAATGCCTTTGGTATTTAACGTGTTTTCTATTCAACAAGTGTAAGTTTTTAATAACGTCTCAATTTAAAATAACGTATTTGTCAAACTGACATCACCCCAAATGGCTGGTGAAAAAGAGAAATGTCAGTAAAATTGTCAGGGACATATTCTCTCTTCTGGTGATGTGATGACGTGACCTGGGTCGCACTGGTTGGCCTCATTTAAAAGAAGGTTTAGGACGCGGTGTGTTTGAGAAGCAGTGTTTGTGTGGCAGGCAGCTAGCAGCTAACGTTAGCTTACCTCACTTTGGCTCCAGCCCCGAACAAAACAAACCGGTTTCGTTGAGAACCCGAACTCCTAGAACTAAAAATATAAAATAAGAGTGTTTTGTATTAAATGTAATTCGGATGTAATGGTGGCTGGTGTACCAAGCAAACCGTCCACCAGCCATTCGCCTCAACAAAGTGTCAGGACCCCGCAGCTCACCGGGCAGTCTCTACAGAGGCCTGTCTATAAAATATTCAACATATAGACATATTATACAAATACAATTAGGACACTGTGACGCAAGACTATAACCGCGAACATGTGTTTGATTTGTTGTTAAATATATTCAACTTGACGTCTTTCTCTTATCCGTAAGATTGTAAACTCGTTTTTTCTAAGCTGGCGGAGGGGGGGCGCAGTCTCATCTACAGGTGAACGTGTAACTTTGACCCTGAGCAGTGTCTTCCAGGATCCTCCAATAAATACACAACTATTTACCTATATAAAACATTTGTTTACTTATAAATTGCAGCAGCCAGAAATATGAAGCAGATCAGTATCACCTTGTAACTTGCAAAATTAACTATTGTAACAACATAGAAAGTTATTACTAAAACTCATGTTTACAATCTGTACTGAGGGGTGAGTGAAAGGACTAGTCATTTTCTGTTGACTTTTATACAACCAGAGGAGTCGCCCCATAATGGACTTCATTGGCTTCATTCTCCAACTGGTCCCAGCCTTAATTCATCATCCTTTAGCCACGATGGCTATTGCTGCATCTTGTAGCCACTTGGCTCCAACCAAGCCAACTGTGATTGATGTAAAGAAATCCTTGGATTTGGGTCTAGTTTGACCAGATTGTTAGGGATAATGCTTTACTAGGTGCAGTTCTTAGATCAGGCCACCAAGCCAAGTTCACTGACCCATCACCCCCCAAAAACAGATAGTCTGATACATGTGTACTAATACTATGTGTGTCTATATATGGGTCTGATTCATGAACCGTGTGTGGGTCTGATATGTACTGAACGTGGGTCCAAAACAAAACCTCTACAGGTCCACAACATGATCTGTATGTGAGTTTGATATCGAACATAGTTTTGCGCCTGGCAGGTGAAACTCGGGGTTTTCATGCTCCACGGGAGAGGACCCGTATTTCCGGTGTGGTTGTTGTCTAGGACCCTAAGCAGCCGTCAGTCTCCTGTGTACAGAGTTTGGTCTCCCGTTAACTCCGTTAGCTCACCGTTTAAAACGCCCGACGGCTCCAGATTAAGCAAAATGACTCTTCAGAGTCCAGCTCCTGCTAGCTGCTAGCAAACGCCGCTGCACAGCTACAGTTATCTAGCGTTAGCTGCTGCTAGCTCCTTTAGCCTTAGCTTCCCACGTAGCGCGCTAACGGAGCCTACCACAGAGCTCACCGGCTAACTGCTGCGTTTCTGCGGCTGTTTGTCCCGAATAAAACACCGAAGAGGAAGCGTTAACATGGACGCACGGCTGCGGAGCCAATAACCGGTAATTATCCAGCTCCGTGCTAATGGAGGCGCATGTTAACGTTAGCTTCGAGATGCACAGAGTTAGCGGCAGGATGTTTACCTCCTTGAAGAGACCGCAGGCCCCAAAACTACATCCATTCTATGCAGCAGTTTACATATGCATGTGTTAATTTTTGTGTGTATATATATTACATTTTAAAAGAAGGATATTTATATTAGTCGTTGCTTTTACATGTTCACATGTCTCAATGATCGATTGTGTTCAGTATTGAATATCTCTGCTCCTTTCAAAAATAAGTCTCTCAAATTTGTAGGTAATCAAATAACTGGCACAAAGAACACATTTCCACAGAGGACTCTAGAGTTTACCATTTGATTAATCGATTGTCAGGAAATTATTTCTTTAATCCATTCATCATTTATTCTTCTTGCAAACATTAAGAACATCTCTTTCTTCCAGCTTATGAAACGTGAGGATCTGATTATGTTTCAAAGAAAAGCTGAATCTTATACACTTAATAATCAAATTCATTAGAAACGTCCACCGTGGATTAATTAATGGTGATTATATTTATCGATATATAATTCATTTTAGGAAGGTGGAACCAGATCATTTGGAACATTGTTTTAGTTTTTCGACTAGCTCACTAGTTTTCTGTTTATAAATGAATTGATGTATTTTGTTCACCCTCACAAATATTATTTAATAATCTACTGCTCCATTTTCAGTGAAAGTCATATTGAACCTGCTTTATATGCATGCAGTGTCACTGAAACACACTAGCAATCAACATGTAAATGACCTGTAATGTAGTGTAGTGTTATCGGGGGGAAATTCACATACATTTAATTAAATATGTGTATGTTTTTGCATAGGGGCATAATGTCATAAACAAATACTCATTAAGCAATACAAGATTTTCGTTAACAACTTGGTAAATATCTTTACATATGTTCAACATTTTCAAATCAATAATCATAGTCTTGGTTCATTGGTTCTTTTTCAGTTGCATCTGTGTAAAGAGGTCGAGTCCATCAGAGCCTGGCGTGGACTCCGTGGAGACCTTTGCCTGATCCGAGGTTTTACCTTCACCCTGAACACACCTGCCTGCCGGAAGCCATGCTGACCTAGAATCAGCTGTCAGTTTGTGCAGTGAGCTGAATCATCCAGAGATAGAGACCATGTCTGAGAACCAGGCCAACAACAACAACGTCCCTCTGAACAACAACATGGGACCCAACAGGATGCGAAACCCCAACATCAACCAGAACCCCCTCATCAACGTCCGCGACCGCCTCTTTCACGCCCTCTTCTTCAAGATGGCCGTCACGTACGCCCGACTGTTCCCTCCGTCCTTCAGGAGGGTCTTTGAGTTCTTTGTCCTGCTCAAGGTGTGAAACGTCTCCTTTATAGAGTCAGATATGCAACACAAAGGGTGAAGTGTTTCTTCTGTGCAGTTAAATAAACACACGGTGTGAAAGGTCACAGAACTCTCACCGCCAGCGAGCAGTTAAACGGAAAGTTATCTCATTGCTGAACGGTCGCTCTCACGAGCAGGATTACAACCAGTTATAACCACATTTCATAAACTGAACTGTTACTAAATCAGGATGGGATTAATTACATGATTTGGTAACGTAGTCCATCATGGAAGAAACCTAAACAAAATGATCTCGCCAACAGAATCTCCCTGTAAATCCTGCAGGTGTGTCTAATCTGCAGGAATGGGGATTGAAATGACAGGACTTGTGCTGAGACTGTAAATCCACCAGATTAACAGCAGCCACCCCTCTGGGCTTTTGTCAGTAAACACACTCAGTGATGCAACAGACTGCTGGGTGAGGATTGCTCAGTCACGATGGGTCACAGTTCAGGCTGCCAGGCCACAAAGTCGTCTGTAGACTTCATCTACTGTTGTCCTGGTTGTTTGTCACGGTGTTAATTTATGACTGAAAGTGTGCGTCAAACCGACTTCTGTCCTAGTGATCGTCAAACTGACTTCCGCCTGTAGAAACGGGAGCAGCACAGACGTAGAATCCTGTGATCAGTTGAGTTGTAGAGACAAAATGGAGGTTGTTGTTATTGTGACAAACGCGCAACGTGTTGCGGCTCGCAGAGAACGTTAACGTGCTCACTTTCGTTGGTGCCGAGGCTCTATTCATCTCTGTGGAGGAAGCCCCGCCCTGAAGTGTAGCCTGCATTATGGTCTGTTAGACTGTGAATGGACCATCATTCACTAAGCAAACATCATGCTGGAATGAAGAGTTCTTGGAACTAGAGATCGAGACCATAAACTCATGTTTACTCAGGGAATAAATCAAGAGAGGAGAAGTAATTTTCTCATGGACGTCTGTAGGACCAGAGGAGTTGCTCTCCAGGGAAAGGATGCTCTGTGTGAGCATGCGATGTGAAAACGTCAAATAGTCACAAATGTGAAGGCCTCAGTGGCGGTTGTCACGGAGACGCTTTTGATGTGTGAAAGTCACAGAATATTAGTACGGCCAACTTTGTGTCACTGGAGGCATCGCGTGTGAAAGCGCGACCGAACTAACTCCTCTGTGCCCCTGTTCAGGCGCTCTTCGTCCTCTTCATCCTCGCCTACATTCACATCGCCTTCTCTCGCTCGCCCATCAACTGTCTGGAGGTGGTGAGGGAGCGCTGGCCCCGTGACGGCATCCTGAGAGTGGAGATCCAGAGGAACTCCAGCCGGGCCCCCGTCTTCCTGCAGTACTACGACTCCGCGGGCCTCCAGGAGGAGCTGGAGGCTGAGGAGGAGGAGGAGGGGAGAGGAGGTGCAAGAGGAGTGGTGGGGCTCAGCCTGGCGGCGCTGCCGGAGGAGGAAGATGACGAAGAGGAGATGACCCTGGAGATGTTTGACAACAGCTCTGTGCAGGTGAGTCCCGTTTGATTTAATAATGTGTCATAATCCGCTCAGCAGCTTGTATTTTATATTCCTGTGATAAACATCAGCGGCGTGTGCCGATGTGCTAAATTAGTAATAAGCAACGTGACACGATGACCGTTATTGTTCCTGTAGGTCTCCGATTACTGTTGTAGTCAGTGGTTCCTTTACAGAATTGTCCTACTCTGTTTGCTGCTGCAGTTCGAGCTGGACATTGAGCCTCGTCTGAAGCCGTCTCTGATTGGAGGAGGTGTTGGAAGAGGAGGAGCAGGAGGGAACGACAGCCAGGACGTCTCCTTCAGCCAGACCACTAAAGGTATGCAGCCGCTGAAGGACTCAGTGTCTGAGCTGGAGATGATGACCAGAGCAGGTAAACCCTCTTCCTCTTCTTGTCTCCTCTTGTCTACCTCCTTCCTACCTCCTCTACGCCGCCTTCCTCTCCATCTCCCACCTCCCTCATTGCTTCCTCTTCCACCAGAGAGCTGAGATTCTCCTGCACCCCAGCAGGTGGTAGCAGTCTCAGTGACAATAAATGACTCATTATAGAATGTAAACCTCCTCCGGTACTCTAGTCATGTCTGTTGGTCTCTGAAGAGTTCATTAAGGAACTTACACCACCTCAGGTACTGTTGGTGTCCTAAAAGAAGCCGTGTTGTTGTTGTGTCCTCAGTGTGGCCTCAGGAGGAGTACATCGTGGAGTATTCTCTGGAGTACGGCTTCCTGCGTCTGTCTCAGACCACCAGACAGCGGCTCAACATCCCCGTCATGGTCGTCACTCTGGGTGAGACGCCGAAGGCCTCTCTCGTATCCCAGTCTGTGCGCCCTTGGTTCCGTTCCTCACCTCCTCTCCTGGCATCTTAGTCCGAGCTGTGGCAGATGAGAGCGGAGGAGGCGAGGAAGAGAGGAGTCAAGGCAACGGGCTTCTAATTAAAGAGACGTTTGTCTCTGCGGCAGCCGTTTTTTGTTTAGTTATAAATCCCCATTCCATTCTTCTGTGAGAGATAATAGCGATATGTTTCTATATCCTCACAGTCACGTGACCCTCTCCCCTTTTGATGGAACTTGTGCTCCTGTTAGATCCCATGAAGGACGAGTGCTTCGGTGACGGCTTCAGCCGCTTCCTGCTCGACGAGTTTTTGGGCTACGATGACATCCTGATGTCCAGCGTGAAGGCGCTCGCAGAGAACGAGGAGAACAAAGGTAGAGAGACGACCGCACAGCGCGGCTTCAAAGTCTAGTGAATGAAACGGTAAAGCGAGAAATACCCGTTTGCTCCAAAATAATTTTGAATCAGATTTGGTTTGTAAAATCTGACCGATTCGATCGTTAATAAAAAAAACTAAATGTCATCACCTAATTTCGCAACATGATCAAAAAGGACTTTCTACTTTAACCGTTCTCTCCAATCATTATAATCATATTAAGAAGCAAAGCTTCTCGTTGGCACACGTACTGCAGCCTTCTGAATCCTCTGGAGAGATTTGAGACATTATTACTAATAATATCAATCAGTTCTTTATTTTTCCATTTTCTTTTATTCCCTTGATCTTGACATATAAACTACCCATATTATTAGTATACATTGTAAATACAAGAGGTGAAGTCTTTTCTTACCTCATCTTGGTTGCCACATACTATATTGCATAATCTAACTAATCCCGACTGGTCACAGAACCATAGTTCCTCTAATCCCTCATTTCAGAAAGAGACGAGTGATTCTCGAGTCTCCTCCTGTTACAGACTCCGTAGCAGCTCGTGTGTGTTGGTTGCAGAGAGGTGGACGTGTGCAGCAGGCTGTTGATGCTGCATGTGGTTCTCTGCAGGGTTCCTGAGGAATGTGGTGTCCGGAGAACATTACCGCTTTGTGAGCATGTGGATGGCCAGGACCTCCTACCTGGCCGCCTTCGTCATCATGGTGATATTCGTAAGTGGATGAGTGACGGTGGGTCACTGCAGCTTGAACTGACTTTTTAAACACGGGAAACTCAGGGGTTAGACTTTTGTGTTTGGAACCAAGAGGAAGATTCTCAAAGCGACGCAAAACTCTTTGGAAAGTGTTGTGTTCAGTATTTACGTTTTGTCTTTTTCAGACTTTGTCCGTGTCCATGCTGCTCAGATATTCTCACCACCAGATCTTCGTCTTCATCGGTCAGTTTAATGCTTGGCCTTCAGTCCACATCAGTTTATTGTTCAGGTCAAAACGATCCAGTCCAGAAGAGTTTAACGTAGGCCAGTTCAGTCCGCTCCAGTCACATGTAGTTCATTTCACTGAGGTCCAGTTTGTTTACTCTTTCTACCAATTTTCATTTTAAACAATCTGAGGGTCTGAAGAATATGATCCGGTACTTGTGTGAATGAATTGACTGTGCCTTTTAAAACATCTGCTGCGTGTTGGTTGATCTGGTCTCTGTCTGTCCCCCTCAGTGGATCTTCTTCAGATGTTGGAGATGAACATGACTATCGCCTTCCCAGCAGCCCCTCTGCTCACCGTCATCCTGGCTCTCGTTGGTACGTCCTCTCCCTGAGGAGTAGTGACAGGCTGAAACCTGGTCTCCGTGTGTAGGACGGTCCCACCAGTCTGGAGAGAAAAGTCCTGAGTTTATACATTGAAGTATTCTGTGTGTAGCCACCAACTAACTTGTCAAATCAAATAGTTCAATTTAATAATATCTCAGCAATATTTCAGCTTTCAGGTTAAATGAGATTAATTATAAATATGTGCTCAAATTAAATGAAATATTATCTTGTTTCAGGCATTAAAAAAAAGGAATGCATGTTTCAAAACATCTTTTTTTGAAAATAAATTACATTATAGTAGAGACTTGGGACCTGAGTAGAAACAGCAAAGTCCTTGACGCAAGCTGTTTACTTCCCAGCCGCATGAGACAAACCTGTCAATCATAGTGACGGATTTTTGTCTTGACCTGCTGTCGTCACTTCCTGTCACCAGGCATGGAGGCCATCATGTCCGAGTTCTTCAACGACACAACAACGGCCTTCTACATCATCCTCATCGTGTGGTTGGCCGATCAGTACGACGCCATCTGCTGTCACACCAACACCAGCAAACGCCACTGGCTGAGGTGAGTCACCTGACCAACGCTGGCTCACGCCATCGACAGTTCAGATGTGTAGACGATATTCTTATATTTCCGCCCCAAATCGTGATCGTGAGCAAACTTTCACGGAACATGAGAAATGTGATCTGATCGGTGTGGTCAGCTCGCATCATTTGACCCTCTCGCACGCGGCGCCGCGCTCACGGTTAATGTCTCTTTGTCTCTCAGGTTCTTCTATCTTTACCACTTTGCATTCTACGCGTATCACTACCGCTTCAACGGGCAGTACAGCAGCCTGGCGCTGGTCACCTCCTGGCTCTTCATCCAGGTCAGAACCACCACCATCATCTTCATCATCTTCAGACTGACCCTGAGTCTCTACAGGGCGTCCCAAGTGTCCCAACTAAACATTTACCTGCAAACACAACGGGTTTATAAATTTGTTTTGTTCATTTTATGGATCTTAAAGAGCTCTAAATGTCACTGATCATAACATATTCTGCTCACTAGTCTGACGAGCAATATAAATATTGCTAAAGCTGATGATTGACACGTGGAGCTGGTGACAAGAACAACATCTGCATCAAAAATGAGTTTACGTGTTAAACTGAAACTTTATGAAACAATGCCGTCGTCTTTGGAAATGTCATCATCGGAAGGTCACATGACACATTTTGAGCTGTTCAGACCAACAGGGAGTTTTAAATCAAGGTCACTTCCAACTTCTCATTCTTCTTCTTCTTCCTCTTCCTCAGCATTCCATGATCTACTTCTTCCACCACTACGAGCTCCCTGCCATCCTGCAGCAGATCCGGATCCAGGAGATGCTGCTTCAAAACCAGCAGGCGGGTCAGGCCAACCAGACCGCCCTGCAGGACAACCTGAACAACAACACCAGTGCCGCCGCCGCTGCTGCTGGACCGGGACCGACCAACACCGCCCAGCCAGGACCCAACAGCACCCAGCAGGAGGCTCAGACTGACCCCCAGGCCTCCTCCTCCTCCACAGCAGCATCCGGAGTTGGAGGGGAGGTGAGGTCGGAGTTGAACTGGGTCGCTCAGACGGCGGCCATCATCACCGAAGTTCTGTCCTCCTCCAACCAGCACTCCTCGGCTGACCCCGCGGACGAAGGCGGTGCAACCGGAGGTGGAGGAGCAACGGGAGGAGAATTGGATGCAGCATCAGGAGGAGGAGGAGGAGGAGAAGGAGGAGGAGCTGGAGGTGCAGCATTAGATGAAGCAGCAGGAGAAGGAGCAGGAGGCCGAGGTGGTAAAGATGATCAGAAAGTTGCTGAAATCAAAACCGCAGCAGGAGCTGCCGATCTGCCACCCAGCCCTCCAATCAGAGAGCCCCAGGCGGTGGAGGCGGGGCCTTCGAAGGAGACCCCCTCACAGACAGACTGCCCCCCTCCACTGAGTCCAGGTACAGACTGCAGAGCACCACAGACCCCGTCCTGAGGTCCCAGCTGGAGTCCTGCTGACATCATGTCCGCGGTACCTCAGTCTGTCAGCTGATCAGGGCGATTGATCAGTGATTGGCTGATCATTTTATTTCTGGCGTCAAACAAGCGAGTGATTGCTCAAGAAGCTCTGGCTCGGGGCCCCACAGCAGGTCACAGGGTTCCTCTGCGGGGCCACCGAGTTTTCACTTTGCTCCTCTCTGGTTGAACTGGTTCATTGGAAACCAGATCGACTCTAGAATCTAGTCCAGATCAGTTCAGAGAACAAAGATGATATCTTAATGTTCAGTCCGTCATCTATCATCAGTTAGATCCATAAAACACGTTATCATAACCTTAAGTAAAGACCAAATCCATGTATCACCTTTTCAGTTTGATAGAAATGAGATTGTGATGTTTTAAACAGAAACAAACTATTCAGTGAATGTTTCTAATTTCCAGATGTTTCATTGCTGTTGTTCCTTCATCACACTGGTTTGTTCGGACTCCGTCACAGACACTAATTACAGCATCTCGCGTGGACGGAGGAATAGTCCCCAACCAAGTCCCTGTTTCTTGATGAAACAATTGATTTGGCTTTAACATACACTATTTTAAATGACCCAGTGATCAGTTATTGATCAGCGAATCGGTGTTGATCAGCCCTCATTCTGACAGACTGAAGCACAAACTGAACCCTGTTGAATTCTGTTTCCATCTGCTTTTATTTTGAAGAACAACACTTTGAGAGCAGGAAGTAGTTTTAGTGGAGGAACTGATCGATCGGGTGGATTGGGAATGCCTGACAGAACTGATGCCTTATCAATGATCCTCTGTGGACACCACAGAGACGTCAGCAGTGGAGCGAGCTGATTGGTTGTGCAATATGATGCCAGCTGTCACACGCCAGGCCCCGCCTTCTGCTTATCAATGTGCTGCGTTCAGGGAACCGAAGGCAAAAACAACTCAAAACTCCTTTTTTAAGATCCATTTATTCAATGAAGTGAATTAATTAAAAGTCACGTTTCCATCTTCACCCCAAACATGTCACATAAATTCACATGGGTTATGTTTAAACCGTTTACTGCTCAAACAAATTGTCAATAACTACGCAGATATATAATCGTATATAGATACAAATATATATTTATAAATATATTATTTATATCTATATGTATAGATATAAGGATATATATTGTATGTAAAATAACATGTCTGTTGACAATTCATGTCATTTCAAAAAAAATGTGTCTCAAGAATGTGAATCTCTTTTGGAAGTTAAATGATCTATTCCTACTAAAGAGAAGGATTGATCAGATGTGTTGCTTGTTCCCATGGTTACCCTGAGTCAGTCAGACCTTGTTTAACCTGCGTTTCATTACCTGAAATCTGTCACAGGATCTCTAAGCACGTTGAGCGCATCATTAACGAGGAGAACTGCTTCTGTTTAATTATTTCTTTTTTGCAGATTTCTACATTTGTGTCGTGATGGAGGCGGGGCCTAAATTGTGACGTCAGCATCAGAGGGAGGGGTTTAGTTATTTTTTTCTCTGTGCCTCTGCTGGATGACTGTAACTTCAATAGTTGGCCTGAAGCCTGAAACTCATGAAAATGTATTTAACTGTAAAACAGTAAAAACCAGTGCTCAACAACAGCTGTTTGCGCACGCACACACTGTGTGAACGAGTGGATTATTTCTGTTTCTATTACATGAAGTTAACCTCAATCCGACGCCTATGATGAGTTCATCAATGAGGGAATCTGAGAGGTAAAAAACAAGTAAGACAGCGATTGTGGTGGTGAAGTATCGGAGAAATAAATCCAGGAGACCCGTTGACCTGCAGACGGTCCTGATCAACAAAAAGGGTTCTCTTCCCAATAAAACAAAACAGGAAATGAAAGACTAGAAACACATGAATCAGATCTCTGTTAACCAAACTGTATTAATGATCATATTTGAATACACTTTTTTTGTAAAAGAGTTTTTGTAATTCACATTACTAATTTGGTTTCCTCCCAGAGTGTTTGTGCTTTCTGCCTCCAGGTTTCCATGTATCAGGGTTTTATCTCAACCTGCCCTGCTGACCCACTGCTACTATTATTAGTCACAATAACCCACCTTCAGTAGTATTCTACTCTATCCACTGCAGCTGTTATTCTTCATAGTCGGAATTCTTCTTACTCTTATTAAATGAATAGTTTGTGTCATATGCATTAAGTGTATAATTATTATGCTACTCCTTCTCTGCACGTGACATCTATTGCACTACTGTTCATTTTGGCGCAGGGGGGGTAGTGCTACCTGTAACGGCGTGACGGTCCTGGGACAGAGGACGTCTCGGTTGAAAGTTTTTTATCTAACTGAAAAACGTGTAAACTGTTGGAAAGATCAATACTAGTAGGCGTTAACATGTGAAGCAGGTAATTAGCCGCTTGTAGTGAAGATTATCACATGTCAGCTTAGTTCAACTGGAGCTGAGAAAGTTAATTATCAGAAAACAGCACAACGCGCTCTCCATAGAATGTCAGCAGATCGGGACCTGTGTTCTCTTTGAAACCAGTGGAACCAGCTTATATCCCGTGAAACCAGGGTCTTCATGGATCCACTATAGTCGTGTATTTCCAGTGTAACCACTGTCGCGGACTCTGTAAATCCAGTGTGAGTTTGAATCGAGCTACAACCATCGATGTGGTATCTGGATCCTCCTGTGAAAAGTGTTGAATTCTCTATAAATCCATTTTAAAATTTAAATCCAGTGCAGCTGCTGTTGTGGTACCTCGGATTCCAGTGGAACCAGTTTGCATCCAGTGCAACTTGTGCTGTCGTCTCTATAGATCCAGTGTAAGGCTTTTAAATCCAGTGTAGTTGTGGTCTCTGTAAATCCATCCTGAATCCAGGGATGTCAGTGTTGTAATCTCTGTAGGTCCGGTTTAAGTCATTTAAATCCGGCGTAACGCCCCATGTGGTCTTTGTGGATCCAACACAACCAGTTTGAATCCAGTGTAAACAGTGATGTAGTCTCTGTAGATCCAGTTTATAGCCCAAGAACTATAAACGGCTGGTCGATCAAATGCAAATGAACCGATGAACTTTTTATCTAACAAAGTTATATTTAACAGATGTTTGTTTACTTTATTCATATTAACATGATTTTTAATATTCTGTATTTCTCTCAAGGTCAATTTTCAGATATTAAAGTCCATAATATTTTTTTTAATTTGTCATAAGAACTGGAAACATTTGCAATGTGTTTTTTGTGTGTTTTTTTTAGATACAAATATAACGACACTCTTGATTTGGTAACACACTTATTCCCTTTTTAATTTTTCAAAAAATATGTGAAGATCGAAATGAACAGAAATATCACAAACCACTCGGAGTCCTTTGCTCAACACAAACATCCTCCGCTTCACTTTTCACAGAAACACATGGGTCAGCGAACGCCTCACAGCCCACTAGTCGAACAGAAAGGGAAGTGAACGCATCACAGAAACAAACCGAGGAAGACGAGTAGATTGAACCTGCGGGGACGTTCGGTCTCACCTGGTCTGTCACAGTAAAACCTGCTCCTCCTCAGATCAACACAGGACTTTTCCAGAGGGGGGTTTGTGTCCTGTGTAAAACCAAGTCAACATTCATTTATTTTACTTCTTAGTTCTAGTTCTGTTACATGACTAGATTTTTTTCTTACACTGGTTTCGTAACTAACGTAGTGATTTCACACAGAAACAAAAGTAGTTGTTTCAACCCAACCAGAATCTTTTCCAAAGCAGCCTAGTCACTCCTTTAAATAGATGTTACTGGAACTAATTAGGATTCGTGTGCATTTTAGAGTCTGTAAATAGCTTTTAATATTCATCTTAAACATGGCTATTCCAGACTGATGTAAATACGAATCAATTCAATTCAATTCATTTTATTTTGTATAGCCCAAAATTGCAAATTACAAATTTGCCTCAGAGGGCTTTATAGTCTGTACACATACGCCCTCCTCTGTCCCGAATCAATAGACGTTATCTATTATCTTAAATGCCTTTTCTTTCTTGGTTGGCTATGGCTGGGCTGCCTTGTGGGGTTGAGCTCATTACATCCCTGCAAATAATATTAATATGTTAATATTTTTAAATGGAAAAGTCATAGAGATGCATACGTGTGTGTGATGTCACAAAGCAAAAACATAAAACAACCAAACCAAACAAAGCAATTCATTTAATGAAAAAATGAGAACAAAAGAAATTAAATAAAATACATAAAAAATGGAAATTCTAACAATAATAAACTACAGTGCCTTTATTTCGTCAAGCAAGTCGTTCAGAGCGGAGACGTCCTGATGGCGAATACGGGATCACGTTCAGCTTGGGCCTCAACTTTGGAACAAAAAATCTGTGGTTGTTTTTACACTGTGCAGATAATCAAGTAACCAACTATATTTGGGTCAAACAAATTAATTTGCACCTTTATTAATGGATGGAGGTTCTTTAATTAAGTAGCAACTGTATTGTTATTTTATTAAACTATAATCTTTGCAATGTAACATGAAAGTGGTGTCACTTCCCTCCACAGAAAGACCTCACTACTTCTTGTAAGCGATCACAGCCTCCCGCTGGTTGGTTTTTTTTGTGTTCACTGGGGTTATTCCTCGGATGTTTGCTAAACTTGCCTCACAGTAAGTCTTGTTTCTACAAAAAAACCTGAAAAACTTTAGATTCACCGACATTCTAAACAGTCTGAGGATCCCCATTTACTCCAAATGTTTGTAAAGTGACTCATATATTTTTACTTGCTGACGTCCCAAACTGTGGCCATTTGAATCGGGAAATTGAAGGAAATTGCCTTAAAAATCAGCTTATTTGGCCCTGAACATCCAGCGATTAAAATTACAACACATTACTGTTCCAAAACAAGTACATTAGGACTCATTTTAATAGCTTATTTGTTAGATTTAATTGTGCCCCTTAATTTAGAGGAATAGTTTTCCGTTCTGGAATTTGATGTTGAACAATAAACATATTTCTGGAATATTATACATAACTGTACAATTCTTTTTTAAGTGCTTTTTGGTTCATATGCTCAACATAAGGGTTTATTACACCTGCCTAATCTTTTTGGAGGTGGATTTATGTTATTTGATCATTTTGTAGAATTCTTTCTATGTTCTAAAACATTTTCAACTGTGTTAAAATGCAATATAAAAGGTGTTCAATTCTCAAACCAACTTCATTTGAAACCTATTTCAATAACTTGTATATTTATGAAAGTCCATTCTGTCAACCAAACCTTGTAAATACCGCAAATGTGATTTTACTACCACGTGATAGAAGGTCTCATTGGGTTGTATTGAAGTCCCCCCATGCATGACTCACTGAGTTTGAGTTAGAAGTCTGTAATGTACAAACACATTATAATACAAGTATAGTTTATTTTACAGCTGAACAAATGACCCCCCTGTGGCCTTATTGGCATATCTGAGTGAGCTCCTGCTTAACTTTGGCATTTAAAAATAAAATCCTTTCAGTGTTTCAAAATGGCCGCTGTGTGTAGAGAGTCATGTGACCCGTGCAGTCAGCATCACCTCTGATTGGCCAGTCTGCTGTGGAAGGGCCGGACTTTGGACAGGACTTTGTGAGGTGGGTCCGTCATGGTCGTCACGCACTTAGTGTTGGCAGGGAAAGGCATTACTGGGGCAATAGGGGGCGGGGCGCTGGGGGGCGGGGCGCTGGGGGGCGGGGCGCTGGGCGGCGCTGCGGTTGTTGTCATCGTGGTTGTGGTAACTGCACTCAGGTTGTTGGTTGCCGTGGCGACGGGTTTGGCCAGGCTCGTCTGGATCTCTGCCCTCCTGGCCAGAGCCGTCCTCAGCTTCTCCCTCATCTGGTCGATCTGCTCCTGTAGCTCCTGCAGCTCACCGGGCCGGGGTGGAGCAACCACCACGGGGGGAGGGGCAACGGCCGCGGTGGGGACTCCGACGGCGACAGAGGGAGGCGCAGGGGGAGGCACAGAGGTATTGCGTTGGGCGGAGGAGGCGGCCGAAGCGGAGGATGCCAAAGATCGTGAGTGGAGGAGGCTGGCCAGTGACACCGCCGGCCCTCCGTTCTCACACTGCCGGCTGTTAGGCCCCGCCTTCGCCGGCCCCTGCCCTTCGGATTTGGCCCCTCCCCCCTTGGCGTCGGAGGTACCGATGCTAGCGAGCAGGCGGCGGGTGTTGAGGGTCTCCAGGTGGAATTGGACTTGTTTGAAGTCTCGGGCGTCCTTAGCGGCGGCCTTACCGTCCTCGTTGCTCCACTTGGCCGAGGCCCCGGGGGCCGGCGCAGCGGGGAGGCCGCAGGGGGGCTGAGGCTTCTGGAGGTCACAGCTGAACGGGAACAGAGTCACAGTTCATCCTTTAACTGCAGATGACAGATGACTTCATCACCATTTAGTTTAATATCAGTTTGTCATCATACCTTAACTGGAAAAAAAACGAACGAAGTAATTTCTATTAACATGAAGTCAAACCTTTTCTCTTTTTCAGCTTGCTTCCTCTTTACGTCTTCATACGTCATATTCAGAGCTCGGTGGATTTTCTGCCAAACACACAGGCAGAGAGACATTTTCCTCTGAACAGGAACAACAGAATCGTATATGCGCTCATTTAAAAGACAGCTGGGTTTCCAGAGGTTAACGATCTTCTGCACCTCCTTGAAGCTATTCAATCACCTTCACGCGTCCTTTGGACATCTTCCCCACTGATTAGAACCTCTTCAACCCCGTCAATGACTCATCTGCACCTCTTTAATGCTCTCAACACTCCTTCGCCCTCCTTCATGCCCCTGCTCAAACCTACTTGAAGGCCAGATGATGGTTCTGCAGCAGGAGGTTTTCCACGTTTGGAGTCTCACCTGCGAGGTGTGCAGCCAGTACTTGAGCTTCTGTCGGCGGCGGATGTACGGCAGGGCGAGCTGGTAGAAACCGTGTTCGCCTGCCAGCGTCAGCAGGGCTCCGCCCACGCCGACGCACAGCAACACAAAGAGCCCCGAAAAGTGACTGATGCCCATCTGAAGGGTCTGACAGAGACAGGAAGGAGACAGATAGTTCGTCAGATATTTACAGTGTTCTAATTGCAAGGTTTCTTTGATCGACACATGTATTGAGGAAGATCTCTACTTGAGTGTTTCCATTTTAAATCCCATTAGCTGAGCTGATTCACTCCCACAATGTGACTGTTGTGAACATCTGGTTTTCACAGGGACATTCGGGTGAGACAAGTGAATCCTCGGGTTGCGTCCTGCAGGGGGCAGCAGCTGAGCAGACGAGCCACGACTAAACTGTACTACTCTTTCTATTTTATCCAATAAATAGGACAGAAAAAAAGTGTCCATTGCTGTGTATTAAGACTCACACACACACACACACACACACACAGTCTGAGACTGACCTCTGTGACGGCGAACACACGGTTTCCACAGGGAACCACTTTGTACCACTTGTCGTGCAGCAGGTCCATGTAGCCTTCCGATTTGTACCTGCTGATGAATTCTGAGATGTTGGAGGTCAGGGGGGAGTTCTGGGGCAGACCGATGCCATAACCTGAAGCAAAATAAACAAGGACAACACAAATATATCACAACGTGAACAATTAAAAAAATACATATTAAAAAAGTACTCTGGTAGCAGCACTCGGAATAACTATGAGGAAATCTTCTCTGCGGTGACCTGGATGCAGTGCATTTAATACTGTAGTGTACACAATGTGTAAACAGGGTTGATTGACGGTGTTGACACAGTTTTCTCAGCAAAGTCTCTGCAGGAGGAAAAAGCTCAGAACGACTCTTTAAAGTGGGAAACTGTCAGAGAGTCTGCAGGGAGACTGATTGGTGGAGATGCAGTTGATGATGAAACTTCATGAAACCCGTTTCAATAAAAAGCTGATGGAACTGAATGGTGGAAAAACCAGGAACGAATCGAAAGTTTGTAATACGGAATACATACATTGATCATAGCTACTAGATATTTACATGTCCTCACAAAGACAGAATAACGGTTCACACACAAACACACGAACATTTCTTCTCACCTTCGATAGCAAACGGTTTCCCAACTGTTGCAAGTTTACAGTCGGCGTCGATGGAAACCTCGTAATCCAGGAGAGCTTTGTCCATGATGAAGGCGTCAAGCTGAGGAGGATCTGTCCTTCAACACAGAGCAACGCGTTTACTAAGGCAACTACAGACAGAAACTACGTCATTCGACACAAAGCAACGCTGTTACTACGCCAACTACAGACAGAAACTACGTCCATCGACACAGAGCAACACCGTTACTATGGCATCTGCAGTCAGAAACTACGTCAATCGACACAGAGCAACACCGTTACTATGGCATCTGCAGTCAGAAACTACGTCCATCGACACAGAGCAACACGGTTACTAAGGAAACTACAGACAGAAACTACATCTATTGACACAGAGCAACACCGTTACTATGGCAACTACAGACAGAAACTACGTCAATCGACACAGAGCAACACCGTTACTATGGCAACTACAGACAGAAACTACGTCAATCGACACAGAGCAACGCGGTAACTAAGACATCTACAGACAGAAACGTCCATCGACACAGAGCAACACCGTTACTATGGAAACTACAGACAGAAACTACGTCCATCGACACAGAGCAACACCGTTACTATGGCATCTGCAGTCAGAAACTACGTCAATCGACACAGAGCAACACCGTTACTATGGCATCTGCAGTCAGAAACTACGTCAATCGACACAGAGCAACACGGTTACTAAGGAAACTACAGACAGAAACTACATCTATTGACACAGAGCAACACCGTTACTATGGAAACTACAGACAGAAACTACGTCCATCGACACAGAGCAACACCGTTACTATGGCATCTGCAGTCAGAAACTACGTCAATCGACACAGAGTAATGAAGTTACTACGGCATCTACAGACAGAAACTCGATACAGAGCAACACAGTTTCTTTAGCTACAGGCTGAATGCATGTGTATTACATGCATGTGTATTACTGTTACTACGGCAACAGCAACTGTTGGTGGGTCGTCGAGGCGCAGGGGTAGAGAGGGTGTGCTGGGAACCACAATGTTGGTGGTTCGAGTCCCGGCTACCCCATGTCCCAAGTTGAAGTGTCCCTGATTGCCCCCTAATTGCTCCCCAGGCAAAAATGTAAAATGCCATGGGATAAAAATGTAATGTAAGTTGCTTTGAATAAAAGCCTCAGCTAAATGACCTGTAATGTAGTGCCACATTATCTCTGCGTCGGTTCTCCTGCATTCTCTTACTTGAGAGTGGCCACTCCTTCGGGTGTTGTTGGCTCGTTGAAGCGCCGCATGTATTCGTGCATCTCTGGAAAACTCTTCTTCATGTAATCCTCTGCACTGCTCTCCCTCACCGTCCCGAAACGAAAACCCCGCGACGGATGATGCAGCTGGAACATTAACGAAGAAGAGGAAGGAGACAAAGTAGTTAATTACAGAAACAAGCGATCAAAAATACATGCTCATACATTACATGACACTGATGCTTTGGAAGCTACAGTCTGCACGTTAAAAACAAAAGCTAACACTCCTTAATACCTACACACACACGCGCAAACGGTCACTCGCAAACACTCACAAACATATTTCATGCTTCAATTAGCTGCAGAATTAAAAGTGTAATTATGAGGACGCAGGTGATCCAAAGAACAGGTTTAATGTGTAATTAATTCACAACAGGAAACAGAAAGTAAATGAATAACGAGTCACAGCTCAGCAGCTAAGACTGAAGCCAAACACGGATCGAATATTTCTATCAGTGTAGTTATGATTTGTTTTCCATTTGACATCTTTTAACACTGAATTATCAGATAATTTCATCCCATGCATCTGACCTCGGACCACATCCAGAAGCTAAAGCTTGATAAATAGAATTGGATGAATTAGTAAGTAAGTTTAAATGTCACTTGAGAGTTTCTTTAAAAAAAGGTTGGGTGAGATAAAATAACTAATGTTTACAATAATGCAGACATCTGAGGTCAGAATCGCTTTGTTTCACATTGTTTTTTCACCACGAGCTGTAGTTGCAGGAGATGCTTCATGCTGTAGAGTTTATAGGTCTATAGTCAGGGCTGGCTCAGGTTTATAGTCAGGGCTGGTTTAGGTTTATAGTCAGGGCTGCTCAGGGTTATAGTCGGGGCTGGCTCAGGTTTATAGTCAGGGCTCGTTCAGGTTTATAGTCAGGGCTAGTTCAGGTTTATAGTCAGGGCTGGCTCAGGTTTATAGTCAAGGCTGGTTCAGGTTTATAGTCAGGGCTGGTTCAGGTTTATAGTCAGGGCTGGCTCAGGGTTATAGTCAAGGCTGGCTCAGGTTTATAGTCAGGGCTGGCTCAGGGTTATAGTCAGGGCTGGCTCAGGTTTATAGTCAGGGCTGGCTCAGGGTTATAGTCAGGGCTGGGTCAGGTTTATAGTCAGGGCTGGTTCAGGTTTATAGTCAGGGCTGGCTCAGGTTTATAGTCAGGGCTGGCTCAGGTTTGCCCTAGACCAGCCCCTAATTACATTGCTACAGGTCAAGACTGCTGGAGGACGTCTTATGATACACTAAGCGGCTCTCTTTCCTCCTTCTGCTCTCCATCTTTAAAGAGGAGCTCCATGGGAGAAGTTATTGGCTCCTGTTAAACTCACATTTTGACGTTAGCAGAAAAACTACAAAGTTTGACAGACTGTGTGAATGATGATGGAATTAAAAGAAGACTTTCTCACCTTGGCATCGTGGATTCCTGACACCTCCTCAAAAGTCTTCTCCCCCACCATCACTGCGGCGAGGTTGGCGGTGTAGCTGGACAGCACCAGCAGGCAGAAGATGGCCCACAGGTTCATCAGAAACCGACCCGTCCAACACTTTGGCGTCTTGGAGGAGACGGTGCGTCCGAACAGAATGGCGTAGCACAGGTTGAGAGCAGACGAGTATGAAAACACCCTCACCCTGTTGCGTCCGTGAGGCGTCATGCCATACGGACTCTTCCACTCGTAAAGCGTAAGGAAAAGGGCGGTGATGTGCAGCGCCACGAAGATGCCCACCCACATGGACCAGTGCAGGGGCCACATGAAGGCTCCGATGGGGGCCGCAGTGTCCTTACTGCGCACCAGGATGCCCAGGCTGGTCGAGAAGAAGGGCGAGGTGAAGTCGATCACCCGGCTCCGGGCGGAGTTAATACTGAAGGAGGTCACGGCCATGTCTGCCAGCCCGTTCAGAAGATCTCCCACCAGCCCGGTCCAGCGGCCCCCCTTCCACGCCCCGTACTTCCCGTCTCCCACGATGTAAAGGTCGTACTCGAAGCCCAGGTCCTCGGCCAGTTTCTCCAGCAGGTCGATGCAGTATCCGTAGCAACACTTGTTGTGCTCTGCGGGCAGGGAGCTGCTGTTGCCCCCGGCCACCTCCATGAAGATTTTCTCCAAAGTATCCGAGCTGTTGGTGCTGGCGTCCAGGCAGTAGCGCCCGGCCGGGCAGCTTCCTTCTTCGTCCACGTCCCGCGTGAAAACGAAAGGATGTTCCACCAGGGTCACCACCCGAACCCGATTCCCCACCACCGGCATCCCCGGCTTCCAGCGGCCCCTCGTCCTCCCACTCACGCCGTCGGTCCTGTGGCGAGGTTTGGGGCCCTGCCAGACTCCCTGGTCCTCCACCTTGAGCTGGCCTCCCTCCCAACTGCCCACCGTCACCCAGGTGGGCTGACCCAGCGCGTCCCGTCGCAAGCTCCAGATGTGGAAACGCTGCGAGGTGAGGACCTGAGACCTGTTCTGGTGGACTCGGACGGGACCTGTGAGACCGGAGAAAGACGTGTTGGAGAGGAACCTGTAGGACAGAAAAACAAGAAAACAAAGAAAAAATATCAGCTAGCACACACAGACCAAACGTGGTCTTTGAAATATATCAGGCTCGGGTGGGTCTCTTAAAAAAGAATTCTTTCAGATCTTTGCGCACTGGGCGTTGATATTGTAAGAACTTACTTTCTTTGGATTCTTCTGCTAAAACCTCCCATTTGCACAATAAAACAAGGCAAAAGATAAGAAGCAAGTTGTTGTTGACATTTAAAAAGATCAATCTGGTCATATCAGATTAGTCCCACCACGCTGTTTAAATGTATAACTGAAGGCAAATATTTAGGTATAAGACGCAATTTATTTAAAATGTAATATTTGATCTGAGAAGCATAACCACTATACACATATATAGTATTTTCACAAGAAGATAGAGACACTTGATTTGTCATCCGAACATCATGTTAATATGTCATTTTATTTATTCATTCAGTTTGAAGACTCTTCCACATTCAGATGTCAGTGTGATGAGTGTGATTTGACTTCATATTAACATTCGTATGTTTCCGTTTCTCCTCACGCTCTCTCTTTCATCTTTTGTTCTTTTCTCCTGCTGCAGCCGATAATCCGTCCTCAGAGGTTTTTATCTCTCAGTCTGAGTGTAATTTCATTTCCCGTGAATGTGTTTGATCTTTTCTGTCACTAAACTGAATGCAGCAGTTAAACCTTTAATACCCCTCAAACCTGCAGATTGTCTCGCTTCCTGCTGCTGTCAGACTCTCCAACAACGGCTGAGTCTGCAGCACAGAACCCAGTGATTCCCACGGCTCATCCCAGGGTCTCCTAAAGATTGTCACAGTCTATCCTGAAGCTTGGGGTCTGTGTTGTTCCTGCAACTCATCTCTGTGTCTCCTGCAGATCTAAGTGTCCCCTGCAGATCTCAGCATCTCCTGCAGATCTAAGTGTCCCCTGCAGGTCTAAATGTCCCCTGCAGATCTCAGAATTTTCTGGCTCATGGCAGTGTCTCATGCTCCTCTTTGGAGATCTTCCTGCGCTTTGTCGGAGTTTCTCGCAAGTGTTGTGGTTTCACAATTAAAGGAGCCCTAAACGAGCTAAAATGAACGTTGGAAAAGCTGCATCAGACTTTAAAAAAGAAAGGAAGGTTATTGAAAAGTCAACACTGTTTGAACAGGTTCACAGTTTTAACATCTTAAGTCCACTACTGAATGGACTGCAGAGGGCCCATAAAAAATGGCAACCCAAAGTAATTTGCGCCCGACTGCGAAGCACGGTTGTGGTTTCTTAACGATCGAGGGTCATTACAGACTGGAAGAGAAATTCAAAATAGAAAAGTACTTGGGGGAACAAATGGCAACAATGGCATCGTCAAGTTTTAGACATGTTGTTATTCTTTATCTTTTAAGGAATGAAATACATTTGTTGTATGAAGTAATATAAAAGCAAGCCCAACATTTTTATATTAGAAAGCCAGATAAATTTGTTAATGAAAATAGGAATGAATTTGCTCTCGGGTCGTAAAGTCTTAACTCCTCCTATCTGAGAGGTAGAGATGAAGTTTCCCCTTCACTGATAACACACAACTGTCTGCATGAAGCCACGGTTTTGCGAGAAAATAATTAACATTCAGGGCTTTTTGCTGGAGAAATATCAGAACTCATTAGGAGTAAAATGAGGAATACATGTTCATGTTTCACTGATTACATTTGCTAATGAACACTGATTGTAAATCTACTGCTGCTGTTGGAGACGTAGGTCGCACCAACACCAATTATTTCTGTGTGCTTGGGCGCATTGAGGTCAGGAAGGTATTTCATCACAGTTATATAGCAGAGGAAGTAATTATCAGAAGGCTCCTCCAACCCCTAACCCCTAACCCTAACCCCTAATCATAACCCCCAACCCTAACCCCTAACCCTAACCCCTAACTCCTAACCTTAACCCCTAACCCTAACCCCTAACTTTAACCCTAACCCCTAACCTTAACCCCTAACCCCTAACTCCTAACCCTAACCTCTAACCCTAACCCCTAAACCCTAACCCCTAACTCCTAACCTTAACCCCAAACCCAAACCCAAAACCCCTAACTTTAACCCCTAACCATAACCCCTAACCCTAACCCCTAAACCCTAACCCAACACTAAGAAACGGACCAGCTCGTTTTGGTTCTCACCTGGACAGGTACTGTCCGGAGGACGGCACCTCGTGTTTGTTGGGTTTGTCGTAGCAGTTCACCATGTTCTGGATCAGCGCCAGGTCCGGCCGTACCAACGTCGCCGCGGCGATGGCCCTGGTGACGAGCTGCAGGGCGTCGCTGACGTAGAAGTCGAGCGGTTTCCTCTCCCACCTCCCCGTAGGCCAGCAGGCCGAGGGGCAGCCCGATGGCGTGCAGCGCGTCAGGGCTGAGTGGCTGGCCCAGCACCCAGTGCACCATGGGTAAGGTGAGGCCCAGGTCCTGAGCGCTGCGCAGCACCGCCGCCGCGCACTGCGGGTCGGCTCCGAACAGCAGCACCGATGCGGGCGAGGGCTGGTTCTGTCGGAAGTGCCGCGACAGGAAGTCGTGGATCTGAGTGTCGTCGTGCGCCGACTGCGTCAGGTTAAGGAGGGCGCGCACGTGCCAGGTGACTGCGCCCCCGCCGTCCCACGATGCACCGCTCCAGCTGCCGCTGTCCAGCAGCCGCAGGAGACCCCGAGCCTCCTCCCAGCCCCGGCACAGAACCACGGTGCCCTCCCTCCAACCGGACCGCTGCAGAACCGTCAGCAGCAGGTTGGACAGACCGGACTCTGGAACCCCCATCGCCATCTGCAGGTGGAACCGGTTCTGTGCAGGAGAACAACGTGTCAGGCATCAGTCAGGCGTTACGGACACTTGGAACCAAAAATCCGGACAGAACCATCAACAAAACATCTATTTGTCCTTTTGGTTTAAAATTCAGAAAACTGCTGATTTATTGTGATGTCATCGTTTGTCTTCAGGCCGAACATCAACAATTTGATCCTTGCTCAACTTCACTGAAGATGTCAAACGACTGAAACTCCTCAATGTTTTAATATAATCTTATTTCTTCTTTATCGTAATATATCGAAAATCAGGAACTTCCTGTCTCAAAGTGATGCAGAAAAATGAGTTCATGCGTTTGTTATTTCCAGACTGGATTACTGTAATTCTTTGTTATCGGGCTGCTCTTGTAAATCTCTTAAGCCTCTCCAGTTGATTCAGAATGCGGCAGCACCTGTATTAACAAGAACTAAGAAAAGGGATCATATCACTCCTGTATTAACTCTGCACTGGCTCCCCGTTAAATCAAGAATAGAATTTAAGGTACTTCTCACCTACAAGGCACTTGCTGGTGAGGCACCGTCTTATCTTAAAGAGCTTGTAACGCCTTATTGCCCTACAAGGCAGCTGCGCTCCACAGATGCTGGGTTACTTGTTGTTCCTAGAGTTTTAAAAAGTAGGATGGAAGCCTTCAGTTTTCAAGCTCCTCTTTCCTGTGCTTTCCCTCCCCACAGGCTTCTGTGGACGGTGCTTCTATCTGATGGTGGTTGTCCCTGCAGTGGTCCTGTCGTACATCCGGCTTACTACTCACAATCATTTGAATAACTTCTGTCATAGGAATTGAATGTATTGTGCATATTTTACATTGTTCATTCTGTACACAGAGCATCCTTTGTAGTCTGTCCATCAGGAGAGGGATCCTCCTCTGACGTTCTCCCTCAGGTTTCTTTTTCCCCATGGAAGAGGGCTTCGGGACGGAGGATGTCTCATGTGTACAGACTGTAGAGCCCCCTCAGGCAAATGTGTAATTTGCGATTTTGGGCGTTACAAAAGAAAATGAATTAAATTTAATTAATCAAAGGTGACCAATGACAGAGACGTTAATACAGTCATTGATGACTTACTTCTTCATTAAGACGTGTATTTGTTTGGTTTCACAGGTACACGGATCAACAACAACTGTATGTGGTTTATAGATTTCAGATAAACGATTAATCAATTCTAAGATTACTTCTTATTCAGCGAGTGGACAAATGAATGAATTGACTCATCGTTTCAGGACTTCTTGAAGAATTTCACTCATTTTGCAGAGGGACAAATGCATCAGGACTCATTTGGGGAGTTTTTGGTTTTTCTGTTAATAAAACTACACTTCATAGACGTAGACGTTGTCACTGATATCAGATCACTTTTTTCACAGAATGTCGGAGCAATCAAAGCCCCGATCGTCTCGGTTCGCTCCGTCTCTCCCCGACACCCTTTGAATATTGTTGATCTCAGGTGGCGTTAGTCAGGTGTCTTGGTTTTAGATCCACCGACAGAAGAAGAAAAGCCACCAGGAGGTGTCAGATCAAAGCTGCTCTGCTTCTCTCTTCTCAGGGTGACGCAGGAACGTCGCCGTGACGACGGCAAGACGGGCAGATCCCCAAAGCGCCAAACCCGAGAGGAGAGGAATTCTACTTCACAATACATGATTTCCCTCCAAGTCAGATCGCATCGCGTCGCTTTACTTCCAGAGGAATACTGATGACCTGTGGCATACTGATATCTGTGTTTCACAAAAATAACTTTTATAACCAAACAGTGTTTGTGTTTCTGCAGATTGAAGCAAGAATCGTTTCCTGAGTACAACACAAAAAAAAACAGCTGACTCTTCATTAACGTTTCTGCTCAACACAGCTGAATAGGAGCGGCGCCGCGGGTCGGGTCTGTCCCGGGGCATCCTGGGAAATGGAGGAAGTCACTGACTGAAGCAGAAGCCATGTTTTAAATCTGAAACGTGACAAACCTGATAACAATAATCCTCCGTGTCAAAGGGTCACTTCCTGTCGTTGATTGGATTCACGTTCTCAATCCTCCCAAATGATAAAAGTCCCCATCACATTAAATGAAACGGAGACGGGTTGCTGTTATTTTTAGCTCTGCTGCGTCATTGATTCTTCTTTGTATTCACACGACGAGCTCCCCCGGGGAGAGGAAGCTTAAAACCATCTAGACCAGAACAGATCGCCACCGAGACCACATCTGACAAGCTGGACTTTCCTCATTGACGAAAGTAATACCCCCAAACTACCTCGAGTAGTAAACAATATGGTCGTAAAGTAAAGTGAGTTGGTCGGCGAATCAATGAAACACAGAAACCAGGTCGAAGAATTCGATTCAATGCGATAAGGAATAAATATAAAAACGAAAAGAGATGAAAAGTCACCATCTTATACTCTCATTTCCATCCATCCTCTTCCACCCTCGCAATAAATATTTCACCGTTAAATACTCAATGTTCCTCAATGAGTCATCGCTACCTAACGTCCATGAAGTTACATGACGATCAAGCTATGGTCTCGCTGGGCACACATGTCACATGTCACTCTGGTGTTGTTGTTGTTGTTATTAAAGCTGGAATCAGGTGGGAATGACGTCATCCGGCCTGTTGGTCAAATACAAAGTTCAGCGATCACTCAACTCCTCGCTTCAGGTTCTGAAGTAGATCAGAAAATGAAAACTGAAAAAGTTTGAGCAACATAAAACTGATTTTAAAAAACGAGTTCTGTGTGCTGGTGAAATCTGGTGACGGTGAAGAACCTCTCGGTGACTCGCGTATTAAATAATCAGTTCCCTCTGCAGCTGTGTGGCTGCAGGAAAACATCATTACTGTTTATAGGAGCCCTGAGAGCTGCTAACTGAGCAGAGAGTGTAATAAAGTGAGGCGACAGCGGAGCGCTCTCTCTCTCTTTAAATATTAACAACCGGTTTGTCGCGCTGCAATAAGCTCTCATTACTCCGGCAAACGCCGTGAGAGCCGCGTGGAGGCCCCGAGGCTAAAAACACATCGCCACACACACTTAGTCAGATGTGTGAAGTAATAGTCAGTGAAATGTCTTTACGTTCTGTCAAATGTCAATGTGCTGTTTGTTTGGGAAACGTTATCTTTGTGAAACGCTACTTGATTAAAATGTCACTTTTGTGTTATGTCGCGTTTATGAAATGTCGTCTTCTGAGATGTTGTGTTTTGACCCTCAGGGCCACCGTAAGCGACACCTTTGATAAAACACCTGTTTTCTTCACATCACTGAAGGTACATCTGTTCTTAGATGTACATCTAAGCTCCTCGTTTTGGACACTGCGTCCTCCTTTGGGACAAAATGAGCTCATAATTCACAACCTACTTTGGCAAAGTAACAAATGGTAATTGATCAAGTGATCAAATATTATGGATGTAAATACTAAACAACATTTATTGTTATTTTTTGTGTTCCAGAGCATCACATGATCAGAGCCACACTGCCAACAGCTGATGCTTTTCAAATTAAAACAACCTCCTCAAATGGCACCAATGAAGTTCTATCGTTTTTTTTCTTTTTCAAGCCCTCTGAGCCAAATTTGTCATTTGCGTTATTGGGTTATAAAATTTAACTGAATTGAATATAAAGATGATTGAACACACCAAAAATCCAATGCGCTCTGTGAAATAAAGCTCAACCTGCCTGTTACATGATGTTCAAGTTATTCTGCCCCCTCCGCAGACGTTAAATCAAGCCGACAATGAGGATGAAGAAGGCCTCGGGACCTTCTGACCTTCGGATGAGCTGTGACGTGCTGATCCGACCCCCCGGGAGACCGACTGAAGACCTGGATGCGGACCAGGGCCGGGGCCCGGATTAAAGACACGGAGGACAAAGACCTGACGTCTCCCTCGCGGCGCCTTCAGGCTCAGAAGCTCCGCTCGTTCGGTCCTGCAACAACAGGAGTGTTGTGCTGCGTTTTATCAGCAGGACTCAGCAGTTCTCTCCCTTTGTCCTGAGGACCCTGAACGCGTCTTGGCTGACAACGGAAAAGTGTCCCAGAAGAAAACGATGGGAAAAACACAGCTCGTAACAGGCTGTAAAGTTTATCCTGAACAACCAGCAGCAGCTGAGCACTAAGCACGTTCTACTCAAACTGATCTGAGATCTGATTCATCTGACTGTGTTAAACAGACCCAAAAGAAATCATTACGAGGGGACCCGTTATGTTTTAGTTAAAAAACAGTTAAATGACTTATTCTGGAGGTAAAGTTTGAGTGCATCCAGGTACCAAAATGAGCTCTGGGAGTTAATGAATGTAATTAAGCGCGAGGCATTCAGGAAGTAAAGTCAGCGTAGGGCATTGGGGGACTGAGATGAGCGCGGCGCGTTCAAGACGTAAAATGAAAACTGAGTTCAGAGAGTGGACATTTGAGGGGTGAAATGTGCCCGTTGCATTTAGCGAATGGATTCACTGGAAGAGGCCACGTGGAAAGCAGCGCTCCAGACGAGAGTTGCAATTAATTGTTTCCACCGTAGATCAATCCGATTCCTGGTTACTCGAGCAGTTGTTTGGTCAATAAAACCGAGTGTTTACCAAAGTCTGAGACGGCGTCCTCACCTACTTAAACACATTAAGTAACCAACCAAACAGAAACTATTCCAATTCTAGCAGCTGGAATGACGCAAAACCGATATAACAATTACCCAAAATCGATGTTGATTAATGTTTGAAAACGAATCGACTGATCAGCAGCTTCACTGAAGGTCACGTATGTGCAGCGTGTGCAGCAGTTCATTCATTCCGCTGCACGTGTTGTGGATTTGCAGACAGGCTCTTTGCCGAAGAAGCAGTGTGTGTAATTCGCAGATATGCAAAAAAATGGATGTGCATGTGTTGTGTGCGACACACGCACACAACACATGCACATCGCACAAACACAATGGCAGCTGCGTCACACGGGAGCCCGCAGCCAAATACAGACACACAAGTACAGACACACACGTACAGACACACACACGTTTTTTCAGCGTGTAGAA